CATCATGATGAATTCATCAAGAATTAACCATAATTGTTTCCAGGGGGAACCGCGTGGAGGTCGACCTGATTGGGTATATTGCTAGCAATGGGATTCTCAGTCTCCATTACTAATAATCCCTTCCCCCCCCCGTACGTAAGTATTATTATATCATACGCAATATTGACGCATTCACTTTTCTCCAGATATCGCGTGCTGGTACTTACATTTTATAAAGTTTGACAAGCTTTCAAGCTTCCCAATTCATTGCTTGTCATTCCGAATATCGATGCCATTTATTGCGAGAAATATTCGATTTATAATCGAAAATATTTTACAGGATGAAATATGGAATTGTATACAGTCATATGTGGTCATACCACAATATACTTGTGTTTTTTTTAATGAGTGATAATGGAATGGTAAATCTGTCTGCGCTACCGGAATACCAGTGAGGGATGATAGATGAGGATGAAAACAGGTCAGTTAGCCCATCGTGTACAAAAGTCGTGTGCTTGGGTACTTCTGTCCCATTTGTGTTTCAACCGTAAAGCAGTTGTGTTTGCATGGCTGTGTTTCGTTTTGAAGGGTGGGATATGGCGTGAATTTACAGGGTACAGAGGAATAACATCTGAGTCCTCAGGAATGGCAACGCATGGGAGGTATCATGGGCGTAACAGTATACTTTGTTATGTCCATGGTACTGCTCATGTCTGTAGGCGACGGTTACCACTTTCCATCAGGTGGACCGTCAGCTTGTTTGCCATTCTAAGTTGTATAAAAAAAATCCACTAGAATTAACCACGATGGTTTCCAGGGGGAGCCGCGTGGAGGTCGACCTGAAAGGGTATATTGCTAGCAATGAGTCAGTTAGACCCCATTACTAACAATCCCATTCCCCCCAAAGTACTTGTATTAAGTAGGTACTAACTAAACAGTTGATGTACATCATTATCATCATGTCAGCCTTTAACCAACCCTTGGGGGGTTTTGCCAGTAGTTGCCACGCATGGCAGGCGGATTGGCAACCGCAGTCAGCCTTTAAAGGCGTTTTAAGAGGGACACAGCTATCTATCATTCTTGAGAGATGCTTTATCTTTTGCCCATTGATGTACATAATTACTAATAACTACAATTGTAATTCCTTAATAATATTATAAATGTGAAAGCGAGTATGTCTGTTTGTCTGTCTCAATGTCTTAACATCTTAACTGATCACTATCAAATTTGTTATACTTGTACTACACTCGCGAGCAATCAAATCGACTCAACCCTTGACGGCGCACATATGCATTGATTTTACTAAAACGACAAACGTCAATTATAAAAATGATGTGGCGTTCGAAAGCTTAAGATGTCAGCTTTAATTTGATATCATTATCATTGGAATCCATCAATTATTTCTTAAGTAAATGATGTCTGAACGTAAGAGTAGGAAAAATGGGAATTCAGGAAAAGGGCCTAGGTCCCGTATTCCCTTATTGTTTCCCGGGTTCTCGCATCGGTGAATATGGAATAAAGCAGGACATAGACTTTTTATCCCAGTTAGTGAACATATCCCGGTCATGCGGACTAAGTCGTGGGTAAAAGCTAGTAAGGGTTAAAAATTCCAAAATTCTCAAATAAATTACTCTAAATTATCCACACGATATTTTTCTGTCCAAAAATTTCTCCAGCATGTCCATTTCTCCAAAATTTCTCCAAGACAAATTTTTTTATCCAAAACCATAAATTTTCCATCATCCATTCGGTCGTAAAAAAAATAATTAACATCTAAATCTCTTTTTATTACTTTTACGTCTATAAGTACCTACGATTCTTTCGAATATAATTTATTCCATTGACTTTTGCCGAATTTCATTGCAAAAAGTTCTCTCTCGTAATCCAGTACCCCTTCTGAAGACAGGAGGGTGAGGTACAATGGTCCCCTCGACCTTGACACACTTACCTAGCATGGGGCGTCGGCTACCGGCCTACGATTTGCGTTTTGAGTAATAGCTGTATAAAGTGTATATTACACTTCCCCAGACGTAAAAAAAAAGATAATATGATTAAGATGTTAAAAAAATATATCATTCATCTATGGCGCCTGTTTTTTTATGTGGTCTATAGGCGATGGTTACCACTTTCCATCAGGCGGGCCGTCAGCTTGTTTGCCATTCTAAGTTGTATAAAAAAAATGTTTTCAAGAATGTATTGTGTTTGTTTGAACGAATAATTGTATTCATATTTTTTTATGCATCTTAGAATGGCAAACAAGCTGACGGCCCACCTGATGGAAAGTGGTAACCGTCGCCTATAGACATGAACAGTACCATGGACATAACAGAGACTGTTTCGCCCATGATACCCCTCATGCGTTGCCATTGCTGAGGACTCAGGTGTTATGCCTCTGAACCCTGTAAATTCACTGCCATATCCCACCCTTCAAACCGAAACACGGCCATGCAAATACAACTGCGTCACGATAGAAACATGAATGGGACATGTGATAGGTGCCCAAGTAAACGACTTTTGTACAAAGTATCCCTCTGGTAATATTGATACCATATAGGTGGGCCGTCAGCTTGTTTGCCATTCTAAGTTGTATAAAAAAAAGAACTAAAATAATAAAATAAATATTAGTAAGGTAGTGTAATATACTCCTTAGAAAGCACAGTGATGTTTATGTCGCCATAACTTTGATGCGGACTCCTTGATTTTGCTCTTAATTCAATGTGGTTTTTATTGCAAAATATTATTGCTAGCATTGTCAATAAAAACGAAATGGCTATAACGAGTATATTCACGACTGGAATTATAAAGGTGGTGATCAGGTGCAATTTGTCATTTCCTGTATTGATTTATTTATTTATTGTAGTATTGATTTTGATTAATATTTTTGCGACAATATATATATATATAATATAATATAATCTATTTTCGAATATGTTAAAAATCCACTATTTAGTATTATTATTAGATAACAGACTTTTAACATATATATATTAACATATATACATTGTATGTAATATATATATATATATATATATATATATATATATATATATATATATATATATATATATATATATTATTATTATTATTTACAATATACATATTACTCCTAAATAATATAACATTTTATAGAACTATAATGTATTATATTAAATAAATGTACGCCTCAGACAAAAATTTACTACAGAACTCGGTGTCACCCCCAAGGGAGAAGTTACTGCGTTGTGGACCCTCAATCAAGATTATAGAGATTGACAGTTGGATAGTTTTACGAAGGAAACTGCGCTGACATGATAGTTAATGTTACGTAACAATAGCAAGCAATTCGAAAAATATAAGCGATTTCGTATACCAATATAGGAGGTAGGCCTAATGATTGCAAAAAAGAACTACAAAATCTGGTGGTCTACCATGAAATGAAATTCCGAAATTTCGGGCTCAATTTCGTGTTTTTGTTCGTACCGAAATCGACCCAGTAAATGGAGCTTAACATTTCGTTCATCATAAATCCTATCCTAATAGTTCAGAGGGGGGGGGGGAGGGATTGTTAGTAATGGGATCAAATAGCCCCATTACTAGCAATATATCCTGTCAGGTCGACCTCCACGTGGTTCCCCCTGGAAACCATCGTGAACAATTCTTGTTGAATTCGTCACGATGGGCTAACTAGCCTGCTTCATTCTCACCTATCATCCTTCACTGGTACCCCGCCGGTGTATACGGATAGCGCGGGTGGAGTTACCATTCCATTATCACCCATTAAAAAAAAATAGTCCAGAGGAACGTTATTTTTAACATTTTTAATAATTTTAAACGGCATGTATGCGGCCCTCTGATTAGAATTTGGAAACTGTACACAATATATATACCTATAACATGTTATTACTCTCAAATGTGAGGCTAAGCGCGGAAAATGAAGTCCTTTTCACAACATGTTATATTTGACTGAATTGTATAGAGCGAGCGATTATAGACACTTTCGCACTGCATTAAGGTATCTATTCGCTTGCTCAAATTATTATTCATATTTCATTTTCAATAGCAACGATTAACAAGTGCGACAAAATCATTGCGAGTGAAAATCACGTTTTTATGATTTATCATTGATTATATCACAGTGGTTAAAAATAATATTATAATTTCACTAATTAATAACGAATTTAATATAGCAATATCCGTGCCTCTATTGCAAAATGTTTGGCATTGCATTCCAGATCTGCCAAAACCGTTATGTAGAGCTACGCCCCACTGAAAGTTTTGGCATATTTCCAAGTGAAAGTACAGCCTATTTTAATACAAGCGAAATACCTACTTCTGCACTTTTTTTTAATGGGTGATAATGGCATGGTAACCCCACCTGCGCTATCAGTATACACTGGCGGGGCACCAGTGAGAGATGACAGATGAGGATGAAAGCCGGTCAGTTAGCCCATCGTGACGAAATCAACTAGAATTAACCACGATGATTTCCAGGAGGAACCACGTGGAGGTCGACCTGACAGAGTATATATAACATAGAGTATTACTAACAATTCCTTTCCCCCTCTACTTTTGCACTATTCCTATAGACTTATTTAAGGGTGGGGCCGGATAGGCCGTGCCCACCTCAGAATACTCTGGTGCCCACATCTTAGGATTAGGGGTAACAAAGATATAACTGAAAGTACATTACGCACCTTTTTAAAGCGCTAAAAAAATTACTTTCTTAATTATACAATATTATCATACCTACTTGTACGACAATTAGTCCGTTACCCAAAGGTGGTCTTGAAAAGATTGTCTTAAATAAAAAGACCGTTTTACTGTACTTATACAACTGTATCGTTACATTTATTAATTGTCTTGCTGATTCCCTATATTGTATAATGCAAACAAAGTATAAACATTTATTCATTCACTTAAATAATAAAAACCTCGACTACTTTGTTAAGAGTGTACGACTAAAGAGAGAAAGAGAGATGGATTTATCGTAGAAAATATAGTCCTAATGAAAATTTTAATATTACATTTTTGCTTTGTTACAGGGAGAAATCACAACAAGAAAAATGAACATACCGCTGGAAAATGTCTAATTAAAAAAAAATACTAGATTTATTATAAATAAGTCTAAATAAAATGTCATTCATTTAGACGGAGTAGTTCATCAACCCACTCATATGCACAGAGACGGATCAAACGTATTCAGAGATTCACTAAAACTACGACAAAAACTATTAAAAAGGACGACGACATACTTCAAAGTGGTAGAATTCGTAAAAAAAGACGCGATACGGTATTTTACGTATGATTACGAAATACATCAATCATAGTATAAAATATTATGAACATATTCATAGGTAACAATTATCACTCTAAAAATCTTGTTAAATTGAAATTTATTTGATTTCAATAAACTAATAAATAGACAATAAACGATTAATATAGGTAGAGAAAAAAAAAATACCCAGACACGAAATTAAAAAAATAAAATCCATTAACCAAAGAAAAAATTTAAATATTCTTTTCTTTTAAATTTTTAAAAATCGAACTAATTATGGCGGCAAAAGCAGAACCTATTGGACCTCGGAATGGACATGAGTTAGCTCCGTTGAACACACGGGCGGACGGGAGTGAGCGGCCGCATGGTGTCACCATAGTACTGCAAGGATCCAGGGGATCTTTGCAGAGAGATGTGCCTGGCGAGGACAGAGCGGCCTGGTCTGGGAAAGTGCAATTCTTTCTTTCCATCATCGGATACTCTGTGGGATTGGGGAACATATGGAGGTTTCCATATCTATGTCAGCAAAATGGTGGAGGTGAGTACATTTTATTGTACTTTTTATTTATCGTTATCATCGTGTCAACTGTTTACTGTCCACTCCTGAACAAAAGCCTCCTTTTGGAGGGGGGAGGGGGTTCAGTAGCTGATACTCTTGGTAGGCTAGTTGGCAATTGCAGTTAGGCTTTAGTATTGTTTTAAGAAGGATGCTGCTGTCCATCCCTTGACCGTTAAGTTCCCTAGTTCCCTTAGTCGTGTCTAACGACATCCGTGAGAAAGAAAGGGGTAGTCCATTCTATACCGGGACCACACAGTAAAATCGATATTATGGTAATGCAATACATACCAGCGATAATTTATTCGAATTGCATATACAGTCTAAACTATCTTAATTCAGATAGTTCGTACCACGTACCAATGCCTAGGCAGGGTCATATCGATCGGCAACATGCCACCACGCTATGACCTTTGACCTTTCATGTTAACCCGTATAGATTGAAAAAACGAAGCTTATGATCATGTGATTTTTTTTAGTCGATTAATAATTATTGTTATATTTATAAGTTTTTACCAGCCATATGATATATGAGAAATGACAATGTTTCTTGACATCCTTGAATAAGCATATTAAATTATTAAGAGCTGTGCTCTTGTCAGTGGAGCTCTTGCCACTCACTACGATTTTCAGCGAGTCTCTTCACCTCTTGATACGACACGACACCAACTTTTCCCTTGATCTGCCTGATGTAACTATTCCTCGGTCTCCTTCTTCCCCTCTTTCCTTCTATCTTACTTTCTATTATAATGTTCATAAGTTCGTGCTGTCGTATCAATATTATTACAATATAAATAAATTAACAAAATTTGTTACCCTATAACTATTTTGTAAAATTAAGGTCAATTTTCAACTATCTCATCAGATAGCGTGATCCGTAGCAATGCCTACGTCGTAGGCTTGTCTCGTAGCGATAGGCGTAGCCAAAATCATTATTTTTCTGACTTTTTACTCCTTTATAAGTCAATAAGTGTTCAGTGCATAATTAAATAAATACTTCACATTATACATATATATTATATACATAATACATACATATTAATACATATGTATTATACAATAAAAATTTAATGTCAAATTGTGAATAGTAACAGTACAATGTATCCTCTTATTTACATGAAGCTGTTTATGTCTACAGGTAAAACTTTACCATCAGGTAGACTGCCTTCTTAGTAATTCAAAATTGCATAAAACATTATTAAGGTGATTTTTGTACAAAAATATATTCAAACCTAAACGTACATTTTTTTCACAGGAGCGTTTTTAATCCCGTTCCTCATAATGCTGGTGCTCGAAGGCATCCCGCTGTTCCTGATCGAGATGGCGATTGGACAGAAGATGAGGCTTGGTTGCCTGGGTGTGTGGAACACCATCCACCCGTGGCTGGGCGGCATCGGCATATCGAGCTGCGTGGTCACGCTCTTCGTAGCTCTTTACTACAATGTCATCATAACTTGGGTCTTCTTCTACCTCTTTAATAGTATTCGGGTGAGTTTTAGTATTTTATTTATTGTAAATTACTTCTTGTTGTAAACTGCTTCGAGAAAAGCGGGTCAACTTTTTCATACAATTTTACGTGATAAATAGTTATGAGTGATTCCTTTATAACTTATTTATTTATTTTGCCTTATCAATTCTGCATCTTTTTAATGAATAAACACCCATTTTCTTTCTTAAATAATAAGTCAAGACACATTTTATGCGTAAGTATATAGAATACTGATATCACCTTCTACCGAATTTATCATGGGGAGTGTTCTAAGGAATTGTTCGGATTGATACCTGCTGCTGATTTTCACCACCGTACAACCCGCCACAAACTAAAGTTTCATCCCAATCATCTGGACGAGTGGCGGTCTTCCACCGTGCGTTTTTCAAGGCACTTTCTTCCACGCACAACCATTCTTTGGAATCAACTTCCAGCAGCAGTATTTCTGAACCGATACGACAACATAACCTTCAAGAAAAGAGTATATTTCTTTTTAAAAGGCCGGCAGCACACCTGCAATGCCGCTAGTGTTGTGGATGATCATGGGCGGCGGTAGTCACTTACCATCAGGTGAGCCGCATGCTCGTTTGCCCCCTGTGTTGTAAAAAAAAAAAAAAAAATAAATAAAAAAAAAACGAGTCAGCTAATTTGACAATTGGCAAAAAATTGACAAAAAGTTGACCCGTTTTTGAGGTTCGATGCTCTATCTACATAGTTTAAACTTACTAGTTGTAAAAAAAATTAATTCCTTTACCTCATTTTTAAACAGCTAACAGGCGACCAGTTGCCTTGGGCGCACTGTCCCCAAGACAATGGCACAGCTGAAATAGAATGCAACAAAGCCTCAGCCACTGTCTACTTTTGGTACCGTGAAGCGCTAGATGCGTCACCCAGTATCGATGAGCCAGGCGTGCCCCGTTGGTGGATAGTGCTGTACCTTCTGTTGGCATGGATCATCGTGTTTTTTATCGTTATGAAAGGAATCCAAAGCAGTGGCAAGGTCAGTGTAATTTTTTATCGATATTTGTTTTTTAAATAGTAAAAGTAGTACTTTTTTTTATGCAACTTAGAACAGCAAACAAGCTGACGGCCCACCTGATGGAAAGTGGTAACCGTCGCCTATAGACATGAGCAGTACCATGGACATAATAGAGTATACTGTTTCGCCCATGATACTTATACACAATATTGCCGTGTGGTCCCAGCATAGAATGGGTCACTTCCTTTCCTGAGGGTGTCGTAAGACTAAGGGAACTTCATAGTCGAGGAATGGGCAGCAGAGTCCCTCTTAAAACATCACCAAAGCCGAATTTCGATTGCCAATCCGCCTGCCAAGCGTGGCGATTATTGGCAAAGCTCCCCAATAGGTCTTTCTATTTTTTTTTATGGGTGAAAATGGAATGGTAACCCCGCCTGCGCTAACGGGATACGCTGGCGGAGCACCAGTGAAGGGTGATCGATGAGAATGAAAACAGGCCAGTTAGCCCATCATGATGAATTCATCAGGAATTAACCATGATAGTTTCCAGGGGGAACCGCGAGAAGGTCGACCTGGTTGGGTATATTGCTAGCAATGGGATTTTTAGTCTCCATTACTAACAATCCCCTTTCCCCCAGGTCCTTCTATTACATGCTTATGTTCAGCAGTGGACTGTTAACAGCTGACATGATAATGATATAATGATGTACTTACAGTATTAGGATATTGGGGGGAAGGGATCGTTAGTAATGCGGGCTACCAGTCCCATTGCTAGCAATATACCCTGTCAGGTCGACCTCCACGCGGTTCCCCCTGGAAACCATCGTGCTGAGTTCCAGGTGTATTCATCATGATGGGCTGACTGATCTGCCTTTTTATCATTATTCACCTATCACCTCTCACTGGTGCCCCGCCAGTGTATACCGTTAGCGCAGGCGGGGTTACCATTCCATTAATCATGCATTAAAAAAAAAAGTATTAGGATATTAGCTCTAATGGTTTATTGTAGCAGAAGATACAGAAGTTCGTGTATCAACTAAAAAGACTGGCTGGCGAACAGATTCAAACTTACCAGGCCACCTCTGTCCCATTCGTATTTCTACCGGGAAGTAGTTATGTTTGCATGGCTGTATTTCAGTTTGAAGGGTGGGATATGGCAGTGAGTTTACTGGGTACAGAGGAATAACACCTGAGTCCTCAGTAATGGCAACGCATGAGAGGTATCATGGGCGAAACAGTATACTCTGTTACGTCCATGGTACTGCTCATGTCTATAGACGACGGTTACCACTTTCCATCAGGTGGACCGTCAGCTTGTTTGCCATTATGTGTTGTTTAAAAAGATTCAAATTATATTTGAATCTTCATTCATATGGTTCTTATGAAGCTTAATAATTAATTTATTGGTACTTTCCAGGTGGTATACTTCACTTCGTTGTTCCCTTACGTCGTGCTGACTATATTTTTCATACGTGGAATCACTCTACCAGGCTCATCTGATGGTATACTGCACATGTATAAACCTAAAGTAAGTATTCAATAAAGTAAGAGATTATCTGTATATATAAAAATTAATGCCACTTTTCGTTGTCATTTTATAACTCAAGAACGAGCTCATCTATCCATACCAAATGTTTAGACTTTGTTCGGACTATTTAGTAGATGGTTTATGTGAAGTTTGCACAAAATCGGACGAGCGGTTCTTCGTTTATCACATTTTTTGTAACAAATGAATTCAATAAATGGCGGATCATTTTGTTAATGGAGATTTTTGTGTCAAATTCAAACTGTTTTTTTTTAAGTTGGGGATTGTGCTGTCAAATTGAAACTTTTCAGTGTTGACAGTACAAGCATGTTGTTATGTCATTCATGCGGTTATTTAAAATTATTTTTTTTTTTATTATTTCACTTTATACATAGCGAAGCACATACCGGGCTGCTAGTATTTTTATAAATAGATGATCTATATCTGATTTCATCACTCTCTATAAAATAATAAACTATAAATGGGACACTAGCATACTGTTGAGCCTTGTTTCATTTCGTACAGGCAATAAAAGAATACAAAAATTATTTTATATACAGATTTGTAATAATAATGTATCGTATCACAATCCAATTATCCGCATGTGCAGAAAATATACCAATGTAATGCAAGGACCTTGATATTTTCCAACAATCCTTGCAATATTACATTAAGGCTGCCAATTTGTTACTTTAAATTTATAGTCGTTGCTCTTTTAATGTTTATAATATCGAATGTTATGCAGAGCAGTTGTTGGAGTGCAAATTTGATGCTGTTTTATGTAATATTTATTTTACTACTGTATTAATTTGTAATATGTTGTTTTGCTATAAATAAATAAATTATCTGCTGAATATGAAATGAAAAGGAAATATTTATTTATTTATTTATTTATTTATTCATTAGTACAAATATGTGTACATGGCGGACTTAATGCTAAAAGCATTCTCTCCCAGTCAACCATAGGGAAGTGTCAGAATACTCGAATGCGGTACTACTAATTATTGATATACATACATACTAAAATTACATATATAAACGAATAAATATATATGAATAACAAATATACTTACACATATATGATATATACTATATTATACACGAATTTGGGAATAATATGGGTTCACTATTAACGAAGCTAAACTAGAATATTCTGTTTTAGCTTATAGATCTTAAAGAATATTATACATTATATTTATTTATTTATGTTCATAATTTTTCTCGTATAAAACTTGAATCAAAATCGTGTCAGAATTGGTGATCCGTAATATACATACAATAGGGAAGAAAGATTCTTGAGTGGCGACCGTGTACGGACAAACGCAGTGTAGGACGACTCACCACTAGATTGAGTGACGACCTGAAATGCATTGCAGAGAGTCAGTGGATGCAGGTGGCTCAGGACCGTTCTTTATGGCAGTCTATGGGGGAGGTTTATGTCCAACAGTGGACGGATAATGGCTGAAATTATGGAGATGATCAATATACATACATATAAATTATAAGTAAATAGGCAGATAGATTGAGAACTTTTTATCCCATATTTAATTGTTTAATAATAAATATGGGGTCCATAAACTTTTTTTTTTTGTATTTATTTATACTAGCAATCTATCTACTTGCTGGGACAATAAGTAGTATGTTTGACGTTTACTTGAATGGCGTGCTCAGTAAGCGACCTATGTCGCTTCATACTTTATTTTATTTAATCATATCTTGGGACATTTCAGTCTGCCGATCCATCATTTTTATACTCGGGTCTTTGTTTCAGTTGGAGAAACTACTACAACCAACAGTGTGGTTGGACGCGGCGACACAAGTCTTTTACTCCTTCGGGCTCGCATTTGGTTCCCTCATTGCGTTCGGCTCCTACAACCCTCCGAACAACAACTGCGTGAGAGATGTACTCCTTGTGTCTGTTTGCAACGCTCTCACCGCTATCTACGCGTCGGTGGTCATATTCAGCATTCTGGGCTTCAAGGCATTTACAATGACCGAGAGCTGTATTACCAAGTAAGTTTTTCTGAAGTGAAGAAAATAAAGAGATAAAATGCTTAAAGTAGATCGTGTTACCAGTATACGATGACTGGTTACTAGTGGTGGCTGGTAGGTGAGGATGTCATGTCAATTGACCTACTTTTATTAATTCAGGTTTAATCATGAAGGGTTTACGTGGTCCGAAAAGGTTAACCAGACAGGGTATTTTACAAGCAATGGGGTCGTTGAACTCATTTGGACTTAAATACTAACAACCTTTAAAGAAAATAAATCCATAAGGGAGGGTTCTTTATTAAGTGATTAAGAAAGATTTGTTCTAATGATGTTGAGTTTTCATTGTTGCCACTTGGTAGAATTTTTATTTTACAATTGTTTAAAACACTTGTGTAAACATAGAATAGTACCCACAAGTGTTTTATAGGAATTAGTCAACAATCAGCAAATGAATGGACGAACAGCTGGATCATGGCCACCATCAGCAAACACCAAATACAGTCTTTTGCCCTTTTACCCCTAATGCATCTGTATTTCTGAGGATTGGAGTGTCACGTGTTTAAGCTGGCCAGCTGGCGTGGTATAGGTGCAGGGTTGTATATCGAGATTTCCTTCTCTTCTACTGATTCTCTCTTTTTCTCTTCTATTGTTTTTTAAACCCATTAGTTACCTCTTACAATATCTGTGGAGTGAAAAAAGTGGTGACGTATTATATACTGAGATAGCATAGTGACGTCAGCAAGTCTGAAAAGACGTCATTTTATTTAGCTAGGGATCTCGGTCTTAAAATAACTAAAAGAATATTTTATCTCTATTGAAGGACATCACCAATGGACCCTGTTACTTGGGTATTTACTCTGTCACTACAGGGACGTTATCAAGATTCCTTTAGTTAAACAAACTCTTAAATTACACTTTTATTGCATATAGACAAATAAAGATCTTGGCGTTGCACCACATCGGAGGGTTCCAGCTGAACTCCACCCACGACTACTACCGGCAGGAGTTCCCCAAGATCAACGAAAATATCACCTCTGCGTTAAACCTTACCGAATGCACCATCGGTCAACAACTTGAGCAGGTGAGTTAAAGTTCTAGTTGGAACTTCGATTAAAACTTTGCTGGCCGGAAATTCCGTCATGGTCCTCTTCAGAATTAAACTAAAATTGTGATAAAAACCTAAATACAAAGAAAAGTAATTTTTGGTCATGAACGTTTTGTAACCCAAATGATGTTGCCCGTCGTAGTAGGAGGACGTATCTACACGCCAGTGCAATGACGAGTTTACTCATCACCGGTTAGCAACGTTTGGATATGAAAAGGCGAGTTAACTTGTCACCGGCCAGTGTTAAGAAATACTGGTTTTAATAGAAGTAGGGAAATGATTTAGAAACTGACAACCATCTCCTGTACAGAGAATTAATCTGTAACATTAATACAGTGCATCCAGTCAAGTTAGTTATGGCCTGCTTTAAATATTTTGTCGTCCTTCGATATACGTTTTTTTGGAAAAAGGTTTAGCTGGTAAAATAATCCCTTAAAAGTATGTTAATTATTTGAATTCCATTCTTTAGGTATGAAGAGAATCTTAGATATAACAAAATACACTGGTACCTCGTTCAGTATTGTCACTGCAATATCCTCTCATTCAAACCGACATATCTATGCCAGAGCAGTTTGGTGGCAGAATCATGAGTAGATCATAGGTACCTATTAAGACAAGTTTGTACAAAGTTTCATCCTGTTCTTTACTTTACAGGCAGCAGAAGGCACCGGATTAGCCTTCATAGTGTTCACGCAAGCGATTCTGAAGCTGACGCCGGCACCGTTTTGGTCAATCACGTTCTTCTTGATGCTCCTATCGCTTGGATTGGGCAGCCAGATCGGAATTATGGAGGGGATGCTAGCCTGCATCTTCGATATCGACTTCTTCAAACGGCTCACCAAACCGATGATTACAGGTTAATAGATATTTAGGAATGTGAAGGTTATGCAATCTGAAGTGACAAAGGATTACTTGGATTAGCAAACAAGTTGATAGTCTACGTAATGGAAATTTATAATCTGCGTCTATAGTTATGAACAATACCATGGATGTCATGAAGTACACTCTATTATTATTCTGTCCACTGCTGCTCATAAAAGAAGTTTTATAAGTGGTAGCTACGCTTGGCAAGCGGATTAGCAACCGTAGTTAGGCTTTGTTGATGTTTTCAGAGGGAAGCATCTTCCCATCGACCAATAAATTCCCTTAGTCGCCTCATACGACACCCACAGGAAAAGTGCAGTCTAGCTGAGGTGGCTTGCCATCTAACGATTATTCCATTAAGCCTTCGAGTCTTGTATAAAATTTACATGTCATGCACTTCTATTTTTGCATATATCCGAATTTTTATATTTAGAATTTGCCCCAATCAAATAAATTGTTCCCAGGCGTGGTATGTACGTTCTGCTTCACCGTGGGCATGATCTTCACTACCGGCGCCGGCGAGTACTGGCTCAAGATGTTCGACTCGTTCGCCGGCACCATCGGGCTGGTGGTCGTTGCGCTGCTAGAGATGATCGCGGTCATCTACATATATGGACATGAGAAGTAGGTGTCTAATTATATTATATATAGTGAAATAAATAAATAGATCATTATATAAATATACATTAATTTAAATATAAATTATAAATAAATAGTTTTTTTCGTCATCATGTATAATGTCCACTGCTGAACATAGGTCTCACCCATAAGAGAATGCTAGTAGTTGCCATGCTTGGCAGTCTGATTAGCAACTGCAGTTAGGCTTTTCATTATGTTTTAAGAGAGACGTCATAGTCATCATAAATTGATGATGTTGGCATCTTTTCATGAGATGAAAATGGAAGATCACATTCACTGACGTTACCGACGATATGTACTGGCGGTCTATGTGATAAATTCATAAAAAATTACCGCGATGGTTTTTAGAAGGGACCACAAAGAAGCCAACCACAGAGGGTACATTGCTAACAAGAGCCCCCCCTCCTCTCCTCGCGAGTATTTACCATACCATTTACAGGGTACAGAGGAATAACATCTGAGTCCTCAGGAATGGCAACGCATGCGGGGTATAATGGGCGAAACAGTGTACTCTGTTATGTCCATGGTACTGCTCATGTCTATAGGCGACGGTTACCACTTTCCATCAGGTGGGCCGTCAGCTTGTTAGCCATTCTAAGTTGCATAAAAAAGATATTCAATAATGCACAACGGGAGTTCATAATATAATTAATGTTATTATTATAAGATAATCATAATAAAAAATCTAAATTAGCTGAATATTAATATGCAATATGCAAGTAAAATGGACGACATTATATAATTGAATCTAAAATGTAGAATATTGTATGCAACACATATTTGTAAATGTATGACGGACGTAACCTACTGAAAAATAATGACATGCATGTATAATTTTACAATAATAATTTGAACTTCAATGTGGCTTTAGTAATATGACTTCTAATTAATAGTTGATTATTAATAATACATATAAAATGTTGCATGCCAAGCTGGCTGAATGTCATGGTTACACAAAATGTATAATCTTATCTAAACTTACCACATTCATCGCAACAAATTTCATTTCATTTCATTTCATTTCGTTTCGTTTCGTTTCGTTTCGTTTCGTTTCGTTTCGTTTCGTTTCGTTTCGTTTCGTTACGTTTCGTTTCGTTTCGTTTCGTTTCGTTTCGTTTCGTTTCGTTTCGTTTCGTTTCGTTTCGTTTCGTTTCGTTTCGTTTCGTTTCGTTTCGTTTCGTTTCGTTTCGTTTCGTTTCGTTTCGTTTCGTTTCGTTTCGTTTCGTTTCGTTTCGTTTCGTTTCGTTTCGTTTCGTTTCGTTTCGTTTCATTTCATTTCATTAGACAAATGTGGACATGTTGATGGAAACAGTCGACATGTGCCTCTGATTACTCCATTTTTAAATTTAAATTATCTTTTTTTTATTTATTTATAAATTGTTCACTACACTTACAGTATTCCAAAACATGTAGTGAGCCATAGGTTTATTTCACTAACTTAAAAATTTTAAACAACATTTAGAAAATCTATCTAATTTATCGTTAAATATATCAATATCTGGCTGCTGAACAATCAGAGAATTGAGCAGAGAAATAGTATGATTAGTAGGAGCAAACTGAGCAGTAAACGGGGCGTGAATTTACTGGGTACAGAGGAATAACACCTGAGTCCTCAGGAATGGCAACGCATGGGGGGTATCATGGGCGAAACAGTATACTCTGTTATGTCCATGGTACTGCTCACGTCTATAGGCGACGGTTACCACTTCCCATCAGGTGGGCCGTTAGCTTGTTGCCATTCTAAGTTGTATAAAAAAAAAAGGTGCTTTATTCAAATAGACTTTTATTCAAACATTAGGAATAGTGGTGAATATTTTGCTTTATTCTACGGAGTGCTTATACTTTTTTTTTATTGATGATAATGGAATGGTAATCCCGCCTGCGCTAATCCCTCATTGGCGAGACACCAGTGAGGGATGATAGGTGAGAATGAAAAGGCAGGTCAGTTAGCCCATTACGAATACAGCAGTAATTCAGCACGATGGTTTCCAGGGGAGTCCATGTAGAAGTCGACCTTATATTGTTAGCAATGAGACTGATAGTCCGCATTACTAATATGGAATGGCTGTATTCAGGTTCACAAACGACATCTACGAGATGACGGGCTACCGGCCCGGGCTGTACTGGCAGGTGACCTGGCGTTACGTGGGGCCGTTCATCGTCACCGGCATCCTCATCTCCTCAGTCGTCTCCATGCTTATCTCGCCGCCCGAGTACAGTGCTTGGGATGCTGCTGAGGTGAGATATTAACATTTTCTTTGTTTTTTTTTTTATGAAAACTTGTCTATACAATGATGTACAATGACGAGGCACCAATGAAGAATGATAGGTGAAAGTGAAGTCAGTACAATTGCTGCTTCATGGAGAATTTATAGCAAATGATCCATTATACCCGAAAAGGGTTTTTTTTATGGGTGAAAATGGTATGGTAACCCCGCCTGCGCTAACGGGATATACCGACGGAGCATCAGTGAAGGGTGATAGATGAGAATGAAAACAAGCCAGTTAGCCCATCATGATGAATTCATCAGGAATTAACCATGATAGTTTCCAGGGGGAACCGCGAGTAGGTCGACCTGGTTGGGTATATTGCTAACAATGGGATTCTCAGTCTACATTACTAACATCCCATTCCAACTAACAATTCCTTCCCTGGTTGACGCTAGGTAGGCGGCACGGTCGTAAAACTAAAAGCCAAATCTTTTTGTAATATGGATAGAAACATATTACGCCGATCCCAAATAATAGTGAAATAAGGGTAGGAAGATGAGGATGATATCCATGATAGTTTCTAGGATAACCTTGTGGAGGTCGATCTGACAGTGTACATTACTAGCAATGGCGACTCTAATGACAGCATTACTGATATTTCCTTCACACATTATTCACACACATCTATTAAAAATATTAACAGTAGACGACAGACATCTTGTATAGATACTTGGTATCTATCTATCTACCAGAGAAGATTATTTTTGGTCGAAAGCATAGATTATATTCGAGACGTGAGCATATTTTTTTTATGACATTGCTACGAGACAGTGTTAAGGGAAACAATACTTTACAGCATTGCAGATGACCTCAAGACAATTAATTTAATGCTGGTCTTATTCAATCTATATTAGCTGAACCTAAACCAGAAATTTTTTAACATCTCTGTAAATTATTGATGCCCATTAATTCCTCTCTAGTGAAATGTAGTCTCTAGCGTCTAGGGAAAGTAGATAAAGCTTTATTTGAGAAATCAGTTTAGGGTACGATAGGGCTGATATACCTGAAAAAGGTAATAGCCCTTAAAAATAAAAAAAACTTTATTTATACTGTATTTATTGACAAAAATATGTCGTACAATAATAACGTCAATGATTCTAAATAAACGTCGTTTTTTAATCACTTTAAAGTTGTGGTCCTAGAATGACTAAATAATGACGTCCTTTTAGAGTCACAGACGTCGTTATACTAAGTGAAATAGGGAACTATAATATGTACAAATTTACAGTATTCTTTATTATACACAATTGATAAGTAAATATATAATAAAAATAAAAGAAATACTCATACATACAAAAATTTATAAAATGAGATTCCAATCAGCAAATTACATCCTTATTTATCTGCCACGATGGCGTGTTTCCAATAATTGCGCCAGAAGAGCTGCCAGAAGGCGATTCTCTCGTGGTACACATAGTCCCTCATCTCCATGCGAACATCGATATTCATGTAAGGTCGGGACTCGTTCACTGGACTCCATTGTACCGGAAGCAATTTCGTCAACTTTGGTGTTGGGTTCCTATAAGTTATAAATATAGATTAGGTAAGTTTGTGTATGGAACAGGTTTCAGATTTTGGCCTATATTGGTTTGCAACAAATTTTATCCACAAAATAGTTAAATTTGCCTTAGATAAATGTTTAATAAATGTTTAGACGTCTTACTGCAAAAGCGTTTGTAACTTTTTAATTATCATCATATAGGCCGTTTTTTTTTAATGGGTGAGAATGGAATAGTAACCCCGCCTGCGCTATCAGTATACGCTGGCGGGGCACCAGTGACGGATGATAGGTGAGAGTGAAAGCAGGCCAGTTAGTCCATCGTGATGAAATCCACTAAATTTAACCACAATGGTTTCCAGGGGTAACCGCGTGGAGGTTGACCTGATAGGGTTTATTTCTAGCAATGGGGCTAATGAACTCCATTATTAACAATCCCTTTCCCACCTATCAGCCGTTATTTGTTCACTGTTGAACATATGCTCCCATGGATTGTCATAAGGAACGGTGCCATGTCATATTGTATTTTACCATTGGGAGATAGTAGAGCTAGCTACGCTTGGCAAGCAGGTTGGGAAACGCAGTTAGGCTTTGGTGATGTTGAAAGAGGGACGCTGCTGTCCATTCCTCGACCTCTTAAGTTACTTTAGTCGCCTCATACGACACTCATAGGAAAGAAAGAGGCCACCCACTCTATACTGCGTTCAGATAGCAACAACTATAACAAATTTATATATTTCTACGTATACCGCTGTAGTGTCAACGTACACTTTAACGATTTCAAATTACTTATGGCACAGTGAGCACTGAGCAGTGTTTACTTACTATAAACATATTCACACATTTTCTATTTCACTGGCTTTAGATGAAAAATTCATGGTTAGACCCTCTGAACACGTATCTCGCAAACTGTTTGCGACAGTTTAAAGTCGCTTGTACCCTCAATCTTTATTTTTGACATATTTTGTAGTGACCTAATAGTGATTAGAGAATGAACAATAATAAATATTGGTATGGTCTCTATAGAGCGGTTTAAAAACCAAAATATCATTCGAAAATAGTTAGAAGTATTCAGGGCCGTGCCTGACGGGCGTTCATTGCGTGCACCGCACGCAGGCGGCCGAAATTAAGAGGCGGCCAAATCGTTACAAGTTGTTTACTGGGCCGATTTCGGTTAACCAAAAACTGATTTTTTTCCCGGTTTGATGCCCTGTGTATAATAATAAACATTAAAAATTAAAGTAGTTTTTTTTTAATGTTATCCTGGGGGCGGCCATACAGACTGGCACGCAGGCGGCCATATACCCAGGCACGGCCCTGGAAGTATTAGTAATAAAATAAATCCTGTTACTCAAATAAATTTTTTATTCCTATCCTTAATTTAAGTTATCACCGAATGCAATCAAAATGAAGTACATAAACAGCAATTATAATTTGTTGATTTAAAAACAAATAGTTTATATATTTTTAGTATATATATATACCTACTCTTTGTCTTTTTTCTCAATGTCCTCTACTTAAAGATTGTCTGGAAGAGATTGCTTAGCGATAAGACCGCCTTTTGTATCACTTGTTTTTAAAATTAACTGTATTTATTATTTTATATATATAAAATATTCATAAGAATATTTTTTACATAATCTCAGTTGTGGATAATTGGAATTCTCTGTCAGTCTACGATATTAAGTAAAAGCTTCTAATACTTTAGTTATGATACCACTCTCTAATAATACGTCAGTCTAAGTTTCTCCTGGTATCTGCATATATCCTATCATCATCATCATCTTAGCCATCATCTAATGGAGGGTCGTCCTACCTTTCCTTTTTTAACCTTTCTTCCCCATCGGTTGTCATATATATATATATATATTTTATAAAATATTAAGAGATAGGTTCATAATCTTTCAAGTACTACAGATATCGATGATATAACGTTTTCAACCGACATGTGTACTCGTATATGTTATTACTAGTATGTCACCAATTTGATAATTTCAATTTTATAAATTATTTCAATTAATAATCTACGAAGAATCTACATGTTGTTTTTTTTGTTGGGTAAAATATTAAGAGAGATAATGCGCATCGTTATATTTTAAGCTGAAGGATAGGCGTAGAAATAAATGAGTGTTCAGATGAATATATTTCTGTTTCTCGTGATATTTATTTGCCATTCTAATGAGTAAAAGGAGATAAGATTATTTTTTAGCCTTGTAAAATAGATACACGATATCGCAAGTTTAAACTTAACAAAATGTTAACAACTTACTCATATTTTACGAAATTCGCCCACATCGTAGTCATTCTGTCTCTAATTAAAATCTGTTCATCAGTAAATATCGTTCCTTTATCGAAAAGATATTGCAATTCCTCCGTGTGGGCTGCTCCAACACCTGGTATGTCTTTGAAATCACTACCTCCAACATAAGAAAATAAATACTTATATACTTTTAAAGCTCCCTGCTCCATATATCTGTTTACAGCACTTTCTGCCGCATGATTGAGAACAAAGTCTGATGAGAAATCTACTAGTTCCAACATCGAATCTTTAGAAAATTTCTTGCCACCCATATAAAATGATTGAATTATTTTTGCAAGACTTCTCAACTCTTCTTCTTTAAAATCGAAGGTATTCTTCAATTTAGCATAGAATATAGAACTCATATTAGCATAGAACTCATTTGATTTCCCAACAAAACCTCCAAAGTCTTCTTTGCTATTATAACCAATAAGAATTGACGTATTTTTTATTATCGTGGAATTATTCAAATGGAAAGGATCTTCTGTAACGAAATGTTGGACTCCTTTATAACGTTTCTCTTTACACACTCGTGGTAGGAAGTTAATATTATTAGCAGCTTTCATTAGTACAATAGGATCTACTGTCGCTAAGTATTTCAGAGCATCTTTTGTGTTAGTCGTATTGTAACCTAGTTGTTTACCCAATTTTATAGCTGCATCATGATCAGGCTTCACAAACATGCCTGTTACTTCAGCGCTTCCACTTTGTATTATAGCTTTATTGAATAATCTTTCATTTTCAGAATACAAATGTAAATCAACCGCTCCCCCTCCATAACTTTCTCCAGCAATTGTGACCTCATTAGGATTTCCACCGAAAGCACGAATATTGTCCTTTATCCATCTCAATGCAGTGACTTGATCTTTCAATCCCTGATTTCCTGGTACATCTGGATCTTTCAAACAGAAAAAACCGTATGGACCCAATCTATAGTTAACGGTTACAACTATAATACCATGTTGAGCCAAATATTTGCCATCATACTGGCCTCCGCTGCCTATAGAAAACCCACCACCATGAAACCAGACAAATACTGGAACGAGCCGGTTAAGATTAGTAATATTTGGCACAAATATGTTCAAACGCAAACACTGCAGGACACCCCCTTCTATCCTTCGAACTTGAGGGCATTTAACAGAAGAATTAGGAGCATTAAAAACCGTTTCAAATTTTGGGAACTCCAAAGATTTCTGTAAAATAAATACATTTCATTGTATTATTTTTGTAAAAATAATATCCACTTTTAAACTGTTTCAGTCTAAAATTTTTTAATATTTTTTAACTACAAGTATAGCAAGATGTTATTTTTATCTACCGCGAATGAAATTTTTTACTCATCTGTTATTAAAACAATTACTGAAATGAACTCTGAAATAAAGAAATATATTTTTTTTTTTATATAACTTAGAATGGCAAACAAGCTGACGGAAAGTGGTAACCGTTGCCTATAGACATGAGCAGTACCATGGACATAACAGAGTATACTGTTTCGCCCATGATACCCCCATGCGTTGCTATTCCTGAGGACTCAGGTTTTATTCCTTTGTACCCCGTAAATTCACGCCATATCCCACCCTTCAAACCGAAACACAGCCATGCAAACACAACTACTTCACGGTTGAAACATGAATGGGACAGAGGTACCCAAGCAGTCAACTTTTGTACAAAGTCTCCCTCTGGTAAAAATAGGTGGACAATTCTAGGTCGATATACGACACACTTCATCCTATTCATGTAATCAAACCTACATTAGAATAAATTATTTTTTAAAGAATTATCATAATCGGTTCAGCATTTCGTAACTTACACACAAAAAATTACAGTTGAAATCAGAATCTCCATCTTTTTAAAGTCAGTTGGAAAACAATCAAATTAATCAAGACCTCAATAGTTGTTATTTTTATTATTAAAACAGCATTCGATATACTCACCCCAAAAGGATTTTCCTCATCCACTAAAGCGTACGGTATACCTAAAAATGTGGAACTCCCATCCACCGCCCTCTGCCCCCTAACCGACCCACTGTTCGTTACCACAACATCACACCCCACTTGATGTAGCGCCAAAGTAAACAATACACTCAACAACATATTGAACAATCGGATTCGTACTGATTTGCAATCCACTTGACTGACTGTCCTCAAGTGATTCAGAACCACGAATATCATTTACATTCATAGAATAAAAAAGTGCAGTAGGCTCATTCTATATTTAAATGCCTAGCGGTAAGAGATTGTTTTCAAGTCTGAATTAGCGGATTCATTTTGAGACAATAATAATTTGTGAACTATTATCACTACAGTAAACGTAAGTTTGTAACAGATATATAGATTTTTTTTTCAATGGGTGAAAATGGTATGGTAATCCCGCCTACGCTAACGGGATACGCTGGCGGAGCACCAGTGAAGGGTGATAGATGAGAGTGAAAACAGGCCAGTTAGCCCATCATAATGAATTCATCAGGAATTAACCATGATAGTATCCAGGGAGAACCGCGAGGAGGTCGACCTGGTTGGGTATATTGCTAGCAATGGGATTCTCAGTCTCTATTACTAACAATCCCTTTCTCCCCAGATATATAGATTACTACTATTAAATACCACTGGTTTTTTTTTACAGACTAACAGTGTTTACCTTTTTACTTCTACTGAAGAATTTGACGAAAATTAGACATTTCTTGCAGTTATGGTGTCGGAAATGTTCGATTTTAAAATATTTGAAATGTCTATATATAGATTTATAGGCGACATTTATTATAAGTACTACCAATATAGTACTATACTCGTATTATCTATGCTATAAGATAGGTCGTCAGATTGTTTGTCATTCTGAGTTGTTCACTGCAGTACTGATGTTGTTTAAAGCCGTTATGTTTTATCATTATGTACAATTTATGGAATGGACAGTCTACAAAGTTGTATATTCTATGTTAGATATATTTGAAGTGGGAAAAGGTATTTACCCGTATGTACTAATGACATTTACTAAGCTTCTGTTTATGCAAGTTATTTTATGTTCATGACAAGTTAGCATAATATCGATTATTAATTCGACTTTTTATTTGAAGCTAAATTCATATAGATAGGTAGTTTTTTAGAGTGAATATGTAATGACAATCCTGTCTGCGGTATTGGCTGACAGAATTCCAGTGTGGGATGCTGATAGATAAAAATAAAGATGGTTGGCTCATGGAGAAGAATTCATAAAGAATTTTACCACGATGGTTTTCGGGGGGAGACGCGTTAAGGTGAACTTAATAGGACATTTTTCTAATAATGGAGTCGCTTCACTATAATAATATAACACTACTAGCGATCTGTCACGGTTTCGCGCGGTTAGTTTTTAACTATTTTAAAAAATAATATATTCGTTGCCTACGCTACTCGCTGATAATGTAGTATTTTAGAAATAAAATAATTTTTTAAATCTGTTTAAAGTTGCGTTTATCCATTACAAATCAATTTCTTCCTCTTTATTATATTAATATAGGTTTGTTTGGAAAGAGCCTACTTTACTAGTGTTCTCTCTTGAACTGTTGAAATAAATTCGTCTTTTATAGAGTTACTCGTACATGAATATACATATATATATATATATATATATATATATATATATATATATATATATATATATATATATATATATATATATATATATATATATATATATATATATATATATATATATATATGTAGGTATGTTTATAAAAAAATATTATTTTGACTTGAATTACTGAAACTGCCTAACCGTCGCCTATAGACATGAGCAGTACCATGGACATAACAGAGAATGCTGTTTCGTCCATGATACCCCCTATGTGTTGCCATTCCTAAGGACTCAGGTGTTATTCCTCTGTACCCTGTAAATTCACGCCATATCCCACTCTTCAAACCGAAACACAGCCATGCAAACACAACTGCTTTACGGTTAAAACACGAATGGGACAGAGGTACCCAAGCAATCGATTTTTGTACAAAAATTATATTACATAAGACATGCAAATGACATCATCTGATTCCAGAATCTTCTTTCAGGGTCACACTGTGAAGAAGAGCTATCCGGACTGGGTTTTGGGCATCGCCGTGGTCATGATTCTAGCTGGAGTACTACCAATACCGGTGGTACTGCTTCTCAGGCGATTCCAATGCCTGGCATTCGACGTGGATATCCATCAGGGCTCCATTAGGAGAATCGAGACAACCGTCTCCACGAAGGAGATGATGAGTGATCAGGATGTAAGTATTTTGGTATTTAATACGTTAAGGGTATTATATACTTACATGTGGTTTAACAAAGATAAAGGATTCAAAGGGCCTTACGCCTTACTTCTCGATTCGACAGCTCGATTTCTTTATTGTTTTATAAAAATTGTACTTTTTAATGAGTTCCTAATAATATTAATACTAATTATATTATTAATATAACGAAATAAAACAATTTGTAAAATAAATGAAATTGACCTGTTGAAGGTAAAATGAAAAAAAGGTAAAGGGTTTACTTACATACGACTTCTAATTTAACATATTTATTTAAAATAAGTTCACACAGACAAACACGGATCTTAACACATGAAATATAACATATACACCCTCATGTGTAATCAAAATCTATAGGCGAGCGTCATCGCTGTACATTGTTCATAGTATATAAAGATTTCTAACAAGATTTTTACTTGAAAGAAACATAATATTTATATTCGTTTTTGGAATAAGCGATACAGCATCTGATTTACATCCAAGATAGTATAGTAACGTATACAACTCTAATAAGAAATCAATTAAGTCATTTTCAGAGTCATGACCTAAAAATGACTAAAGAGCGACGTCACTTTAAAGTCGTAGACGTCACCCTACTATTTGGAATGTTAAACATTAGGTAGAGCTTATTTTAATGAAGGACATATAATTATTATGTATGTTTATTTTTTTAATATTTAACGATAATTACTGTAGATAATTCCCATGGCTAACCTTGTGTTAAAATAACTAACTATGCTAACCTTTACATGCATGCAAGCTAGTTTTTGTCAACTAATCGGTATATTTAACTATATTTCTATAATTCCTCTATGTTCATTAACTAGCAAACTTAAACTTTTATTTATAAAAAGATAAATCTAATATACCGATTGCATAGGTCATATGCATTAACCACAGACATAATTTAAATAGATGTCTCAATGTTTTTTTTTTTTGCCACTTATTAAAGGAGCTAATTCATTGATAGTAATCCCTTTCGTGCTAAACAAATTTAAACAGGAGCAGTGATAATGATGATTAACTTAAGGAAGTTTTTGATTTTATATTACTATTTATTACGTCTAATATATCCATTTGGTCGTTGATATTATTATTAGTACTCCCATGATTAAAATAAATTTAACGATAACTATATGCCGTTAACAAAAGTCCTTCAAGCCATTCTATCTATTCATTTATATCTGACATAGTATCAGACAGGAGCTGATAAGTTAGGTTTTTTTAATGGGAGATAATGGATGGTAAACCCCACCCGCGCTATCGGTATACACCGGCGGGGCACCAGTGAAGTATAATAGGTGAGGATGAAGTAGGTCAATTAGTCCATCGTGACGAAGTCAACAAGAATTGTTCACGATGGTTTCCAGGGGGAACCACGTGGAGGTCGACCTAACAGGGCACATTGCTAGCAATGGAGTTATCAAACTTCATGATAAGTTAGATAGGTCAGTTTGGCCACCGTAATCATTTTCCAGAATTAACAACGAAGGTTTCCAGGGGTACCGTGTGAATCTTAGTAATCGGGACTATTTTTTTACTTTAATAGATGATAATGGGATGGGGTAACCATTCCTTATCCCATCCAGAGAAAGGAATGGGATAAGGAATGGTTGCCTCGCCTGCGCTAACGGCATACGCTGGGGGAGTATCAGTGAAGGTCGATAAGTAAGAAAGAAAAAGCAGGTCAGTTAGCCCATCGTGATGAATACATCTGGAATTCAGCACGATGGTTTCCAGCGGGGACCACGTGAAAGTCGACCTGATAGGGTATATTGATTGCTAACAATCGGTCTGGTAGTCCGCATTACTAACAATTCCTTCTCCTAACTGATAACTTAGCTCAGTTGGCATACGTATGGAACATAGTAACCGGGATTATTATTTTTAGTAATATAAACTTATTGTTAGGAATAGGCACGGTAATCCCCTGTTACTAATAGTCAATTCTTCATTACCCACACAGGCAATACTCAAATACATTTTTATTTCTTTCTTTCTTTTACACCAAAACATTACTTTTGGTAGCTGTCGGGTAAAACAGACATACAAAACAGATATCTACGTTTGCGGCATCTATTTACGAAGTTATGTTTGTAGCATGGACAGCTAGCCAAATTGTAAATAACAATTTGTTGTGACTAACAGTGGATGCACACGTTCTTCAAGCATGCTTCCGTGTGCTTTACGTTTATTTCAACTAGCCAGAAATAGTTGGGTCAAAAAATTGACGCTTAAAATATGTATAACTGCGACATCTATTTTAATCTATGTCTGTGGGTACGTACGCAGTTTTACATAAAAATAGAGATAGCTCGAGTGAGAACGTGTGTAGACACTTACATGTATTCACCCCGCTTGCCGGCACACTAAACAGGTCCTATCTCCGGAAAACGCTCCGCCTGCGCCGGCGCAACTCGTCGCTGAGGCAGCTGCCACTAAGTTCACTATCGGAGATTTCGACGTAAGTAACTAACTAGGAGAAATAATTTCAATTATTGATATTGAAATTAATATTGAAAAATTAAGTGAATACCTATTAAATTTTCAAAATAAGGAAGTGTGTATTTTTGGGGTTTATCGGTTAATTAATTGCACATATATACAAGAAAGATTTTATATTCTGAAATGAAGTATATATGATACTCGTATTGTATATTTTTTTAATATTACGACACAAAAATTTATAGATCTGTATTTTCTTCTTTTATACTGTTATACTAAAATCATTATGCCTATTACAGTACAATAATAGAGTAAAAATTATTTCTTATCTGATAATGGGCTAGCTTTTGAGAAAGCATTTCTTTAAACCTATCTCTTAACTTTATATTATTATTATTGTTTACACTTTATTGCACCAAGTAAAAAGAGAAATAACAAATACAGTAAATATTAATGAGAAGTGATACAAAAGGCGGTCTTATCGCTATGCAATCTCTTCCAGACAACCTTTGGGTAGTGGACATTGAGAAAAAGACAAAGGGTAGGTGACGCACTATTATATAAATATTATCATATACAAACATATATACATACATACATACACATACATATTTCAATTTGATAATTTTGTAAAATTACTTTTTTGAGTCTTCCCCGAAAGGAGAAAGTTTATTTCTCCTTTCGAGTTCTCAAGGTTGACTGGGAGAAATCCCTTTAAGGGATAAGTCCGTCTGTAATATATTTTTGTTATAACCTAATGTCTATATTTAAAGTGTACATATAAAAGCATAAATAAATAAATATATAATAATTTTGTCTCCGATCTGTAATAAATATAGTTCACATTGGTTCTTAGAAGAAAGAAATCGCAGAACTCTCAAATTAAAATTTTAATTTTAGAGATAGGTTTTAAGGAAATAATGCCTCAAAGTGGACCTTCGAATATCCAATAAATTGTATCAAAAATTTCCAATAGTCATTTGAAGCTAATATTTTCAGTTCATTTACTGCCATGAATGTCAATTCGTCTGTAATATTTATTTCGCTCGTGCTAGTTTTCTACGTACAGTATACATGTTATGTTCATCCTTAACAACTCTAGGGAGTGGACAGCAGTGACGAGAGGCCAAAACGTCTACCCACCAGCATTGCTCGCAGTCGGCCGAAGAAATAAATGTTTGTCTCTCTTGTTCGTATACTTGCATGCTTTGCTTGTTTAGCTATATTAGAATAGATCTAGTATTTCTATGTTTTAACTTGATATTTTAAATAACATGATTGATAATCGGGGACTGTACAAAAGTTTGCTTGGGTACCTCTGACCCATTCGTGTTTCTACCGTGAAGCAGTTAGGTTTGCATGGCTGCGTTTCGGTTTGAATGGTGAGATATGGCAGTAAATGTATAGGGTACAGAAGAATAACACCTGAGTCTTCAGGAATAGCAAGACATAGAGGGTATCATGGGCGAAACAGTATACTCTATTATGTCTGTAGGCGACAGTTACCATTTTCCATCAGGTGCGCCGTCAGCTTGTTTACCATTCTAAGTTGCATAAAAAAATCTCAATTCTATTGGGTTAATACAGGTAGGTAATATGGTGTCATTTATTTTAGATTCGCGACGATAAAAGGACCAGTATCGCACCCCGAACACTTCATACAAAAAACGCCACGATTTTGTTTGAAACAAATTTGCACAAATTTTGAATTTACCTAATGCATGCAGCAGATAATAGATTCTTGCACAATTTGTAAATGTTCCTAATACGAGATATATTGAAGTAACAGTGCATAAAATAAAGGATGTAATTAAAATCATTAGCATTATTTTAAGAGAATCTTCTACATCTTTGGGTGGAAGGGTGGGGTATGGCGTGAATTTACAGGGTACAGAGGAATAACATCTGAGTCCTCAGAAATGGCAACGCATGGGGGGTATCATGGGCGAAACAGTAAACTCTGTTATGTCCATGGTACTGCTCATGTCTATAGGCGACGGTTACCACTTTCCATCAGGTGGGCCATCAGCTTGTTTGCTATTCTAAGTTGTATATAAAAAAAAATCTTTCCCAAAAAACATGATGAATACATCGTCTTGATGTGGGGACTCATTATTTAATTATATTTCGATCTATGTTCCATTGAAAAAAATATCCAGTTTCGCTTGTAGACAATCGTTGTTAATGATTTCGATTTCATCTCATAGTTAATGTCTGAGTTTCTGAAAAGAGAGAGACTTTGTACAAAACTCGTCTGCTTGGGTACCTCTGTCCTATTCGTATTTCAACCGTGAAGCAGTTGTGTTTGCATGGCTGTGTTTCGGTTTGAAGGGTGGGATCTGGCGTGAATTTACAGGGTACAGAGGAACAACACCTGAGCCCTCAGGAATGGCAACGCATTGGGGGTATCATGGACGAAACAGTATACTCTGTTATGTCCATGGTACTGCTCATGTCATAGTCATGGTGAGCCGTCAGCTTGTTTGCCATTCTAAGTTGTATAAAAAAAAGACAATTTTTCAATAATTTTACGGTTAAGACCTTAAAACGACTGAATAATGACGTCTTTTTAGACTCGCAAACGCTACTATAGTACTCGAGAAGATATGTATATATTTAATTAAAATAAAACATGTCTTTACAGTCCTCAGATAGCGAAGATGGGATCCGTACATCGGGCCGTTTCGAAGACTCGAGCAGCGACGAGGAAATATTAAATACTCGAACTGGACGCCTCGCTATGAAGCCGATTGGCCGTAAGCCCACCACATTTAAAATGGATGTTAATAATGATTGACGGGTAGTTTGTTTCTCAAACTTTCGACTACACTGGACTCCATAGCTGTCCACATTATTATTTTAATAACTTATACTTTCCATAAAAGGAGGATATTATTTTATCATTGCCACGTTGGCTAGAAAGAGTGGTATAACGTTTTATATCGAGTAATGGTGTATGTTCTTTGTTTTCTCAGTTGCGTCTAACAAAATCATGGGATTGAAAAGAAGTTATGGCACTTTGTAATCTTACTTCTTCCTTAATTCTTACTTATAAAAGAAAACAAGAATATTAGACCCAATACACCATTGTTAAAATACATCACATCGCTACTCTATATATGAGTATCAGATACTGAAATTAAAGAGAGAATTGATAGACGATTAACAGTCGTCAAAAGAAATGGCTGTAGAGTAGATGATATTTCACTGTTACCACCGAATATTTTACCAGTAAGAATAAGGCACATATATGAAATAGTAATACATAACTAAATACTGCCGATCGGCTACAAAGCGATCCCGTCCCGGCATCTCCAAACTGATATTAAAAGTATTTTTAATGTCGGACATAAAACAATTTTAAAATATATTTTAGTAGTTACAAGTACAGCGGGGGCACTTTTAACGCAATGGATTTGGAATCAAATATTTCGAGATTTAGTCCACAATTAATAGACGTTGAATACAAGGGTCTATATAAAACGCACATTGGCTCAAATGAGAGGAAGAAAGCTAAGTAGGAAACAAAGAGATCCATTTATTTTTACAATATCCTCTATATTATCCAGAGATATTAGATAAGTACATATAATAATTCACGTGATATCAGAGTAATGACCTTCTGGTATGTTTGAATGCGTCAAAAGTTACCCCGCAAATTTTCGAAATTGTTTTAGGTGTCTACTCAAAACGTCATAGCTGGATTTTGTTTACCAGTTTACATAGGATTACCATTCAAGACAACCATACAAATTACCATCACATCTCTTTTTTATCATTTAAATATATATTTTATATTTGTCTGTTAATTTCTTTTATACATATGTATTGAGATTTTTATATATTACATAGAGTGATTACAAAAAAATTAATGTTTTTCTCTGAGAAACATGAGTTGAGAAATAATAAAATATTTCGAGCCTTCCATGCTAACACACTACATCTAGTATCAAGTTACTATGGCAGTCGAAAAATTTTTGTTATATTACCTTGTACTTGGAGAAAAATCTATTGGTAAAGGATGCCAATTATCTCTCTATTCAACTCTATTGGTAAAGGATGCCAATTATCTCTTACTGTAAGTCGACTCATCTCATTATTCACACGGAATGAGGCAGAGCTAAGTGGGCTTTTATTTTAGAGTCGTATTTCACAATACGCGGTAGCACGGTGACGTACGCAACTCTAAATACGTGTCAATTTTGGATTAAAATTAGATCTTAAGATGACTAAAGAGTGACGTCATTTTAAAGTCGTAGTTCGCACCGTACTACTGGAGTACTAAAATCGAAAAATGTAGCAAAGTATTTCTTTAAATAAGGCCTGCACTGAACTATTTAGTGGGTATATATTACGCAGTATACGATGTATATTTCACATACAAAATTTCTTCTTTATTTCTTCTTTTTTTTCTTTGTACTTATTTTTCAGTGTACTTGCTCAACATATATATATGCGTTATAGTATATCATTGTAGGTGTTTTATTGTGACTAACTGAAGGAAGTAAAAAGTGTAGGTACGCCGGGGCCATGTCTTGTTGGATTTAAAAACCTGAGCGTACATAAAGTGGAATTTTATCCACGGACAATATATCCCTGATCTACGTAAGCTATTATAGAAAATCTTGCAAAATCAATTCTAATACTTAGTCCCCACTACACTACGAAATCTCATTTCGTAACTTTAAAACTAGTGAATTGCAGGCCTGGGTTTAATACATTACAAGATTGATGTATTATCCTTCAATGAAAGCAAGTGAGCAATTTTATTATAAGACATACAAATGTGGTTGTGTTCAGGTTTTTGATTGCAATGCTCTTAAAATTTGCGTACAATTAACTTAGTAGCCTGTTTAGGCATAATTTCTGATTATTATAATCATATAGGTCGACTGACAGAGAATGTTACGTTTGCCCTTTGCATCATACATTTTTTTTTTATTCCTAATGTAATAATTAAATTAAAAAAAAAAGAAACTTTTAGTCATAGAGCCCAATTTTTGCTACTTATGATTTGAAACTTAATAACTTGAGATAAGGTTTACTTTGAATGAAATTCGGGCATTCATCTATAGGTATTATTCATCATTAATGTAGAAGATCATTCATTAGATTTTAAGGAATGAGTGAATTAATCAGATGGTTCTATTGTAGAATTGTAGAACTGAGGTATGGAAAGGAGGGGACGATATTGATAGGTTTTTATAACGGCCGAATAAATAACTTTAATTTATAGCTCTGTCTGGGTTACGATTCTTGCCATGTCAAAGAAAAAAAAAAGCATTGCGATGTATCATGTATTTGATAAATAAATTCCAGTGAGTTACCAGCCGTCACCGAATTAGTGTTGATGTCTTATTTATATGGATTTCATTCTATGTATCAATGTTCATTGAGAACCACAAAGGTAAAAACACAATCAGTCAAAATATTCAAGTATTCAATTTATAAAGTACAGGAGAGTAACATCCGAGTCCTCAGGAATGGCAACACATGCGGGGTATCATGGGCGAAACAGTATACTCTGTTATGTCCGTGGTACTGCTCATGTCTATAAACGACGGTTACCACTTTCCATCAGGTGGACCGTCAGCTTATTTGCCATTCTTATTTGCATAAAAAAAAGTACGAATACCCTTTAGATGGTGTAGATAGTACCTAAATACATGATAGAATCGTTCTTTGTACATCACGTTTCATTCGAAGTAATTATGATCGAATTAAAATATGACTAATTTAATTATAGGTGTGTTGGATTTGTAAACGGAACGGTTAAGGATGGTCAATAAAGTAGAATGTTTTAGCGCTAAGTTGTTGATCACTTTCTAGTGAATTGTTGAATTCATGTCATTTTACGCACTCAATAGGGAATACTGGCTATTCGGAAATAAATAAAAATATATATAACATTCTCAGATAGTTTGGGCAAATAAAAAAAAAAATCATTGAAAAATTAATTACTTTGGCCTATATTTTTAAACACCAGAACTCCATACAAAACTACAATAATATAACTGGACTCATAAAATTGGTAATATCACTCATATGGATAATTAAGCCGGCAACATAACACCTGAGTGCATTTTCTTAGCCTTACATACTTTAAGTATTTATAGTTGATCGTTAAGCCGTTAAGGAATCTCGTCATTACCAAATTTATAGAATTAAGTATAGACAGTGCTTATTAAGCACATTAAATATAGTAAACGTAGAAAAATATCAAGGATATTGTAATAAAAATGCTTAATTATCGCTAATCACCGTTAATAAATCAAATTAGTTCGATGGAGACGCCCTCTGTCACGTGAGCAGCTGCAACAGTCAATAAATGCCTCTAACTGTAATTAAGGATTATATTTGTAAGCATATTTTTATTTTTTAATTAATTGTTTGTTTTCTAAAAATGTAAACGCATACGAAAACGATGTCTCAATCTCATATCTGTTACAATTAAAAATAACGGAAAATCCGAAATCATTTTTTAGTTAAAATGGACAATTCAAAGAACATGTGTTAAGGAAAAAATAGTCGAACATTTTAATTTATAACTATGAAATATTAATATTTTTATTTTAATGAGATTGTATTTTATATAAAAAACCAATGGCCCAGCTAGTTTAAGACACCTATTTTGCTTAGATTATTTTATTTATTTATTATTTTTATCAATCATATTTTATTTATATCAGCGTAATGGAACATAATGTAATGCAAAACATTTTAATATTTTTTAGTAATTTTACTAACCTGATATAATGCCCAGAATACACCATCAATCTAGTTTTACATAGAGCTCATAGATCTATATACATTATAGGAGGATGCTAATGAATTAGCAGATCTGATTGAGAGATCTTAACAACCTCATTTTTTAAGCAGATTGGGCATAAAGTAATTAATACAACAGAAATTATTAAATTGATATGACAGTAGGTACCATTACTGGTATCCATGTATTTTATATGAAACAGCTGTGGCAAACAAATATATGACACACAAAAAATGTATTAAAAAGTACCACCACACGTCATATCAAATCAAAATAATAAAAAATTATGTTATTTTTATTCTGTGCTATCCATCAAATATTGTACTTATTACAAAGTGCAATATATAGTTATAATGTTTCATGCCAATCATTAGATAATAATCGTAATAATATGGATTTAAATAAAAACTGAGGTAGCATGGCAACACTAGTGACTCTAAAGAGATGTCATTTTAACGTCGCGACCTTAAAATGACTTTAGAATGACGTTTCTATATTCACAGACGTCACCATATACGCGTAAAGACACTTTAAGTGTTGAGCATTTATTGTCCGATAAATACTCGAAGCAACCAAATAGTACATCATAATACCTAATTAAGTAGCTACTCATAAGTGATACTTACAAGGGAATATTTATTTTACATAGTTAAATTACTAATTTATTAATAAATTTTATTATTAACTTAATTCATATTATTCTATTATTAAAATATTGGATTATATTAATAAATTTCAGATTATGACTATGTGTCACAAAAGATTTAATATTAATAATTTAAAGTAACAAATTTCAATTATATTGTTCTCTCAACTACGTTAAAATGCATTTTAATAATAAAATTATAATTAAAATAATTAATCAAAATTAAATTTCAAATCAAACTCTGGGTAAGTATACACACTGAAGTTTCAAATATTTAATGGAAACGTTAGGTATTTTATTAAGTATAGAACTTAATTTAAAATTAAGGGACTGTGTTCCAAGAAACCGTTAAAACACTTTACACTTAGATTATATAGATAGAGCATTGAGTGTTAACGTGTCAACATTTTGTCAGCTATATTAACATTTGAACGATTTTTTTTTTTATCGCGCCTATTTTTAATTGTTACAAGTACTTGGATTAAAAAATTTCCAGATCAAATCGATTTCTTAAAATTGAATTGAAAACTATTAACATACATGTATAATTAAAAAAAAACTATAAAATTTTCAAATACATACCTTGCTCTTTCAAATACATTCTGGATAATTTTGTATCATTATTTTTTAATTTAATATTACAATGTAATTTCTCCCATATACTGAGTAATAAATGTACAATACGGTTACTGGTAATATTGACCTGTTTTTTGAGATTTGTACGGTGACACTCTATCTATATAATCTAGGGCTTTATATAACGTTATCAAAGATTAGACTGGGATGCTTTTATGGTTCTAATTTTAAATGCTAATTGCTTGTTAAGAATAAAAACTTTTAAAATGTATGTACCCAAATCATTGTTACAATGAAATTAAATTTGAGGCATCACTAAATTAAATTCATACAATATTAGTAATATTATAATTTGTACTTAATTCGCGTTTTATAAACAACTGCATTATGATTGTTCGCTTAACTTAAAGCAAGATATTTATGTTCTTATTATACTTAATATTAAATTAAAAATTTTAATTCTATAACTGTCAAAAACATAGTTTCATTTGATACATTCTTTTTTTTTTTTAATATGAACTAATACATAATCTTTAAATTATCATTTTAATTCGAAAATTAATTTCATTTCCAAACAACAACAATAATTTAGTTTAGTGATGCATTTAAAGTAACAGTTGGCAAGTTTATATAACGATATGCCTAAACTGCAATGACAACCCAGCCTTCACGTAGGTACTTAGAATACGAAATAGTTCTATAAAGCATGCTCAAACAAGAGCTACGTGTTTTAGTAGATAGCTTGGGATCACATCCCGTTCTAGTTGTAGAAAACCAATGATATTATATTATAAGACTATTGTAATTACATTTTGAAATGTAAAATTAAAATTGCTACATAATTATGTTGTTTTATTACCTATATATTTCATTACCTATATACAGATAGAATGTGTTAAAGGAAATTTATTAATATCTATTTTTTTATGCAACTAAGAATGGCAAACAAGCTGACGGCCCTGATGGAAAGTGGTAACCGACGCCTATACACATGAGCAGTACCATGGACATAAAGACATAGAGTATACTGTTTCGCCCATGATACTCCCCATGCGTTGCTATTCCTGAGGACTCGAGTGTTATTCCTCTGTACCCTATAAATTCACTGCCATATTCCACTCTTCAAACCGAAACATAGCCATGTAAATACGACTGCTTCATGGTAGAAACACGATAATAAAGTTTCTCTATACGAACTCACTGTGTTTTGTCGTTTCCGACAATTGTTTCGACTTCATCCGGATGTCTTCTTCGGGAGGTATACAGCACTTGACGAAATAGTGTCTTGTTTCACACTGCGAGCTGCAGCTCGCATAGGTCGTGATGGCGTCGGTGCAGGCAGAGCTGGGGGCGGTGACCAAAGAACCTGGTGTTGTCGAAGATGAGTAGCTGTATCTCGTGTAGTTATCGTTTTTTTTTTTTTATATGTATATGGACATCGGATTAAAATGAACATAAAATAAAAAATATTTATGTAAAAAAACAGGCATTCAATCATGACAAAATTCATACACGGAATCTGTACGGTAGTTAACTCAATTGGATATAAAAAGACATACATACATAAATACCACTTTGGATGGATATCTCTATCTCGAATTACGACCGAAGGTATGTATCAATAAATGTAAAGATACAACTTATTTATTTTTTATTGTACACAAAAAATTACAAACATATAATATATATTAAATACAGATGTACAACAGGCGAGCTTAACTCTGTAAGAGTTCTCTTCCAGCAAACCCTGGAAACTACCTTAGTAGGTAATTCAAATACACGCCAAATAATACAAAAACCTTTTATGATAAAATAAAAAAAAAAGTATTTTTGGGAGTCAAATAAAAGTAATTATTATTCTCAATACTTTATTAAGATATTTCATTCACAAAAATATTTCAATATCAATTAATGTAGATATAAATACACCACATATAATTAAATTTATTTCTCAATTTATGTCATGTATAATTTAGATCTGTTTTTTTTATATATATATATATATTATATCTAGCAATAAATACTTAAAAATACATTAAAAGTAAAATTTAAAGTCCATACAGTGTCTGTAAACACCGGTACCTCGGGTTTCCCTACTGAGGCGAAACAAGACAATTCTGTGTTCTGAAATTTGCTAATTATACCTCTATGTCTTGAAAGACAGTAAAATAATACGTAGTAGCCGTTTCCTTCTCTTGGCAATTAAAATATAATTTGAAATTTAATAAAGACAACAAAATACAAGTATTTTAAATATTATTATATGTTCAATATAAAATTGGCGCCCAACGTGGGACACAAATTTACATGTAAATGGAAAGTGACTATTGAGCACATTTAAAAGTAATACAATTAAGAAGCTTACTGCCAATTTATCTATATGAGAGCGCTTTTTCTTCTTTCCTTTTTTACGCTATTGTATTACAAACAATTACGCATTCATAAGTTATTCCCATACATATATACTCAAAAAACAATTTTATTAAATCCAATCATTTCCCGCCTATAATCTAAGTTCCCGCCATTTTCCTATAATTTTTCGTCAATCTTTTATCCAAATTTAATCACTGCTTATAGTCTATAGTAAAAAGGGAGAATGTAAGTTATGAAAAAAAAACCGCCATTGAGAAATATTTTTATGCTATTTTTTTGTCAGTAGACCTCCAATGACTATTTGCTATTGTATACGTTGTAGCACAGTGTCGCCACCTTTGCAGAGTTTATGTAGATTATTCTATTACAGTTCATAGCAGTCGCAGAAGCGACGGCGTGTACGACAAAAATGCAAGCTACCAGTGTTACCAGATACTATAGTATTAATTTAAAGCTATTATTATAAAATTTTAGCTAATTAATTTTATCTACTATTTACAGCCAATTCATTTTAAATATATTGCACTATGAAGTTTTTGTTTTACTTAAGTACCCTCTATTTACAAGCACAGCATGTTATTTAAAAAGTAAGTACTAAAGTTCTATAATCTATGCCCCTTGACTTTACAAATTCATGATGACAGTGATGATCAAATTAGGGGCTGAATAAATAACAAAAAAAAAAACTACACAAATAAAAAAAAAATGTTCGCAATTATAAATAAACAATACGAGTATAAGAAATTTAAATTTTAAATTACATCACATAAGATTGTAGGAAATGTATAATAAATTAATTTTCTAATAATAAATAAATAATAAATCTAATAAAACATGCTACAAGAATATCTAATTCGAGTTTTTAATTAAGTTTTTAGTTAATACTATCATTGTGATATTCACAATTTTTGAGAATATTGTTATTACACTATTTAAGTACAATTGTGTATAGGTAGAATATATCACTGTATACAGTTCATTTTCAAAAAGATCATTTGAAAAGAGGTAAGTTATAAAGAAATATACACTAAAAAAAACTAAAAATAATTGTCAATGGTTCAATGAAGAATGTATATGACTTCTTTTTGAATTTAATCGTAAATAATGTATATAATACTAGCTCTTACATGCGACTTTGTCTACGTGAGCGGGATGTTTACTGACCAAATTAAATTAATGGCCTATATCCTTCTCGATCCTATATAGGATATGTATTATAAATTTCATAGTTATTGGTTAAGCCGTTTAGGCGATACAAAGTAACTCAATTTTAACTTGTATAATATTAATAAGGATTTACTTGTTAAATAATAACAGTTGTGTTTGCATGGCTGTGTTTCGGTTTGAAGGGTGGGATATGGCGTGAATTTACTGGGTACAGAGGAATAACATCTGAGTCCTCAAAAATGGCAACGCATGGGAGGTATCATGGACGAAACAGTATACTCTGTTATGTCCGTGGCACTGCTCATGTCTAAAGGCGACGGTTACCACTTTCCATCAGGTGGGCCGACAGCTTGTTTGCCATTCTAAGTTGTATAAAAAAAAGCGGCAAATAACGACATATCAGCTTATGAAGTCCGAGATAATAAGATCAGGAATTGAAATCACAAAATAAACTTTAGAAATTCATTTTTGGATTCTTTAAAAATAATTATCACTTGTTTCGTGCCGTGGACAGTTTCTATCGTTCAGTAAGCCATGTCAGCGATATAAAAATACAATACTAGAGGGCACCACTAACACATGAACAGATATTATGTAAATAATCAAGTACAATCATTGATAATGACATAATTTAGTCCTGGAGTATAACATTGCAACCGAGTGCCAGCTATGCCTATAGGCGACAATTACCATCTTCTATTAGGCGGTAATACAGTGAACGCTCTATATAAGCAATACTTTTTATATTTTATTTATTCTACACAGCTTAATTAGTAAAAGAAATAAGTAAAAATATATTCCAGACATTCCAGTATTTTTATCCTTTAAACTCCTTTTTTTCCTATAAACTACCTAGTAACTTTTCCCAATAAGATTTTTATTTATTTTACTTAGTTCAAATGTGTTGCTTATATAGAGCGTTCACTGTAGTACCTTATATGCATACTATATCCACATTACGTACCAACCTTATCGGTTTTATTAAAAAAATAATAACTTACAGCAATAAAAATTGTTACAGCATTAACAACGATCGAAATTCAAAAAGACGTCCACAATTTCAAAATGGGGTTTTAGAACTGTTGGAAATAGATATTATTAAGAGTACATTAATAATGATAAACTACCAGTATGGATGGTAATGAAGATATGATGGTAATGAGAATGGTAATGAGGTGGTAATGAGAAATGATGAAGATGGTAATGAAGATATGGCTAGTATGGGAAGCAGTGTCCCTCTTAAAACATCACTAAAGCCAAACTGCGGTTGCCAATCCGCCTGCCAAACGTGGCAACTACTGCTAACACCCCCTTTATGGGGAGACCTATATTCAACTGTGAATGGTTGTTATGGTGATAATGAATGCTAATGATTTCGATTTAACCTTGTATAGTTGCTGGCAAAAGGCGAAACTAAATCCAACAGTTCCAAATCCTAATAGAGCTACCAACCTTCACGGTTGATAGCAGAAAGGGCATAGATTGAAAATATACTGTTACATAGCGTCACTCCTATTATTCTTTTGAGTCAACTTGCTCAACGTACTAAGTTGTGGGAACGCTGTCTTATTTTGTACTGGATTGAGCTTTGAGGTCATGAATATGAAAGGTTCATAAAGTGAGGGTCGATCCATTGCGGATACCTCAAAGTGCCGAACTTTCTCTCTGGCACACCAGTTGGAGGCTTTCGAACATGTGTTCTCGAGACTGTTGATGTCATCAGGGCCAGTACGGTTGCCAATGACTAGCATTACTACCTGTAAAAAAGTAACAATATATGACTTTCTTTTACCCGCGACTTTGTGCACATAACTATAATATACCACTGAGGTAGCAAACAAGTATATGGCCCTCCTGATGGTAAGCGGTTAAATACAGCATAACCTATGAATGCCTGCAATACCAGAGGCATTACACATTATTGTTAACCCTGAAGAAACCTCTTTACCTCTTTTTTGAAGAATCCCATACTGTAATAATATATTGATTAACTGAGACAGAAAGCAGGTCTTCTCCATTCGAAATAATATGTGAATACATATGGGAAATTGATGATGATGATTGTTTAAACAGTTAAAACGCCAATAAACAATCAGTTTCATAATTGTAACACTAATTATAACAATATGGTCAATTAATAATTAAGGTAGATTGTCGATATTTAAATGTCCGGCTCGAAGGACCAAGGAAATGTTTATGAAAAATATGGTATTTTGATTCTCATATATTGACATAGGTATTAGTAATTATTTGTAAACAAGCAACATTAATTTTACAAATAACTTTAAGGCATACTATTTGCAATAAGTAGATAAATACCTTTTCTCTGATTAAAATTTCCAGCACATCTATGAAACTTTTCTTTATTAGATTAATTTTTTTTCTAATAAGAAAATTATACCTCTTTTTTATCCTTATTTCTGTCTATATCTTTCTTCAGGTACATCAGAACATCGAGTGACTCTGGCTTTGTGGTGTCATATACCATAACAAATCCTTCAGCGAAGCCAAGGTAATGCCTCTGGAGGACTTGGTTGGCTGTTAGCTGCATTGTCGGTGATTGTGGTGGACCTATGGATGAACAAAATAGATATTTATTCACTAAAAAAATATTCTTATTTTTATTTAGGTTTCAATTTCCCTAAATGTAATAGATAAAGATCTTACACCACTTAAATCACTTTATTAAATATTTTTTCAATAGATATGTACAATAGTAAAGTAGAATGAACAGGCATTAGCTGAGGTATTAAGGCAGATAAAAGGTAATACAAAGTAATGATATTCAACTATAACTGAAATGGAATTTAAGATTAAAGATGTAAACAAAGAGGTTACCATGTCAAAAATATAAATGACTTTGTGTAGTATATCAAATATATATATTATTCATGTCTATGGATGACACTTTCCATTAGGTGGATGACTGGCTTTTTTACCATTCTAATTTGCGTAAAAAAATTATCTATTTAAATTAATCTAAACATTTATTATTAATTAGGTTAGAATTCTTATAATATTGGCAATAAGATAGTTACTTTGAACATTTGGATCACTTTTTTCTATACTTGTGAGGGTCTCATTTTGTTATTATATTTGGTTTCTGCCGAATATGTAAAATTACATATAATATCAATTCTGAAAGATAAATCTTACATAAAATACAACCCATAACATAAAATAATTCAGCAGTAAAATATAAATATTAATTGCATATAAGCCATGGTAGTTTTTATATAATTAACAATTAACAAGAGTAATTTTTTTATGATACTTGACTAGCAAATAAGCTGTCGGCCCACTTGATGATGATAATGGTAATTGTTAAGTTTTTTGCAGGTTCTTCTCAATAGGCAAAAAAAAAAAACAGTGAATCATAAAACATTACGATTTAAAGGAGCCTGTTAACAAGTGTATTTAAATAAAAATTATTTCTGTTCCATTCAAATATTTTCTAAAAAATGAAAAAATATTAGTGACTATAATATAAATTTTATATTTATGTTAAGAGACATGATCAAAGAACTTCTTGTGAGCAAATGATGCCTGATAAGCAAAAATGGAAGAGAAAGTCAGTGACGTTCTTTGAAAGTTGTGATACCTCTAAGCAGTGAGATAAAAGCTAAGAAATAATGATGATTCCGTATTTAAATTATAAAACGATTTGAAACCTTTCAACTCGCCTGTAAGCGGAGGCTCGAGTCCCGCAGTGTCATAGAAACAAACACGCTCCTTCGTACCCCTATCCGTTTCAATATTAGCCACGTAAATGTCTTCTATAGTAGGATAAAATGACGATTTCATATTTACATTTCCATATATTAGTTGCTCCAGTATAGCAGTTTTGCCCACCCCTTTCATGCCACAAATAACCACTTTACTTGTTTTGCCCATTTTTATTGAAATTCTATGTAAAAGGAAGAAAGTTAATCAATCGTAAACATGCTTTTTAAAGTGATGAGTTATGTGAAACCTGTTTTTATTTTTCACATTATTTATTTATGAATTGTGTTTCAAAAGTATATTGTTTTATATATTACTTTAATCCAACATATGGTAACAATAATAAATTATCAGAGAGCTATAGAAAATTTCGTAACATTTAGGACTGCAGCGAAGTACAGCATAGAGAGATTATTCCATTTAAAAGTTGGCATTCCCCTCACAGTCAAAACTGGGTAATAAATGTATGCAACCACGTAGAAGTATTAATCTAATTCAATGTATAAAAATTCATCGTTTTTCAACTATTATACAATGTTTCCATTAAAAACATCGATATTGATAGGCGTCATAAAAATATACCTATTGTATACAATTGTCAAATACACTAAACCCCTCCAGTTTAGGGGGGGGGGGGGGGGAATTGTTAGTAATGGGTTCTAAAAACCCCATTGCTCTAGTAATATACTCTATTGGGTCGACCTCCACGCGGTTCCCCTGGAAACCATCGTGGTTAATTCTTATCAAATTCTTCATGATGGGTCAATTGATCTGCTTTTATCTGGTTGCATAGAATTTAAACAAATATATTTTTTCAAAATAATGCGGACGTGGTTTGATAGACTTATAGTACCTAGTTTTCGGATTTGACATTGCATTTGACAGCTTTCAGAAACCGTCAGTTAGGTGACATTGACACTTCTTCGTCTACATTAAACTTGAAGAAAACATTTTTGTTTTATACAGTATTCTTTTCTTTATCTCTTTCTATGACATTACAAACTTATTAGAATTGAGTCATCTATTTTTCATAGTAAAGTAAAATATACAAAATTATTGATACAATAAACTTTTTTTGATTGATTGACGGCGAGTATGTCGGTCACTGCACTAGATTCTGAAATTACGAAAAGTGATAAATATTCAATTTTATTGCCCACTTACAATGAAAGGGAGAATTTGCCAATAATAATATGGTTGATTATTAAGTATTTAGACAACAGGTAATGTCTTGCAACATTATCACTTCATAACTTCTGTTATTTGTACCTATGTACTTCTAATATTTTATGCTAATTTTTTCAGCGGTTATGATTACGAAGTAATTGTGATCGACGATGGAAGTCCAGACGGTACTTTGGAAGTCGCGAAGCAACTTCAAAAGATCTACGGATCCAATAAAATAGTGTTACGCCCTCGTGAGAAAAAATTGGGTTTGGGCACAGCTTACATACACGGTATAAAACATGCGACCGGCAATTTTATAATTATAATGGACGCTGATTTGAGCCATCATGTGAGCACTTGTATTATTAACCTTTTTATATGTGTTATTTATAAATACTAGTGAGCATTCATCATGCACTCATTAATACCTGGGAGGAGAAAGGTATTGTTTAGTAATACAAGCTACCAGTCCCATTTCTGGTAATATACCCTGTCAGGTAGATCTCCATGTGGTCCCCCTGGAAACCATTGTACTGAATTCCAGATGTATTCATCACGATGGGCTGAGTGACCTGTCTTTTCATTCTCATCTATCATCCCTTACTAATGCCCTGCCAGTGTATAATAGGTGGAGTTACCATTCCATTATTATCCATTACAAAAAAAAAAAACTCGTCAATAGCCATAGAACTATAATAATAATTGAAAAACATTGGAAATTGAAGTATGTATGTATTATTTCACTATTAGGGTGATAGCTTAGGTAATATTTGTTTGTCATCTAGGGATCCCAATAGTTACAATGCATCAAAAAAAAATCTATTGCTTGGGTACCTCCCATGTGTTGCCATTCCTGAGGACTCAGGTGTTATTATTAATTTATTAAATTACTAGTACATAAACATAAATTCTTATTTGTACATTAATATATTTATACACCAATAGTATACCAACATACCACATCACAGAAGCATACTGAAGATATGGGCAGCATTATCTTCTTAGATTGCTTAATTAATTTATTTTTTCAGCCCAAATTCATCCCAAAATTCATAGAACTGCAACGGGAGCATGACTATGATTTAGTATCAGGCACACGGTATAACAATGGGGGCGGTGTACACGGTTGGGACTTCAAGAGGAAGCTTATATCACGTGGCGCCAACTTCCTAACTCAGATACTGCTCAGGCCGGGTGCATCTGATCTAACTGGGTCATTCAGGTTAGTTATCAACACTTAGTTTTTTACATACTAGTTGTCATTAGAAACCAAAATGACTTTTTTTTTTATTGGTGATAATCTAAATAACTCCACCTGTGCTATCGGTATATGCTGGCGGGACACCAGTGAGAGATGAGAGGTGAGCATGAAAGCAGGTCAGTCACCCCATTATGAAGAATTTCACAAGAATTATGTATGATGGTTTCCAGGGTGAAGGCTGACCTGAGAGAGTACATTGCTAGCAATGGGACTCTTAAACCCCACTACCAACAATCCCATTCTCTCCAGTCAAAATGACTAGTATTTATTAATATTGGGGCTGTGAAGGGCCTAAATGACATGCTGCTATACTGGTTTTAATGAACATTTATATTTTATTATTGATGGATTGATATAGAACAAATTTAGGCTTAAGATATTTTCTGTAATAACCATCGCTACATACTATTCACATGATTAAAATGTTTTCTATCTGCTTTCAGATTGTACAAGAAGGATGTCCTTCAGAAGTTGGTGGATTGCTGTGTGTCCAAGGGCTATGTCTTCCAAATGGAAATGATAATTCGGTAACTATATGTGAAAAAGACTCTATTTTCTGCGCTGAGCCTCTCATTTGGGCCGTTGTGCGGTAACTATATGATTATAGGTGCTATTTTTCATAACCTATATTAAAATAACAGTAAAATCTTTATTCTAAAGATCAACATGAACTACATTTGTAATCGATGCAAATCAAAATTATTATAAACATAGGTTATGATGGTTCATGAAATAGCAAATTTTATGAAACTAATAAAATATTAGGTTAAGAGCCTAGAGAAATGGTATCTTAGAATTAATCCTGATATTACATATAATTAAATTATATTTAAATAGTGACTGACTAATCTAATATTTTAGAATCATTGTCTTTTTTTTTTTTGTTTTAGCACTCACCCATAGACAATAAAAAAGAAATTATATTATTTTCTAATATAACTATAATATTAATTAATAGAAAATGAAATGTTTTTGGTAAGGGTTCATCTACTAATCTTATACTAATAATACGTACTAATCTATAGTATTAGATGGACTGATTTTATAAATTTTAACTGTCATAATAACCAAATTGACTCCATTCTTAGAAAAAAAAAATTATTCATCTGTCAGGTCATTTAATACAAAATAACAATGCTCTTTATTTTCAGGGATGTTGCGTTTTTCTTTTTTCAGGGCCAGACAACTGGATTTTACAATAGGAGAAGTGCCAATAACATTTGTCGACCGCGTCTATGGCGAGTCCAAGCTCGGCGGCTCAGAGATCTTCCAGTTTGCTAAAGCGTTGCTGTATCTTTTTGCCACTACGTAACTGAAATCCACACAATTAAACCTTTCGATAGATTTACACACATCTGTCATGTACACATATGAGATAGAACGAGACCGCAACATCTGATATCTTGTTATTTTCATGTGCGCATAATGAAAACGTATTTGAATGAATGAACGAATGAAAAGTTTTACTTTCAAATAATGATACAGATTATAAAGATTAACAATATGTACACAAGCAAAATGAATACTTAATTATGTAAAAGCAAGATAAAGAGGAAACAATGGGCGGCCTTATCGCTAAATAGCCATCTTTTCCAAGCAACAATATAAATAAATGTATACTTTGCAATTTTAACAAACTTGTAATAATAAATTTTACTTGTCTAAGAATATTGCTCTTGTATATTCACTTTACTGCTTATTCTAATAGCCGCCATGAATATTCTGATGTGTATACAGTTCACCCAGCAGTGGATATAAAAAATGGATTCATTAAAAAAATAGCTCATTAATAAAAATAGGCAAGTGCAATTATAACTGTTGTATCAAAAAGGATTTAATCCTGTTAATATTATTAAAAAAAAACTTCAACAATTTTTATAAAATTATAATTAATTTTATTAAATTTTATTAATTTTAATATCTATCCTTTTTTGCCATTAAGACATTTTCAAATGTGTTTTTTTCTCAGTGCATCAATTTAAAGAATTCTGAGATTTATAGAATTAAATCATTGCCCCAGTACTAATTTTGATTGAAGATTGAATTGATTAGTTTTTTTTTTTTTTGATATTAAGCATTTATAATGTCAATATTTTGAGATGTAAAGTTGTACATATTTTTTAATTATTGTTATTCTTCCGTTGAATATACAAGAATAGCTTATTTTTCATTTACATTAACGCAAGAAAAGACATTATGTAATAATTTTATTTTTAAATATATAATGAAGTGATAGGGGATAGTTTTATACAGTGTATAATCAGAAAGCTGGTGATCTTTTTATTACAAATATTATTCTTTTCTTTACTAACCAAAATACATATCTGATATTGTTTTATGGTCACAAAGATATGTACAAGTAATATTTTCAAAATTAAATGTGATAATAACCACGAGCTTTCCGATTATAGATGAATGTGTGGAGACTGTTAATATATATAATTTATAATTGTCACATTAACAAATATTTAATAAATGATTGTTTTATATTTTGAAAATTGATTATATTTTTTACCAACACTATAATAGTACACCTTTAACAAACTCATTGAATCAGAAAGCAATCCTAGTATTTTATATGCTGTAACAAATCTGGGCAAGTTCATTACAATAATAAACAGCTTGGACTTTGTAATCAGTCGATTAAATTCGAGCATAAACAGGCACGTATCTACTGCCGCTTTTAAGGGAAGGAATGAATATTCCGTGTTCTAGTGGTTCAATAGTATTATTTTGCAGTATGATCATCTACGAAGGCCGTTATATTCTTCATTATAAAACGAATGAAATGAACGAATGATAATATGGTGATTCTTTTTTGTTTGACATTGACAGATATTCAATTCATTGTTTTCGTCATTTCGTGTTCTGCATTGTTTGTTGTAATTTACCTATTATTTGTAAAATATTGCAAGACCTACATTTCGAAACTCAATGTAGTTTTAGTTAATTACTAAATCACAAAATGAGTTTCGCGAACGTTGGTTCTTTAATACGCAACTGTAGTGGTACGAGTTTACGATACGAGCAAGCGTGTTTGGAGCTAGTCACCAATGAAAAAATAAGCTTCTGGAGTCAATCTGAAGAATGCCAGGGTTGTGTTTTGCTGGAGACATTTAAGTTGCCGGCTACAGGCGCCGTCGTGGTACAAACCTTGAACCCTTTGCGATACGCCATCAAAAATGATCATGGAGTTATTTGCAATGGTTTGTATCTACCTACATGTTACTAATTAAATTGACATATCTATCTCTTTGCACACTTATAAGTCTTCTAGATAACATTTTTGTATGCCATATCTGCTTTTTTAACTATCCACTATATATAGATTTTATTATTTATTATGAAAGTTTATATAAATGATGCACGAGGGAGATTTCTCAGTAGTAAAGGATTCTACCCTCCTACTATATTTTAATCATCATGAAATTCTATTGATACATAATAATACTTAGCTTGGAGGACAGTAATTGGCTATTTTTGTCTCCTTAAGTGAACATAACACAGGCATTCTTATACCTTAATATTATTTTAATGTTAAATGAGTTTGTTAATCGTTAACAGCTTAAACTGTCACTAAAAGGAGGGAAAAGGGATTGTTAGTAATGGAGACAAAGAATCCCATTGCTAGCAATATACCCAACCAGATCGACCTCCTCGCAGTTCCCTCTGGAAACTATCATGGTTAATTCCTGATGAATTCATCATGATGGGCCAACTGGCCTGTTTTCATCCTCATCAATCACCTTTCACTGGTGCCCCGCCAGCGTATTCCATTAGCGCAGGCAGGGTTACCACTCCATTTTCATCCAATAAAAAAAAACCTGTCACTATGATATTGAATATACACATGTTATGCGGGATGGAGTAGAATATACACTACTTTTGATCTCAGTCAGTTAACATAACCTGGTTACATGGACAAAGTTGCAAAGGGGCTGCCTGAAAATCAGCACTGTATAGGTACATCTCGTTGGAGGTGTGCATATATCCAGCTGAGCGGGCTCCTATGACCAGCAAAATTAATTAGTTTTCTTTTCTATTGTTGTTTCTTTACCTGTTATTATTATTGTTAGTAATAAAGACTTTATCTATCTAAGTCATTAGTAAAAGCTTGTATTTAATAAATTATTGATATACAAGTATATTTTGTTCTGTAAGTGTTAACATTACTACCCACTTATGAAAAAAAAAAAAAAATTATAGCTCACGTTATTCATGATTGTTAGTTTACCAATACAAAAGTAGTCTAATAATATCTATGTATCTAAATTTTTTATTGGCATTTAGAAATTGTATTGAAATAAAGTAACTTGCATAGATACATGAACCTTTTACATTTTATATTATTTTTTTGGGCAGTTATCTAAAAAGTATTATTCATATACTGGTTTTTACCAACAACTTTGCATGACTAGGATATGTTGATTGACTGAAATAATTACTTAATAAAATTGTGTACCACAAAAAATGACTTCAATTAGAACATAACCAGTTACTTTGATTTAAAAACTAAGGGTGATTTTCTTTTTTTTTTTTATAAGTACACTTCTTGCATCAAATAGCTACTGTATTTTTGTTTTTCTATCTACTGTACACAAAGGTTGTCTGGAAGAGATATGCTGTAGCGATGAGACATAAGTGTAATATATATATATCTTTGTATTATTCTTTAAGAGGTGCAATAAAGAGAAAATAAATAAAACAAATCGATGGTTGTCTATTATGAAAATTATTAAATTTAACTCTAAACATCTTATCTGCTTTAAACATACCTATTCCAAAAATACAGAAAGTATAATTTATGACAGTATTTTTGTATGACAGTATTGATTATTCATATGATGTGACTCATGTAGTATTTAGATAAATAAATTGTGCCTTTGTCTATAATAAGAACAAGATAAATATTAACTGAAAATAAACATAATAGTGATTTTCCACTATTATATTTCATCAGACACCAATTGCTTGGGCACCTCTGTCCTATTCGTGTTTCTACCGTGAAGCAGTTATGTTTGCATGGCTGTGCTTCGGTTTGAAGGGTGGGATATGGCAGTGAATTTACAGGGTACAGAGGAATAATGCATGGGTGGTATCATAGGCGAAACAGTATACTCTGTTATGTCCATGGTACTGCTCATGTATACAAATGATGGTTACCACTTTCCATAAGGTGGGCCGTCAATTGTTTGCCATTCTAATTTTGCATAAAAAAAGTAATGAATGAGTATACTTTATTTGGATTATACAATATAGGGAATAAGTAAAACTAATGATACAGTTGTATGAGTACAGTAAGGCAGTCTTATTGTTGTTAAGAAACCTGTGTGTTATAAGAAACCAACTAAAATTTGGAAAATCAGCATAAGGCAATTTTAAAATAAGAGGTTCCTTATTATCATCTTCCTATCTTTATCCCAATTATTATTTGGGGTCGGCGTAATATGTTTTTTATCCATATTTCAATAAGATTTAGCTTAGTTTTACAACTGGGCACCTGCCTGACTTTAACCCTCTTTGGGAATGCATTTGTTGGTGGTTTCCGCCACCTACAAATGCATATGGAGGAAAAGATTAAGGGGAAAAAAGGAAAGGAACATTGGAAATGTGTATAGGAAATTGGTAAATAAGAAGAATAAAGAAATTATGTGGGAAAGAAAAAGGGGGGAGAAAGGACACTGCAGCGGATTGGTAGGCCGAGGTGGCCCTTATTTTATTGGACAGATTTCTAGAGGAAGTCATCCCTGATGCTATTAGGTTCCTTATAAATCAAGTTATTTATATATCTTATCAAGTTGTTTATGTGCATTTGTATATACCTTGATAAGTATTCAGTTTGACTACTTTGTTTTTCCAATATTAACCTATTTTTAAGTGATTTTCAGAATATTGTTCTTGTTTTGTTTGATTTTTTTTTTCAAATTTGTTATGTAATTCTGAATAGATTCTCACAATTAATTTAACTATATTTTTTCTAAAACAATCAATATCCTGGCCATGCAACCTTAGCTATTATTAAAAAAATAGTTTTGGGTGTGTTTCTGCCTTAGGCATTGTAATTACCAAAAATTAAATTTTTTGAAATATGCTAATTTAATAAAAATTACGACATCCACAAGGAAGGTGTGGCCTATTCTATGCCGAGACCAAACGGCCATTGGTATATATATTTGTATTATTCTTTATGTGTTGCAATAGTTAATAAATAAATAAATATCTATTTGTGTTTCAGGTACATACCAATTCGGCGAATATGGCCAGTATAGCATAAATGTCACTGATGTGACGACGGATGAGTGTTTGCCGCGGATGACGGCGGAACCAGATGCGCCCGCTTTACCCATTCTCACTGCCGTGGTCATTCTGTTGTCTATGGCAACACTATGGTACATCGTGAAGGGAATAGGCAAGAGGTTCATCGCTGGCCGCTTCTATGCCAGATTTTTTGGAAGGTAATTATTATTTTTATCTGTTTGTGTGTGTGTGACTACAAAAACTTATTGTTACGTATTTTCTTGTGTCCCCAATAGCGTTTCTATTTAATATTAAAAACTCGAGGCTCTGCTGCTAATAGTAACCTGAAAAGTTTGCAAATTTCACAAAATAAATTAGTAAAGGTATCATTTGGTTATGTCAATATTTAACATCGTCTACTAAATTGTATAAAGAAACTCAATTGTATGAAGGAACTAAATTGTATGTATGTATGTATGTATAAATACTAAATTGTATAAGGACTTATACTTATTGTAACATTTATACACTTACCATGTTTCTTGTAAATAAATAAATAAATAAAAGTATAAAGGAACTAAAATTATGACTATTACATAAACTTATATACTAAATACATGCATTTTGATAAGATGATATTGGATAAATAGACACTGTGAAATCACATTTCCGAAAAAAAGTCAAATTCAGAATTAAAAAACCACAAGACATGCAAATAATTTAATTTTACATAATCCAAGAACAAATTATGGAAAAAAGAATATAGTCTATGAGAGAGCACAGTTATATGATAAATAACCTAGAGATATAAAAGATATAAACTCGTCTGTATTGTTCAAAAGTATTGAAACACCACATTTTGAAGGTCTACTAGTAATAAGTAGTCTGCAGTACTATTTCTAATTCACGACAGTTATAGTTTTAAATTATATGTTAAGCTATTAGGATATGGCGTGAATTTACAGGGTACAGAGAATAACATCTGAGTCCTCAGGAATGGCAACGCATGGGGGCTATCATGGGCGAAACAGTATATGGTACTCTGTTATGTCCATGGTACTGCTCATGTCAGCTATTCTAAGTTGTATAAAAAAAAATGTTAAGCTAAGCTAATATAAATATAATGAGCGGCCGGAATAGGTAACTTTGTCTTTTTACTACAGAGAAGATAACGAGCTTGGCTCTGAGACCCGAGTGCTAACGACGGAGGCGAGTGTACCACGCTCGCCGACCAGGTCCAGACTGCGCTCGCTTGACATCTTCCGCGGCATCGCTATCGCTCTCATGGTAGGTATACAAGTTCTTCTATCTCGTTTTCTCATTACTAAATGTTTTTTTTTAATAGGTATAATGGAATGGTTACCCCGCTCGCGCTATCAGTATACGCTGCCGGGGCACCAGTGAGAGATGATAGGTGAGGATGAAAGCAGGTCAGTTATCCCATCGTGACGAATTCCACGAGAAGTAATCACGACGGTTTCCAGGAGGAACCGTGTGGAAGTCGACCTGATAGGGTGTATTGCTAGCAATGGCTCAGTTAGACCCTAATTACTAACAATCCCTTTCCAACCCATTACTAAATGTTGTGACCATATAGGTTTTTTCTATAGATGGATATAGAATGGTAACCTTGCCTTGAGGGAACATAGATGATGATGAAGTCATGTCCGTTAGTTTATTGTGAGGGATTCACTAGAATCTAGTTCATGAGAATGTGGAGTGAGTCAGTGAATAAAATGTCACGAACGAGGATGGAAGTGAAGGTCTGCTACCTTTTACGAAATCTAGCCATAGGCTCCATAATACATTATGTGGGGGGGGGGGGGAAGAGATTGTTAGTAATGGGGTCAAATAGCCCTATTACTAGCAATATACCCTGTCAGGTCGACCTCCATGTGGTTCCCCCTGGAAACCATCGTGACTAATTCTAGTTTAATTCATCAGGATGGGCTAACTGACCTACTTTCATCTTCATCTATCATCCCTCACTGGTACCCCGCCAGTGTATACCAATAGCGCAGACGGGGTTACCATACTATTATCACCAATTAAAAAAAATGCATTATGTGATGTTTATAGTGTCATTCACTACTATAGACAGTTATCACTTCTTGGTTGACTAATAGTTTGTGAAGTGTAAAAAAAAAATTGATCCATAGACTAATAACTAACATAGGATTAATTTATCCAAATTTTCAGATATTCGTGAATGCTGGCGGCGGTGGTTACGCTATCTTCAATCACAGCACATGGAACGGCCTCACCGTGGCTGATATAGTGTTCCCATGGTTCGCATTCGCTATGGGAGAGTCCCTTGTACTTTCACTCAATGGACGGCTGAGGACTTCTATGCCGAGATGCACTGTTTTATATCAGGTTCATAGATATTTCAGTAATTATTTACATTATTTTTACTTAAATGTACGTTTGTGTAGGTGAATTATGCATGCGATTTTTTTTTCCTAATATTTTGTAGACAGCTTTAGTTTTGGTGGCAAAACCATAGACAATTACAATGTATTGTAATATTATCGAAATGGCTTTTTTTTTGATGGGTGAAAATGGTATGGTAACCCCGCCTGCACTAACGGGATACGCCGGCGGAGCACCAGTGAAGGGTGATAGATGAGAATGAAAACAGACCAGTTAACCCATCATGATGAATTCATCAGGAATTAACCATGATAGTTTCCAGGGGGAACTGCGAGGTGGTCGACCTGGTTGGGTATATTCCTAGCAATGGGATTCTGTCTCCATTACTAACAATCCCTTTCCCCCCTATCGAAATGGCTATGTAATGTATAAATAATATAATCCTAATATGGGTATCAAATGAAAGCTTTTCCCTCGATATTAATATTTCACTTTCAGAAAGAGATATAACATTATAAAAGCTTGTTTTAAATATATATCTAAATTAAACATTTTCCTTGATAAACAATCTTGGCTACCGTTATATTTTAATTAATGTATACTTACTACAATAACTCACTTGTGTGCGTAATATTGGCATAATTTGATTAATACTTTATTATATTACTTTATTAGTTATTATTATATACCTATTGGCATAAATAATTGTTTCATACCTACAAAAAATAAGTTAATTAAACAGTGCTCTTTTAAATTTGATTTAGTTACGATAAATTCAAGGCCGGGGGAATTGTGAGGTTGTTGGCCATTCCAATTTATATACGATAATATTTATATCTGACACGCTTTTAAAGTTCATGTGATTAAATTTACGACTCCACTCTAGTATAAGTTAATCAAACTAATCTAAACTTATCACCAGGTGGCACGCCGGGCTTTAGCCATGGCTGTTCTGGGCATCGTCCTGGGTTCGGTGAACGTGTCGTGGTCGAACGTGCGCCTGCCAGGCGTGTTGCAGCGTCTCGCGGCCATGTACCTCATCGTGGGTGCTCTAGAGTGCGCCTTTATGAAGACCAGCCAGGATATCACGCCGGGTAATAAAACATTCTAAATTGTGAAGATGATTTTTTATGTACTTCTTTATTTAGAATATTAGAAGTATTATGCACAGAGATATATATATATATATATATATATATATATATATATTTTTTTTTTTTTTTTTTAATGTATGATAATGGAATGGTATCCTCCCCTGCGCTATTGGTATCAATTGTACAATCGAGAAGTTAAAATATGTGTAAACAATGCGAATGTTTAATATATATATAATATATTCCAGGTCGCTCGTTATTCCGCGACATCGTGGCCGGCTGGAAACAGTGGCTGGTCACCATCGTACTTGTCGTCATTCAGGTATGCAATATTTTTCATTATCAATTTTTTTTTATTTATTTATTTATTTAATACTTTATTGTACACATTAGTTATAAAAATATGACAGAGGTAAACAAAAGTACAAAGGCGAGCTTAACTCTGATAGAGTTTTCTTCCAGCAACACCCAAAGTGGAAAGGAGCATCAATGTCAGCGGATACAGCAGTGTACAATTTTTAAACAGCCAAAATTAAATTAATTAGATTATATTTTATAGTACAAATAAATTTATAATATACTTATCATTTTTTTACAATACCTAGAATGGTAAACAAGTTGACGACCCACCTGATGGAAAGGGGTAAACGCGATTCCGTACCTGAAGGTATCTGCTTCTTTATTGCCGAATTTTCACAACTGAATTGTCACGACTGGACTGAACTGAGCGGTGTCTTTGTCTGGCAGCTCGCGAAGTCTTTTCGGTACCCTCACACTGTCACTATTATTATCTAGAGCCCGCACTCACAGTATCCACACTGTGTTTAAACAATCTATGCTGATGAAAGCTCATACCTATCTTCATTAATTGAAACAGGTATATAGGTATTGTTTACCTGTAAAAGCCTTTACATCGCGTTCAGTCCCGATTGTGTAATCAAATAGACTGGTTTACAAGCACTTTTAAATCGTTTTTTATTTTTTTTATTTTACTGCAGGCTACGGACAGTTTTTATTTGTTGTGAAGAGCCCGCAAGAAACTCAACAGTTACTCTTTTAACAACAACTTTTCAAATAAAAAATATATATAAGTTTACCCTTTACTGTGTGTTTTACTAATGGGGAAAAATAGTAAAAAAATTCAAATATATATATATATATATATATATATATATATATATATATATATATATATATATATATATAAAAAAAAAACATTTGGTAACATGTAAACAGCCAAATATTAAAATAAAATCGATTGTAGGCGCTCAATGCGATTTATAACCCCGATATCAAATTTGAAACTTCAGGTATTTAAGGGTTAAATCTCTATTAACATTGTGTGTATTTATTTATGTATAAACAACGCGAAGGTTTAAAAGGAACTAAGTCTATTGGAATAAAGATGATTTGAAGGTGAATTTAACGGACATTTCACTTGTGTTCAGGTGTGCATAACCCTGGCAGTGCCTGCGCCAGGCTGCCCTCGAGGGTACATGGGCCCTGGAGGTCTCCATATGTCGATAGAAGGGAACTATCTGGAGAACTGTACCGCCGGTATCGCTGGCTACATTGACAGGTATACCTCGTTTAAAAAAACAATCTTAACAGGTTTGTTATAAAAAATTTATAATAAACGCATTTTTTACTTGACTGAAAAAAAGGAATTTTTCAATTCCGTTGTATTTTTTTTATGTCTAAATAGAACACAACCAAAATTTTTTTCCAATTTTTTATTTCTCTGTCTGTTTATAAGGGCTAATGTACGAAACTGTTGGACTGACTTTAATGAAATTTTGCATGGTAGTGCCTTACATCCCTGGTCAACATTTTAGATACTTTTAATTATGGAAAGTTAAAGAGTTCCCATGGGATAGTAACTTATACACACACAACCTACTTAAGTAAAGTCATTTTGACCTAAGACAAAGTGTGAGAACGACACGTCATTTGTTAATTTTGGTCCAGTATTCTCAGACATAGTAGGTAGATACATACATCGATACATACTAAACAGGAATAACAAATACCATGCGGGCAAAGTCGTGGTCATCAGCTAGTTCATGGGAAACAGTAATAATATATTATTATTTCATTTAATTATGAATAGGCTTATCCTGGGCGAGTCTCATCTATACCAGCACGGCGTGTTCCGCAAGCTGTACCACACACCACTGCCGCACGATCCTGAGGGCATCCTGGGAATTTTCTCTGGCGTTCTGGTGGTCCAGGCTGGTGCACACGCGACTAGGATCATGTTGGTTTACAACCACGCCAGGTATGATTTTTTTTTATTATTCTATATATAATATGGGCTTGTCCCAAGGGGGGAGGGGGTTGTAGTGTTTGAATAATAATGGAATGGTGCCCCACCTGCGCTATCTATATACACTAATGAGGCACCAGTGAGGGATGAGAGATGAGGATGGAGACAGGTCAATTAGTCCATCGTGACGAATTTTTTTTTATTGCAGTAATAATCCCCTGTTGTTTGTTTTTTTTTTTTTTTATAGGAAAAATAACATGTCAATAAATTGGTTGCAGAGCCCGCATGATGCGTTGGTTACTCTGGGCCCTAACGTTTACTATGGCCGGCGCCGCGTTGACTCTCTTCACGAGAAACGACGGGGTTATACCCATAAACAAGAATCTATGGTCGCTCTCCTACTGCTTGGTGACATCTTCGATGGCGTTCGTCGTGCAAGCAATGTTATACTTTGTGGTCGACGTGAAGAACAAATGGGGCGGTCGCCCTTTGTACTACGCTGGTGAGTATTTTTTTTTTTTAATGAAACTTAGAATAACAGAGAGGTTTGCAACTTGGAGAGTGGTAATTATTATACATTACCAGCATCATGGATATTACAGAGTGATTTATTACAGCGATTCCTAAAGTGGGTTCCGTAAAGTCACCAGGGTTCCGCCAAATTATTTATACAGAAAAACAATTCCATTCTTCACATTAAAAATTAAAAAAAAAAAAACTATAAAGTTTTTTATTTAAATTACATTGTTTATGATTTGTAATCGTTTGATATGGGGTTCCATAAAATAAGTATTTGGTGGATGTTCCGTTATCTTAAAAGTTTAGGAACCCCTGCTTTATTACCTGTATGGTAGCCAATATACATTAGTATTTCATTCTTGAGGATTGAGGTGTCCCTTTAATCGATGATAATGTACTGGTAGCTTCGCTTTTGCTATCGGCACCGAAGTTATTTAGATTTTTACTGTACCATGGACATAACAGAGTATACTATTTCGCCCATGATACTCCCCATGCGTTGCCATTTCCTGAGGATTCAGATGTAAATTCTCCGGTTTGAAGGGCGGGATATGGCAGTAAATCTACAGGGTACAGTGGAATAACACCTGTGTCCTCAGGAATGGCAACGCATGGGGGGTATCATGGGTGAAACAGTATACTCTGTTATATCCATGATACTGCTCATGTCTATAGGCGATTGTTACCACTTTCCATCAGGTCGGTCGTCAGATTGTTTGCCATTCTAAGTTGCATAAAAAACATTTTATTTTTCGCATTTTGGTTTTTGTTTAATTTTTTTTTAGAGAAATGGTGCCTCTCAATTGATCACATTGTCTGTATATTTTATATGTTTTTTTTCTTTCTATGCGCAGGTCAAAATGCCCTATTTTTATATGTGGGCAGTGAACTCCTTAAGAAACATTTCCCCCTAACGTGGTACGTCGCAGCGCCCTCTCATCAACAGATGCTGGCCGCCCACTCCGCCGCCATGTTGATCTGGCTCGCTGTCGGTGTAGTACTGCACAGAAAACGCATCTTTATCACTTTGTAATAAGGTTTATGTTTGCTGAGGGCGAGCTAATTTAATCTTTTATTTATACATAGATACTGGCCAACAGAAAAAAATAAACTTTATTTTTTTTTTAATACGGGGCTTATTATACAGTTAAATAGGTAGGATTATAATTTAGATCAAAATTATAATGCTAGTGCAGCACTTTTAACATTAGTAAAAATTATAGAATACCTTTTAACCCTTGGCGCTCCGCATGTTTTTGTTCCTCTGCCTACCAGCAATTCCGGCATATTTTCGCAGCGAAACGAGCGAAAAGGATTCTTATTTTAAGTGAGAAAAATTACACGTGCTTGTAAATGTTTGAGATTTTATTTATTATATACATACATGCAGTCTCTTCTTGTCAATGAGAGATAAATTTTAAATTGTATAATTCACCATGTTGTGATACCTTTGGAAACAATCTCCCACGTGCATTCTCGGTTTGCTTGGGCAAGTGTTAACTGATTCTTCCTGCGATTCTTCGCTTTCACATTCAATAACTATCATACGTCGTCTCTTTGGTAGTATAATTTCGGAATCAATACTTAAAGTGTCAGAATTATAATCAATATTGTCTTCCACAATATCTTCTAACATCGGAAAATCCAACACATCTTCAATGTCACTCAAATCTTTATTCACATCACAATAATTATTTTTCTCCATACTGCTAACAGCAAAATGGGTAAAAAAATTATTCAATCGTAACAGTAAAGAGACTGAGAACGTTTTAACAACAGATAACAATTGCCATCGCCAACAATTTCGTAACATCTTAGTATATTCATTATAAAAACATTGGGCTCCACAACGGAACAAATGACTGACGGCTCCGTAGCGGAGACAACGGGGCGCAAAGAGTTAAAACTTAGCTATTAAATTGATTTTTCATTTTCGCCTTATATTTAAGACAGATACACGCACACACGTGTGAACCTATTTGTTTGCTAGTGTAATAAATCCCTATAAAATATGTGTTAAGGTATGTAAAAAAATATTATTCATTATGTTTGAGAAAAACAATTGAAGGTTACGATTTCCCGCTAAAAATTTATACTTCATACATATTATTCTTAGTCTATTAATGTTTTATTTTTTTTTTTGTTCTGGCAATTTATGGCCAGTATCTATTGTATAATAAGGTGACATGACTATATTTTACGTGAATAATAATTTTCTATTTAATTCGATATTATCACGAAATATATGTTATAAAAAAATTATAAGACGAGATGCCAAAAGTTTAATTTAACGTCGTTTTAAATTGACTGAAAATGTATTATTGACTATTAACGAAATAAATTAAACAAATTAATCAATTTTTTTTTCGATTTGTTTAGTTTCATTCTTTTGCATTTTATTTTTTAATTAACTATATTTTCTTCACGCCTAGTCTCATAAGGGGTAGTTAAAAAGAAGTAAAAATCGACGGCTTATATTGCTTAGATAAATTTTGATCCTTATGAGTTTAATCATTGGCATGGACTAATACATTTTAACGCTCAGCTAAGAACAAGAAATAATACATACTCATATTGTGGTCTCTTTTCTTTGTATGCTAAATTAGTCTGTGAGAATAGGACAAGAATTATGCTTTTTTTTATTATTATAGATCGTAGTTTGAGAATAAGAACTAACATTTATGTTACGTACTGGGAACTCTTAGAATTGTATCGGCGATATGGCTTTTAAAGTTACACTAGTATTTACCCGTGGTTTCGTCCGCGTGTATAGCCTAATAGCACGTAGTTATTGAATTTCATAATTGTTTCAGCCGTTAAGGTGCTAAGAGGTACCAAACATACTTTCACATTTCTAAAATTGGTAAAAACAGTAACTTCTATGTTATTATTTGCTATAATCATAGGTGACTGATATTTATGCAAATATTAATTGAATATTTATCATTTATAATGTGAGATCATTATTGAAAATCGATATACGAATTTTGTATTGATTATAGAGTTTAATCCAATTGGTTGATTTTGTAAAAAGTGTCTATTAAATTATATATGTAGTTGGATTTATATTTAAAATGATTATCTGATAGCTGCATGGCCAAATATGGGCATGTCGAGTGATACGTCCATCACGACGGTAACTATCGACAAGTCTGACTACCCCATTGAGAATTATAGTCGTGAGTATATTTCTGATGTTATGTTTTTCGTATAGAGTGAAATAAAAAAAAAATATATATATATATATATATATATATTATGTTATATAGAATAATCATATAAAATTTTATAAATAAATAATACCACTGTTTTTAATTCTGTATTTCTTTAACACTGCAAAAATAAAACAGTTGTAAAGAAAACATATGCTCAAGTATCGAAAAGCGAATATTAAACTAACGTAAATTAAATATTAGTGATTAAGAAAAAATAATTTTAATATTGTAACCAAATTCTTTTCAAAAATACTACAAAAGTTCATTCGTGCGCTAATAATGTGTAATATAAGCTAAGTTTTATTCTTGTTCTTTCTTGTATAGACTTCATCATCATCATCAGACTACTAAAGTCCAGCAGTGGGTCTGGTAATGAGAATTTATTTTGATTAAATTTAATTAATAATTTTAAGTGGCAATAACATTGCGGTATAAATTTGATAGCTCAGTTGAACGTTTGATTATAACTCAGAGGTCCCAAGATCGTATCTCAGCACGGATATCGGAATTTTTCATATCATGTTTGAATAAATAATACATGATCACTCACTTCGTGCCTCGGAGGTTTTGTAAAGTGGTCGTCCGGTAAGTCACGTTAGGGGCCTTCGTGTACAAGGAAGGCGACTTAGAAATTTAACACCAGAGGGCGCCACCTTTAAACGAGTATTACTTTACAGCAACGAGTAGGATTAGTGTGATTTTTCAAAAGGAACTAGGATTATTTACTTTGTTAATAATAAAACGGATAATTATCATGTTTTAAGGCTGTCGTTCGAATTACACGAAAAGAAAAAGGTATATTTGAAGTGTTTTTTTTTTATTTTTTATTAAGAATTAATAATACAACAATTAATAATAATTGTTTTATTATAATCATAGTACAGTATTTCAATTTTGAATATAATAATTATTTCTTGTAAACTAGTGTAATGTTTTATGTATCATTATTTACAATTAACAGAATAATGGGTAAAGGAGTTTATATTTGTTTGTACCTATATAGATTAATAAAAATGTAATTTTTTTTTGTAATATTTTTAATCTGTAGATTCAACTGACTATTCTGATGTGATTACGTATTAAAGTTAAGTTTAATTAAACTCGTTGTTTTTTTTTTAGAATAGCAACAATATTTTGACAGCTGTTTTAAGGAATAAATTTAAATTTGAACCCTTTGGTAATAACGCCTAGAAATCAGGTGGAATCATGTGGAGGTCAACCTGATAGGGTATATTTCTAGCAATGAAGCTGTTATACCCTACTACTAATAATCCCTTTCCCCCAATAGGGTATAATGTTTTAAATTATGATGCTGGAATGGTACCCCGCCTGCGCTATCGGTATACACAAATGAGGCACCAGTAAGGGATGAGAGATGAGGATGGAGACAGGCCAATTAGTCCATCGTGACGAATTCAACGATAAATTAGTCACGATGGTTTCCAGGGGGAACCGCGTGGAGGTCGACTTGATAGGGTATATCGATAGTAATGTGGAGTAATCTTCCCATTACTAAACTTTCCCTTAATCCTTTCCCCCCGATGGGCTATATTACTAGCAATGTGGTTACAAAACCCCATTACTATAAATCTCTTCATCCAACCGTCTTTGACTTTGTTCTTAACTATTACTGCTAGCGTAAACCAGCAGTTTAAACAGGGTTTTTTAAGATAAATATATAATGTTATATTGATATACGCTTGTAGGGTGCCACTGAGTAACGCAAAAAATATATTCCTTGTTAATGAAGTCATAAGTTCAAACTCTTCAATAACAAAACCTGTTAATTTTCCATTGTTTAAATTTTCAATAGTAGAAAATACCTTTAACAAACGTAATTCATTCGAGAGATGGCTATAGGTTCGACATTCTGACTAACCTATCAAGTTTAAATTATATTGCCACGTTGGTTACGAATTATATTTTACAAGATTTTGTCCTCAAAGTGAAGGGTATTTTAGTAATAGCTAAAGAAAATCAAAATAGTTATTAAGTTTGTCACTTTAAATTGCTCTATTCTATTCTAAAATAGACAGTTAGATATTTTTATACATATATAAAATGAAGCCTAATTATAAGAAACAATATGTAATAACAAAACGCTTTGAGTAACCTTCACATGTCATTGAAATGTCAAACAGAAGTTTCTTATCACCTGTAATTTCATTGTTATTTCGACACTTTCGACCCCTACATTCTTCGCGACTACTTTTACTTTCCCCGAAAATAATGGAACCAAAAATTACCTTGAGAAAGGACCCAGCCTATCAAAAATTACAAGAATATTATAATGCGAACGCCGACAAAATAAATATTTTGCAACTTTTTCAAGAAGATCCCGATCGCTTCAATAAATTCAGGTGAGTTAATATAAAAAAAATATATATTATATTTCTTTTAAATGCGATATAAAGATGCATAAATTTTGTTTTTGTAAATTTTATTTTTATACATAATTAAATCATACACCGTTACATTCTAAATATTTTTAAAAAAATATTTGGTATTTTTTTTAAACTTACAAAAAAGTTTTTAGTTTTTTTTGCTTAACATATTGTATTTTAATCTAGTTATAGCTTATGTGTAAGATTTTATTAAATAAAAAATATATCTCTTTATTTAGAATATTACATTTTTCTAATTAAATATCCTATGTATATATTTACACAGAAAAATTAATTAAAAAAAATGAATAATTAATTCTCTATTTGCTGAACAGTGAGTCAGTAATAAATATTCAACATACTAAAGTACATATATGATTTATATACTTAATAAATTCAGAATAGGAAAAAAATATGGAACAATCTCAATAGAGAATCTATAGTTACAAATCTATGTTCAAGTAAATAATTCTCGTACATTTATACAATTCATTCTCCATATTTATTGTGTGATGGCTCCATTTTAGTCCTTAAATGTTATAGGAAATGATAAAACAAAACACTGTACCTTAGTGCAACTTTTTTTATGCTAAGATGTTGTCAGAAGAAAATTTTGATTTTACCACAAACACTACAACACAAATTGTAATCATTAATAATTAAATAAAATAATAATAATAAATCTCTTTATTTTCAGGTATATACCCATAGTTTACATTTTTATATTATTAATTAAATAAATTGTTATTATTATTTTTAAAATATGCATCAATTATAAAATACCAATTTAAATTATTTCGTTATAAAATCTTGTCGTCAGGTATGCTGTGAGAAATACAGTCTTTACAATATGATTACTTAAAACATTATATATTGTAAAGATCAAGAAATTAAGAATATATGTAATGTAAATAGAAATTATATTTAATTTCCAATTAAACTGTTTGGCTTATTACTGTCAAAAATCTAACATTGGGTTAAAGGAAAGGTACAGGGTATATGGAGACCAGTGTTTAGCAATAGTTGATTGTAGTCAAATTATGGTATATATAATATATTATTAAAATTATATTTTACAGCCTCAAAATCCAAACACCAAATGACGGAGATATCCTTCTGGACTATTCCAAGAATCGTGTAAACAATGATGTCTTTGCATTACTCCTTAACCTGGCTAAGAGCCGTGGTGTGGAACAAGCGAGAGATGCTATGTTTAATGGTATGTTTAGATTAGATGTATTTCAATGGGTGATAATGGAATGGTAACCCCACCTGCGACATCGATATACACTGGCAAGGCGCCTGTGAAGGATGATAGATGAGGATGAAGCAGACTTGCTTCATCCTCATCTATCATCTAACTGACTAGTTAGCTCATCGTGACAAATTCAACAAGAATTGTTCACGATGGTTTCCAAAGGGAACCACATGGAGGTCGAACAATAATAAATATTGCTAGCAATGGGGCTGTCAAACTCCATTACTAACAATCCCTTTCCCCCCAGATTGGATGTATTATATACTAGTAACCAGCCATGGCTTCACACAGATTTTTTAAATAATTAAATTGTTATAGCTTTCTATAGGTGAAAGAATTTATGAAATCGTAATTGATTTTATTTCGAGTTTCCCTTTATATATTATGTAGTTTAGTTTACACAATGTGTTCAGAAAAGGAGTGTACCGTTTTCAGAGTTTTCAGTCATATACTCTTGACAGAGTGGTAGTGTTTTTCATGAATATAGTGGATTTTCGTTGAGGCTTTTCTTCACAAGTGAAGTCCTCGCAATGTGTCTTCATGTATTTCTGCCCACGGCCGAGCGAGAGCATTCCACAATAATTGATAATTATACTTACGCAGGTGAAAAAATAAACTTCACGGAGAACCGCGCGGTGCTCCATGTGGCACTGCGCAACCGTCAGAACAGACCTATCCTGGTCGCGGGGACAGATGTCACGCCCGATGTGAACGCCGTGCTCGCACACATGAAGCAGTTCTCGGGACAGGTCATCAGTGGTGAATGGAAGGGGTGAGTCGATGGAGATAATAATAAAAATACTTTTCGTTCAACTTGTAATTTAAATTGGTTGAAATTTCCAAAAGTCTTGCATTATACAATTTCTTTTATTTTTTTTATGTTACTTAGATTGGTAAACAAGCTGATGTAAAGTGGTAACCGTCGTCTATAGACATGAACAGTACTATAGACATGAATAGTCCATGATACCCTTCATGCGTTGCCATTCCTGAAGACTAAGATGTTATGTCTCTGTACCCTATTATTACATGGCCATATCGCATCCTTCAAACCGAAACAAAACTGCTTCACGGCAGAAACAAATGGGATAGAGGGAAACTTTGTACAAACGACTTTTGTACAAAGTTTCCATCTTATAAAAAAACCTATGTTTCAAATATCAGCTTTCCAACTTGATAATTTTAGCTGTATATTGATAGTCATTCAGGGCAGGACAAATTATTTTTAACCGACTTCGAAAAGGAGGTTTTCAATTCGGTTGCATTTTTGTTTATGTTTGTTACCTCATAACTCCTGCAGTAAACCGATTTGGTTTTTGTTTGATCTGAAAGAATATTAAGATTGTTCCCGTAGGAATTGTATCAAAATGTATTTAATAGTTCAAATTTTATATCAAAATAAGTGGTTTTATCATAATTGAAGTCGGTTTTCTTTTGTGGGACACTATTATCTAGCTAAACTCAGTCATTACCACATTTTACTGATTATATATCTAAATTCAAAAATCAATGTCCAAGAGATTGGAAAGAATATTTTAACGAAATTTCAAAAGAAAAACGTATTTAGTATTTTTTATATACAACTTAGAATGTCAAACACCTGATGGAAAGTGGTAACCGTCGCCTATAGACATGAGCAGTGCCATGGACTTAACAGATTATATTGTTTCGCTCATGATACCTCCCATGCGTTGCCATTCCTGAGGACTCAGATGTTATTCCTCTGTACCCCGTAAATTCACGCCATATCCCACCCTTCAAACCGAAGCCCTTTAAACAGCTTTGCAAACATAACTGCTTCACGGTAGAAACACGAATGGAACAGAGGTACCCAAGCAAACAACTTTTATACAAAGTCTCCCTCTGGTTCATACCGAAATCGTCCCATTGAATGGAGCTTAACATTTTGTTCATCATAAATCCTATCATAAAAATCTAATGGAATGGCAATGGCTGGAAAGAAGCCATATAGTATATATTTGAAAAAAGAAAAAGAATTATTTGATTTTTTTCATACCATTCTTGTATCTGTTGATGTAGTGTTTAATACCTATAAATTAAATATGTAAATAAAAAAAAAACACTAGTGTAACTATAGAAGTGGTATCATTTTTACTACGTTTTGGAGTAATATGTTAACATTTTTGATATTTTAAAACAATATGTATCATGTAAATTTAATATGAAATTGGTTATATTTAATTTGTCATTAGTTTCGTTCGGTCACGTAATTTCAAACATTCATCGGAGGGTCTACCCTCTGATCATTTAGATCTTTCGTGTGAATACTATATTTTACATACATTATCATGTAATGTAATGTAAATTGGACTCTCTTTTCCGCGCTTAGCCGCTCATTTGGGCCGTTGTGCGTATGAGTCGTGGCTAGTACAGCCAGCCCAGAAGCACAGAAGCTTCCTGAGTTCTTCACAGGCCTTACAGAGCGACCTCATCGTTCCGAGGATTTCTAAACGTTGATGGGCCACAGCCTCACATTCCAGGATTACGTGAGCAGCCGTTTCTACGGCGTCGAAACACCCTCGACATAGAGGGCTGTCTGTGACTTCTATTGTGTATAAATGTTTGTTTAATGGGCAATGGCCCGTTATTGTCCCTATCATTATTTTGAAGTTTTTCCTATCTAGATGTAATAAACGTACATAATCATATAATAAAGTGTTGTCCTCTTCTCTCCTACTTGCTGTGCCCAACAGGGTCCATAATTGAAATGTTATCTACTAATTATATTATGGAACGCAATAAGAAATAAATAAATAATGTTACACTACTCATATACGAATATTGACCTCAGCTAATTTTATCGAACGTTATCACACTGATTATGAGTATGCAGTTAATATTAATAATAACATGGCGATAAAGTAGAGGGAAATTAGAAAATAAATCTACATTGTAAACTCATAAATTAATAGTTTTTTTTTATACAACTTAGAATGGCAAATAAGCTGACGCCCCACCAGATGGAAAGTGGTAACCGTTGCCTATAGACATGAGCAGTACTATGGACGTAACAGAGTATACTGTTTCGCCCATGATACCCCCCATGCGTTGCATCCCCCATGCGTTACCATTCCTGAGGACTCAGGTGTTATTCCTCTGTACCCAGTAAATTCACACCATATCCCACCCTTCAAACCGAAACACAGCCATGCAAACACAACTGCTTCACGGTTGAAACACGAATAGGACAGAGGTACCCAAGCAATCGACTTTTGTACAAAGTCTCCCTTTGGTAAATATTGTATTTCAACCGTAAAGCAGTTGTGTTTGCATGCCTGTGTTTCGGTTTGAAGGGTGGGATATGGCGTGAATTTACTGGGTACAGAGGAATAACACCTGATGGTACTGCTCATGTCTATAGGCGACGGTTACCACTTTCCATCAGGTGGGCCGTCAGCTTGTTTGCCATTCTAAGTTGTCAAAAAAATTAACGAAAACAGGAATTTGCGTTCGAAAATTAGGAATTTCATTTCATGGTAGACATTGTACAAAGTCTCACAAAGTCTGGTAAAAATGATAAATCCGCTTTATGTTTTATCTTGACACACCACCTATAAGTAGTCTGTCTTTTGTTTTCCTACTTTTGATATACACGTGTACGTAGTAGCGGGCAAAACCTAGTGTCCTTATTAATATTATTATAATTGTGAAAGTATGTTTGTTTATTTGTAACACTTTATTATATAGTAAAGTCTTAAATTATAGAATACAGAGTTCTTAAGAAAAAATGTGCACAACGACGGGGACAAGTACAATCCTATAAATGGGATCTCATTCAGTCAAACTTTAAGTGCTTGATAAAAATTGTGAAAAATAGCTAATTAACTAGTTAATTAATTACCTAATTATTTAGCAAATTAACTAGCTAATTAACTAGCTAATTATTTAGCTACTTAACTAGCTTATTAGCTAACTAACTAGTTAATTAACTAGCTTATTATTAATCTGTCTAGCTAATTAATTACCTTGTTTGTTTGATACCTTATAGCGTTTTTTATGTTTACTATGAAAATTGGTGTACGCGTACTATATGGATTGGAAATGGTTATAGACTACTTTTACTTTTAATCCCGGTCACGCGGACAAAGTCGCGAGTAAAAGTTAGTGTTATAATGTATTTATTTAAAAAATGTTGTTACGTCACAGGTACACGGGCAAGCCGATAACTGACGTCATCAACATTGGTATCGGAGGATCGGACCTCGGCCCTCTCATGGTCACAGAGGCGTTAAGACCTTACGCCAATCATCTTAAGGTATATATTTGTTTACCTATATGAAGTTATTCAACTAATAAAAAGTATTGGCTTGAAGTATAGATAATTTATCAGGTACTTATGTTATCAGTGTAATTATATATAATAAATAGATATCTGATATCAGTAGCGATATCTTCAATAAAATGCCTGCCCCCCGCCGACAATCTTTTTTTTTAATGCGTGAAAATGGAATGGTAACCCTGCGCTAACGGGATTCGCTGGCGGAGCACCAGTGAAGGGTGATCGATGAGAACGAAAACAGGCCAGTTAGTCCATCATGACGAATTCACAAGGAATTAACCATGATAGTTTCCAGGGAGAACCGCGTGGAGGTCGACCTGGCTGGGTATATTGCAATATAGCAATGGGATTCTTAGTCTCCGTTACTAACCATTCCTTTCCCCTCATCTACCGACAAGTTGAAAACGAATCGATAGGTACGTTTTCGTTAGCGCATAAAGAAGACGTCAAACGTCGCTGTCTCGTTTTATCTCACGTAGGCGATAGTAAATACGTATCTATTGACACATCACTTTGATAAGCAGTTGTTTAATATCCTTACTAATATTATAAAGGTGAAAGTGATATTGTTTGTTTGTTTATTTGTTTGTTTGTTTGTTACGTGGTAGCGCCTTAACGGCATAATCAATAGCTATGAAATTTGTTATACACCTACTATGTGGTATGGAGAAGTTTATAAGCTTTTTTTTATACAAGTTAGAATGGCAAACAAGCTGACGGTCCACCTGATGTAAAGTGGCAACCGTCGCCTATAGACATGAGCAGTACCATGGACATAACAGAGTATACTGTTTCGCCCATGTTACCCCCATGCGTTGCCATTCCTGAGGACTCAGGTGTTATTCCTCTGTACCCTGTAAATTCACGCCATATCCCACCCTTCAAACCGAAACACAGCCATACAAACACAACTGCTTCACGGTTGAAACACGAATAGGACAGAGGTACCCAAGCAAACGACTTTTGTATAAAGTCTCCCTCTGGTAGCTACTTTTTATGTCGCTTTTTTTAATACTTTTATGCGGTCACGCGGACGAAGTCGTAGGTAAAAGTTAGTGTTATATATATATTGTTGTTAAAAAACCAATATTCAGTATACTGCACAATCACTGAAGTCAACCCTTTTTTTTTTTAAGTCGGTTCAAAATGGTAACTCGTGAAACGTACCATGAGCAGCATCACCACGTGTATAGGCGATGGTGACCATTTTCCTTTCATCAGGGAAGCCGTCAACTTGTTTGTCATTCTAAGTTTTTGTTTTTTTAATGTTCGAAGGTGCACTTCGTCTCAAATATCGACGGTACACACTTGGCCGAGGTGCTGAAGCGCCTCGACCCGGAGACGGCGCTGTTCATCATTGCGTCCAAGACATTTACCACCCAGGAGACCATCACCAACGCCACCTCAGCCAAGAACTGGTTCTTGGAAGCCGCTAAAGATGTGAGTGTGCATACATCATTGTATGTTTTTTTTAATGGATGATAATGGAATGGTAACCCCACTCGCGCTATCGGTATACACCGGCGGGGCACCAGTGAAGGATGATAGGTGAGGATGAAGCAGGTCAGTTAGCCCACCGTGACGAATATAACAGTAAATCAATCACGATGGTTTCCAGGGGGAACCACGAGGAGGTCGACCTGACAGGGTATATTGCTAGCAGTAGGGCTAGGAAATAAAAGGCATATATTATTGCAGGCGTCAGCAGTGGCGAAGCATTTCGTGGCGTTGTCCACCAACGGCGAAAAGGTGGCAGCCTTCGGGATCGATCCCCAGAACATGTTTGGTTTCTGGGACTGGGTCGGAGGCAGGTGAGTCGTCATGTAATTCAAACAAACATTATTTGCTGACTTCTAATGATTGAGTTCTCATAATGAATTTCGTCGTGTTATCGTAGCGTCTCTGAAATTGATACTAATTTTTTAATTTAATTGAAACACATGGTGATGATTTGGTAACAAACTTAAAAAAATCTAATTGAAAACTTCCCGTCTCTTTGTTTTTTTTTTTATTTTTACAACACAGCGGGCAAACTAGCGGCTCGCCTGATGGTAAGCGACTACCGCAGCCTATGGTCACCCATAGCACCAACGGCATTGCAGGTGTGTTGCCTTGGCCTTTAAAAAAGCCATATGCACTTTTCTTGAAGGTTATGTTTTTTTGAAGTCGGTTGAAAATACTGTATTTTTCACATTTATTGTTTTTTTTTATGCAACTTAGAATGGCAAACAAGCTGACGGCCCACCTGATGGAAAGTGGTAACCGTCGCCTATAGACATGAGCATGTCCATATTATATACTTTTTGAAGCCAAGCTGCCAACAATGTTTTTTGGTGGGTAGTGGTAAAGAGCGATTTATTTTTTATATTTTTAATATTTTCTGAAAAAAAAAAAAACTGTTTACAGGTACTCGCTATGGTCTGCGATAGGTCTGTCCATCTCGTTATATATTGGCCATGACAATTTCGAGAAGCTTCTAGAAGGAGCCAACTTTATGGACCGACACTTCACCACCGAGCCGTTGGAGAGAAACGTAGGTTATATTACCCTTGGCTATTGTTAATATAAAAAAAAAATGTAATAAAAAATCATAACAATTATTTTTAGAAATTTTATCCGTTTAAGAACTGGTCTATTTATTGATTTTCCTACTTCTTAAAAAAACATGCTTAGAAATTAGCGGGGAAAAGTTAGTTAAGAAATAAAAATTCTTATGATGAAGTAAATAGGTTACATTTTATCCTGGCTTGAAGGGTAGCATTGAAATTACATGGTACCCAGGCGTAACACCGTCCTCAAAAAGGCGACACATGAAAGGTAACATGGATTTTACAATATGTTTAATGGGATACCCCATGGTGCTGTAAATGTTTATCGCTTTCCATCTGGCAAGTCGTCAGCTTTGCTATTGTTTTTTTTTTTATGTGAAAGAGTGATAAACGACCATGTGGTTCACCTGATAGGTTTTTTTGAGGGGTGAAATGGAGTGGTAACGCCACCTGCGCTATCGGTATATTTATTTATTCATTAGTACATATATGTGTGTACATGGCGGACTTAATGCTAAAAGCATTCTCTCCCAATCAACCATGGGAAAGTGTCAGAATACTTGAATGCGGTACTAGTAATTATTGATATACATACATATTAAAATTGCATATATAAACGAATAAATATATATGAATAACAAATATACTTACACATATATGATATATACTATATTATACACGAAATTGAGAATAATATAAAGTGCTTATATACGTATACGTTGGTTCCAAGTGAGTAATTACAGGTGAAGATAAAATAGGTTATTTAGTCCATTATGACGAATTTCACAAGAATTAATCATGATTGACGATGATTTCAAGGGGGAACCGTGTGGAGGTCGATCTGTTAGGGTATATTGCCAGCCATGAAGACCCCATTATTAATAATCCCTTTCCCCCTCACCAGAGGAATTACAGTGTGTTGCCAGTCTTTTAAAAGTAGTTTTTTTTTCATATAGGCGCCGGTTCTGCTAGCACTTTTGGGTGTGTGGTACAGCAACTTCTATGGGGCTGAAACACATGCTCTTCTACCATACGACCAGTATTTGCACAGGTAACTATTTTGTTAAGTAAATATCTTAATATATAAAAGTCCTGTGTCCGTTCGCTCACATTAATCTCTAAAGGCGCTTAACCGACTTTATTGATTTTTTAATTTTTATTATTTGCTCTAACTTGAACGATAGGATTCTATTCTGATAAGAAAATATTAACTCAGAATTAGTGGTTTATTTTCTTTTTATACAACTTAGAATGGCAAACAAGCTGACGGCCCACCTGATGGAAAGTGGTAACCGTCGCCTATAGACATGAGCAGTACCATGGACATAACAGAGTATACTGTTTCGCCCATGATACCCCCCAAATCAATCTATGTCTGTTGTTATATATTATTATTTAATAAATTACTTATCTATCTATCTATCTATTTATCTATTTATGCTCACTGCTGCAATTTTCAACTTGCCATCGTCTATGGACAGATTCGCGGCGTACTTCCAACAAGGCGATATGGAGAGCAACGGGAAATATGTGACGCGAAGTGGCGAACGCGCCAACTACTCCACCGGGCCCATAGTGTGGGGCGAGCCGGGCACCAACGGGCAGCACGCGTTCTACCAGCTCATACATCAAGGGACCAGGTAACATCGACTATGCTATGAATTTACAGAGTACAGAGGAATGGTAACGCATGGGGGGTATCATGGACGAAACAGTATACTCTGTTATGTCCATGGTACTGCTCATGTCTATAGGCGATGGTTACCACTTTCCATTAGGTGGGCCGTGCGACGCCGGGACGGGCCACTAGTCTATACTTATAATAAATCTGTAGAGAGGTCAATTCTGTACATGAAATATATTTCCAAAATAACTATCGGGGTGTGATTAGTGATCGATATTGATGCTAACAATGCAATCAGTAAAATTTTTGTCTGTCTGTCTGTCTGTATCTTCGTTATAGAAACAAAAACTACTCGACGGATTTTAACGAAACTTGATACAATTATTCTTCATGCTCCTGGGCAGGTTATAGTATACCTTTTATTACGCTACGATCATTAGGAGCAGAGCAGTGAAGGAAAATGTTGGGAAAACGGGAGAAGTTACTCCATTTTTAAGCTTCCGTCGCGTGTGCAGACTTAATGGCCACTTTTAAAATGTAAAAATGTCCACCCGTGCGACGCCGGGACGGGCCGCTAGTCATTTAATATATCGCACTACAAATTTATTATATTTATCTTATTTTTTCATAATACACTTTAAGCACACCATTTTGGATGAAACTGTTATAATATGCATTTTTTTTTTGTATTTTATTTATTTATATTTTTTGTGTAGTCTCCTAATTATAATTTTTAATAATTTTTTAACCCATGTTGTGTTGTGGTATATTTTGTGAAATAAAGTTTCTTTCTTTCTTTCTACTGTGACAGTATCGCCCTCTAGTGATAATAATTGTCAGGACGTCATTCGTTTGTGAAATGTGTATGGAACCATCATATCCTTTTTTAAATAAAAAAAGAAGAATTTTCGAAGTCAGTTTATAAATGACGGAGTTCTGAGGTGGAAAGCATAAAAAATACAACTGAATTGTAAACCTTCTTTTTTGAAATCGGTTGAAAACTAATAAATTGAGTGATAATTGAACGTTTTAAATTTCCAGGTTGATTCCATGCGACTTCATCGCTCCAGCTCAAACCCACAATCCAATTTCAAACGGTGTACACCACAAGATCCTATTGGCCAACTTCCTAGCGCAAACCGAGGCTCTGATGAAGGGGAAAACTCCAGAAGAGGTAAGTTTTATTATTTACTACTGATTTTGTAATAAAAATTTATAATAATTCTAGTACCTGTCTGTTCATGACAAAAGGGGGGAAAGGGATTGTTAGTAATGGGATCTAATGAACCCATTGCTAGCAATGGGTTCATTAGATCTCAAAATGCTCAGGTCAGGTCGACCTCCACGCGGTTCCCCCTGAAAACCATCGTGGTTAATTCTATTGGAATTCGTCACGATGGGCTAACTGACCTGCTTCATCCTCATCTATCATCCTTCACTGGTGCCCCGCCGGTGTATAGTGATAGCGCGTGTGGGGTTACCATTCTATTGTCACCCATTAAAAAAAACCCTTCCTTTCCCGTGGGTGTCGTAAGAGGCGACTAAAGGAGAGCGAGGGATGGGCAGCAGCGTCCCTCTTTAAACATCTCTAAAAGCCTAACTGCGGTTGTCAGTACTGTGGCAACTATTGGCAAAACTTCCCTTATGGGAATACTTATGCCCAGCAGTGGGCAGTTAACGGCTGAAATAATAAAAATAAAATGTTAGTGCGACGACGTTATTATTGTATTATATTTGTAGGCTCAAGCAGAATTGGAGAAGTCCGGCCTGGCGCCCGAGGCCATCAGCAGAATCCTCCCCCACAAAGTGTTCCTCGGCAACCGGCCAACAAATTCGATAGTCGTGAGGAAAATTACGCCCTTCACGCTGGGAGCACTTATAGGTAAAGCTTGTCTTATTGATTGACTAATTTGAACTAAAAACGGTTATTGGAAGGTTAAGTGCTATAGTACCAGAGGGAGAGTTGTTTGCTTGTGCATCTCTGTTCAATTCGTGTTTCTATCGTGAAGCAGTTGTTTGCATGGCTGTGTTTCGGTATGAAGGGTGGGATATGGCAGTGAATTTACAGGGTACAGAGGAATAACACCTGAGTCCTCAGGAATGGCAATGCATGGGGGGTATCATGGGCGAAACAGTATACTCTGTTATGTCCATGGTATTGCTCATGTCTATAGGCGCCGGTTACCACTTTCCATCAGGTGGGCCGTCAGCCTGTTTGCCATTCTAAGTTGCATAAAAAATATATTCATTTAATATAAACATATAATTAGAATTAATGTGATGAATTTGCATTTTTTTTTTTTTTATTTATTTTTAGCATTATATGAGCACAAGATCTTCACGCAAGGCGTGATTTGGGACATCAACTCGTTCGACCAGTGGGGCGTGGAACTCGGCAAGCAGCTGGCCAAAGCGATAGAACCGGAGCTCCAAGACTCCAGCCCTGTGTCCAGTCATGATGGCTCAACTAACGGACTCATTAACTTTTTGAAAGCAAACTTTTAAATTTAATAATAAATTATACAAGATGTCAAATCGTTAGTGGTATTTGAAATGTGTTCGCCATCGGTACAGCCGAACATTTTTACCAAAAAAACATGGCTTAAAAAACATGAAAAACTTTTAGCTTTACATAGTCCCCTATTAGGTATGTCCATCTCATAAATTTGTATAGGATACTCGACACTTTTTTTATGAATTTTTGATTTGCAAAATTTCTGTTCTAATATATTCTATAGCGTAAGTACATTTCGTCATAGTCGTAGAATACTGACGGATCTTTATATGTAATCTTTGTCAGATCCGTCAGTATTCTACGACTATGACGATTTGTGAATGGGCAACGATTTCGATTCCATCTTGTATATACCTATTTACAAAAAAAAAAATCTGCAATGATTTACTAAACTCAATCAATATGATTTCGTAGAATTTAATATTATCATAGGTACAATATAAACGTGGTAATTACTGGCAAAACCCTCCTTTTGGGGGAGGCCTATGTTCAGTAGTGGACGACAGACGGCTGATATGATGTAAGTACAATATATGATATTAGTTGGCTGTCTACATTATTATAATCTTTCAGTTACACATTTTATGAATTAGATATTTGCCTTGATTAAACCCAATTGTCGATAGATACGTCTGCGTGTGTATGAGAATGAATCTATCTCATTTATATGAACGTATTTATCGGTTTAACTTACCACGTAAGTTTCTAAGGGGACAAATTAGAATAAAATTCATAATGACCATTCATTTATTATAAGTTATAAATAGATAATTAAAACATGAGGTATGTATATATTTGAATCTGTAGAATCTAAAATAGATAGTGAAAACTTTTGTCTGTGGTTCGGTGTGGTGTGAATGCTATATATAGACAAATATACTATAAATTGATTTGAATATGAAAAATAATTACACAATTTCATTTGATTTTTTTCTTATCTGTAATGTCAAGAACACAAGCATGGCACCAATATTAAAATTAGTCAAAAAACTTATTACAATACACATTACCATAGACTTAGAATAACTTATTTACTCCTTAATCTAAGTACAGTATAATTTTGTCTTGGAAAGAAATAAATTGTGTTCAATAAAATAGAGAAGAAATATACGAGTGTTAACGTCTAGTTTTAAATATTCTAAGCTCTCATTGTCTATAGCCACAAATAAAAAATATTGTTTGTTGGTGGTTTTTTGTTTAAATGTGTAATTTCAGAAAAACCAAGGTCGCTGAAAATAAATGATAGTCTGTCGCATTTATAAAAATATTACAACAATATTTGTCTGTATTTTGTCGAAAGGTTTGCAGTTAATGGTACATTATTTTGGATCTACATGATTGCGTATATAATTAGTATTAAATATAATACGTAATTATAGATATTAATAAGGTTTTAAAATGTTTAGATCGAGATATATATTATATATTAGAATGTTTATAATAAAAAAATTATAAATAATTTTATGTTGTTTTAATAATTGCACATGGCGATGTAGTCACCTAACCCTAAAAGGCCTGATTTTTTAAATCAAATATTTATATATATTTATTTTGAAAGAAACATCTGGTAACGTAAACAGCCAAATATTAAAATAAAAATGATTGTAGGCGCCCAATGCGATTTATAAACCCGGTATCAAATTTGAAACTTCAGGTATTTAAGGGTTAACACATTACTCATTGCCTTATGAGTCGCAAGTTCGATCCTTGCAAAATACATAGATTTTTGTTCACAAGCGTTATTGTATTGATCTAGATATTTCCTATGTACGTCGATAATACATATTGCAGAACTATACTGCCTTTTACCTGCAGCTTCATCCGCGTGACTAAGGATGTTTTATTAATCGATATAGAGTAGTTTTTATCCATCTTTTAGGTATATATTAAATTTTATGGTATCAAAACACTGATCTTGTCATTTATAATATTAATAATGATTTTGTTTCAGTTGTCAAAATATTTCTTAGGTCTTACATGTAATACTGCAGAAAATAGATCGGCTATACTCTACAAGGGAAATAATACATTTCTATAGGGGAGGGGGCGAAAAATAATACATTATAAATGTAATCATATTATTTATTAGAACAGAATGTAGCTACATTACATCGTCAGATCATTATTATTAACATGATAATGTGGTTATACAACAAAACGGAAATAAGAGATTCTGTTTGCAGACCGGCTGTATAATATTATTTTCAGTTACAGGTTGACATAGGATGTAATTTTGTAGTCTACGGATTTATGTTACGTAACTTACACCATAATTAATATAAAAACAACAAAACATGTATACTAATTTTCATGTCTTACAAGGGAAAATCTTAATTTTAAAAAGTGATAAAACTAATAAATATTTTCTTGAAGATTTACGTTTTTGATATGAATTATATTATTTAATACGCACTGTAAATTTTCACGATGCTATTTCTCCATAGATAGACTATTTTTTTAAAGTATTTTCAGGCATTCATTGTAAAGAGTAAAGCTTCATACAATATATTTAAGATCTTCAAAGAATAATAGAGTTGGGAAAATTTACTGTACTTATTAACTACAGTAGATCATACAGTTAACGGTTTTTGGAGTAAATGACTTTAATTTCAGTTTGTATAAAAAATCATAACATTATATATATATATATATATAGCTAGAGAAGCGATTTTAAAACTTATCACTAGTTAAATTTACTGAAAATATAATTATAGTGATCATATCATAAGTGTACTGTGATTATACAATTGTTCAACTTAGTCACACTTGACATACTAATATTATATCTATCAAGTAAGCATGGGTAATATCCGTACCGTTGAGATATCTTTATATTGAATTCCTGTCGATAATGATGACGAAAAAATGGTCATTATCCATTTGAAATCGCACATACTGGTCGGATATTTATTATATATTTATTTCAATTTGGATTCTTTATATCCATATTGTATGTTGGATAACAGATATTTCGTCATAGTCGTAGAATACTGACGGATCATTATATGTAATATTCGTCAGATCCGCCAGTATTCTTCGACTATGACGATTTAACATATTGGTTATTAGACCAATATATAGTTATTGCAATCGAAATAAATAGATATTCTTATATATTACCCACTCCTACTGTCAAGTATATTAACATTAGAAACGTTTCATTATAACGTCGTAGTAACAAAAAAACAAAACAGATTTTTTACAAACATTATCGTATCATTAAAAAAGAAATTAAGACGGAATGAATATCGGAAAAATTGGAGATGAAAATTTCGTTCTTGAATGACACTCTCATTAGCTTTTTTTTTAATTTTGCAAAAAGTATGATAGCTCACCTGTTGGAAACATCAGTATAAGCCATCAGTTTGCCATTCTAAATTACATAAAAAATGGAAAAGAGACAACTATAATTTGCACCGAGTTAAGAACTTGTCCTGGCATCTGCTGTTAGTCTCGTATTTATCATCTATATAAATAAAAAAAAAAGGATGCTGAGTGACTGATCGACTGACTGACCTTATATATCAAGGCACAGCCGAAACACTGAAACCAAAATCTAAAATTTTGCAGATAGGTTCTTTATATAGCATAGACAATAAGAATTTGAAAATTCAACCACTAAAGAGGGTAATATTCTAAAATCCACGCGTAAGTCACAAAGTCGCGTACAAAAACTAATAAATTATAATTTGGTTAGTACAGCCAACCTCTAGACTTTTCTAGAAGGTAACAAAGTACTATTATAATCAAAACTTGCCATTTGATGAGCCAAGAACTTACTTTTTCAACTTCAACATTTCGAATCATTAATAAATCCTAAATTGAGATTTGCTCTTTGAATTATCTTCAAAGCACACATGATATGTACTTATAAATCATCAGTTATTACTTGGGTCGGCGACCCCGTCCCCCGACCTTCGCTTTCTTGTTAGCTGCACTCTTTTTCTCTTCTTCGGCTTTGCGTTTAGGATTTGGTGTTGTTGATAGTACCTGAAACAATAAATAACATGCTATAATGTATAAAATCATATTCCAATAATTGTAACTAAAAAAAATTATTGGAAGCCGCATCTTTTTTTTTTGTACAACTTAGAATGGCAAACAAGCTGAGGGCCCACCTGATGGAAAGTGGTAACCGTCGCCTATAGACATGAGCAGTACCATGGACATAACAGAGTTTACCGTTTCGCCCATGATACCCCACATGCGTTGCCATTCCTGAGGACTCGGGTGTTATTCCTCTGTACCCAGTAAATTTACGCCATATCCCACCCTTCAAAACGAAACACAGCCATGCAAACACAGCTGCTTCACGGTTGAAACACGAATGGGACAGAGATACCCAAGCAATCGACTTTTGTACAAAGTCTCTCTCTGGTATGGTATCTCATCTAGACATTCTAAGCCATATCCGTCAGTAAACATATCATTATATTTTAAAATACCATTGATTCCCCCCTTCCATTTCTCTGGGTGTCGTAATAGGCGATTCAGGGAACTTTGTAGTCCAGGCAGCAGCATCCCACTTTAAATATGACCAAAACTGCGGTTGGCAACCTGTTTACCAATCGTGCCAACTACTGGCAGAACCTCCCTTATGGGTGAAGCCAGTGTAGAGTTTTTTTTTTTTCAATGGATGATAGTAGAATAATCACTCCACTTGCGCTAATAAGAAGAGATTGTTAGAAATTGGGTTTAACAAATTTGTTCGTAAGTTTATTTTTAAATGAAAATAACTGGTTTTGCCATAGTTGATGTTTTTCTTTTTTATTTGTAGAACACAATTTAATTACTCAATTGCTTATATAAGGTAAAGGTAATAGTTTACAATATTTTTAAATAGCTTAACAGAAATAATTAAATAATTAATTAGACTATAGATTTGCTAATTTAGACCAAATTAAAAAATACACAATAATTTTCGACTTTTTACTGAACTGTGTGTTTTTTTTTTTGCGGAAGTCCATATAACAAGTTAGTTAAATAAGAATTATTTTGATTAAATCCACTACAATTACATTACTTACATTTATTATTACTATCTCTCACTTTAGTACTATTTTCCTGTGTTCTCTTTTCGTTTTCCTTCGTAATTTTTTTTTTCTGTTGTATGTGTGCTGTTAAGTATGTGTATGTTATGTATATATTTAATTGTGTATATATTATATATGTATGTGTATGTATGTATGTATGTATCTATATATGTTTGTATATGATAATATTTATATTATAGTGTGCCACCTATTCTTTTTCTCAATGTCTTTTTCTCAATGTCCTCTACTCAAAGGTTGTCTGAAAGAGATTGCTTAGCGATAAGGCCGCCTTTTGTATCACTTCTCATTAATATTTACTGTATTTGTTATTTCTCTTTTTACTTGGTGTAATAAAGTGTAAATAAATAAATAAATTTATTAAGTAAACAACTTAAAATTTTAATATATTTAATACAAATTCATAGTGATGTTCTGAGAATAGCCGTGGTATGATCATACACACATACATACCGGTCACAATTTTAAACCTTCCTTTTGCTTCGCCATAGTCAGGATCATAACGATTTACGTACCTTGAAGAACCCATCAAGCCTGCCCTGCGTGGTGCCAGTTCTTGCTTTCATCAGTTTCTTGGCGCCGTTCCGTACTCGTTCCTCATTGAACTGCTTGTCTCCACACAGAAACTTCACCAGACCTTCCTCATCAGGATCCGTCCATTTGATCTGGGAATTTATTTACGTTTTTAGAATTTGGCTCTCTATGGTGAAGCGATTAAATAAGCCGCCTCAACTTCAAATGGTCGCAGGTTTGATCCCCGCACAATACAAACATATAAACATGAATTTATGGGCATTTTCTACATATGATATGACATTTTTTTTAATAAATGCTAATGAAATGGTAACTATACCCATGTTGAACTTTAGTTGGATGTAATTTAATAGCCCATTTAACCTTTTTATAGCCGGAACAACAGCCGAACTTGTGGTTGCTATTTTTCCTTAGATCGCTATTGAAAATTAACTCTGTAAACCGTCACCGCAAGCAAATATAGTGGTTTTAAATTAAAATATATACACTTTACGCTCTGCTACCATGTTGGAGAAAGACTAATAAAATTATATATAAGAGGAAAGACATCGGTCTTCAAGTTTTATTAGTAGACAAACAACCAGAGGGAGACTTTCTACAAAAGTCGATTGCTTGGGTACCTTTGTCCCATTCGTGTTTTAACCGTGAAGTAGTTGTATTTGCATGGCTGTGTTTCAATTTGAAGGGTGGGATATGGCGTGAATTTACTGGGTACAGAGGAATAACACCTGAGTCCTCAGGAATGGCAACGCATGGGGGTATCATGGACGAAACAGTATACTCTGTTATGTCCATGGTACTGCTCATGTCTATAGGCGACAGTTATCACTTTCCATCAGGTGGACTGTTAGCTTGTTTGCCATTCTAAGTTGTATAAAATAAAAAAAAATACTACAACAGAATATCAATAATAAAAAAGAATTAATATTTTTATTATAGAGGTTATCTACTGTTAGAATAGATGTACAGTGCCCATAGTGCAAGCACTACTTAGTTCATGATTAGGTGATACTGTATAATATATCTAGTGATATGTATTAAAAAAAAAAATTATCTCACCTCAATCTCACTGGGATTCCGCACTTCAGGTTCTAAAAACAGCTTCCTCGCCTCCTCGTAGTCCCAGTTCTCTGGCGGTGGATACTTGGTAGTGTCGATATTCCGCAGCACTTCATCTAACGACCGGTGTTGCCGGATCAGCTCTATGGCGCGCTTCGGCCCGATCCCCCGGATGGAACCGCAGTAGTCACAGCCGAGTAATATGCAGAGATCTATAAACTAAACAATAATATGACGAGTCATTATTGGCGATATTTCGTTTTTTTTTATAGATGTAAAGAAAAAAATTACACAAATTGAAAACCTTTTAAAAATAGCTTTAAAAAAAATTATAAACAGAGATATAATACCTCCTTATACTCCAGTTCGAGGCCTTTCAGTACACTGCTCAGATGGAATTCCTGGACTGGCATTTTCCTCGCCTCGGAGAACGTCATGTGGCGCAGTAAAACATCAGCGCCAAAGGTCAGCGCGTCCATATCTTCTGTGGCCGTTCCATACACTTTGCCTGCTTTTACCTGATTATTGAAAAAAAAAAATAGACATTTTACTATGGATAAATTTGCTTATAAAAGTCTCCCATTAGAGTAGGTAGAAACAATGGCACGCCAAATGTTTCAATTCAAAGAAACATCTTTCGCTTCTTTTACATTCGTTAATCTTTTCATACACACTCATTGTTTACTTTTAATTTGGCCCTTCTTTAGCACGTCGCCTATTTGGTCAACATATGTCCGTCTAGAGCGGCCCCTACCGACATTACCATACATTCTTACTCCATAAATGTCATTCATAATTCTTCTTTCATCTATCCTCTGTAAATGACCAAACCAATGCAATATACCCTTTTCGACTTTTGTCACTACATTGTCTTTCAGTCCACACTTCTCTCTAATCACATTGTTTCTTGCTCTATCTTTTCTCTCATCTCTACAGCATTAATCTTTCTTTCATACTTCTCTATGGACTCACAATTCGCTTCCATACATGAATGTTGGTATAAGCACTCCCTGAATTATGGCAAGGCAAGCTTTGCTCCAGTGAAAAATTGGACTGTTTTTTTTTATAATACATAAAACTTAAAAACTACTTAATCAAATTTAAAAATTCTTTCACCTATAGAAAGCTATATTATTAGAGAGCAAAATAGACTATATATTATTTCTTAAAAATTCTATGTACTTGTAGAAAGCTTGTACATTATAAATTATTATGGACTGTCTACATACCAGTGCTGCACATTGTGCCTCAGCTTCACAGGGTGCCTCCACAACAGGGATGCCCATCAACTTGAGGAGCTGTCTAGCCTCCTCACTATGCTGTTTCGTCACCTTCACCAGCCTCCGGTTGAACTTCTCTATTTGGGATTGGTCACCTAGTAAGTAGAACATATATATTTAGTACAATCTGTTTATATAGATGTTATAATATTGATAATAGGGAAATTGCTGTTAAGGAACACAGCCCTGTACTTTATGTCCCTACATCTCAAGTGAAGAATCAGCGTTTTACATATTTATTCTGCTACTGCACTAGGCAACTGCTGAATTGACATCTAGTATATTTCTGCAGCACTGTATTTGAAAGAAAATTTGTCAATTTGATACCAACTTCATCAGAAGATATAAGATTATAACTTGTAATATTTTAAATGAAATTTATTAATAATGAATTAGTATTTTTCTTTAACTCCTATGTTTGTGACTTGCCTAATTTAGAAACCAATGAAGTTTGTAAACATATGTATAATTGACCTAACCTACAGGCAGTCTTCTGATGGCCAAATATAAATGGAATATTAATTAATTGATTGAATGTTTCAATTTATTATTAATTAAGAGTGTTTTTACCATGCCTTATGATTCTAACATAGAATGTCCAATTCCTTTAATTTTCTCAGGGATGTTGTAATTAATGGTCGAGAGTTTTTTGTTGGCAAAAATATTTAGTTACACTACTTTTGCCTATGCCTAGCATGGGTATTATTAAGTTTTCACTCTGTATAATAATTATATTAACATGATTACCAGCTTCAGTAGCCTTCTGTAATTCCTTCTCAGCCTCTTCTCTTCTCTCTGCTCTTTTATTTAGCTGATGCGACTTTAACTCTGGTGGTTTCCCATCAAAAACATAAACTGGTTTTATACCATTCTCCACAAGTCTGATTGTGCGGTAGAATGTTCCCATTAGATGTGATGTGGTCTCACCATCGACAGATGTCAATTGCGCACCTAAAGAAAGAATTAATAAAAACACTTTATTGTTACTTTTAAAGAAATATATGTATATATATATATATATATATGTATGTATATATATATATATATATATATATATATATATATATATATATATATATATATATATATATATATATATATATATATATATATATATATATATATATATATATATATATATATATATATATATATATATGTATGTATGTATGTATATATATAAAGAAAGAGTATTACAAGTAGCAAGATAAAAAAGAATATAATGAATGGCCTTAGTGCTAAATAGTTAATTCTTTTTATTTAAAGTTCATTTATGCTTAACCTGTGTGGTCCCAGCATAGAATGGGTCAATTCCCTTATCATAATTGTCATAAGAGGCAATTAAGAGAACTTGAAGGTTGAGGATGGGCAGCAGCGTTCTTCTTAAAATATCACCAAAAGCTTAACTGCAGTTGCCAACCTGACAAGTGTGGCAACTACTGATAAAACTCCCCTTAGGGGTAGTCCTATTTTCAGCATTGGACAGTTAACAGCGGATATAAATGAATGAAAGGTTCCATAGGATATAAAAACCAAACTAGTAAATCAATTTTAACAAAATTTTTATAGGACCAATCTGAAAGTAATATAATATCAGATAAAAAAGATCTTTTCAAATCTGTTTATAAATGATGGAGTTATGAATTGACAGACAATAAAAAATAAATAAACTGAATTGAAAACCTTGTGCTTTTTTGTAGTTGAAAAGAATAAAAATGCTTTCAGATTTTTAGTGAGCGGCTTTGAGCACATTTTCATTAAATACCATGAGCCACCATACATGTACTTTTCCTTACCTTCACTTCTCACGGCAATCAGGAATTGATATAGACTCATAGATGCATCAATAGCGATTTTGCGGCCTGCAATATATAATTAAGTATAGAATCTTTTACATGAAAAAAATTATCTACTTATCTTTCGTCCACATGACCAGGATAAAAAGTAACCTATAATGTATATGTAAAAGAAAACTATAATAATTAATAATTTAAGTTCTCCAATCCCAAGTAGTACCAAATTTCATAGTGTGGTTAAACCGTTAAGTAACAAACAAAATTAATCTTAAATTTTATCAGAGAAGAAGTATATATATTTTATTTATATCAGTATATAATGACTTTTATGTAGAAATTAAATAATCCTTCTTGATCAGTGGGAGTTAAATATAAAATATGATTTTAAAACCTTTCCTCTAAAGTATTGGTTAGGTAGCTAATGTAACAAAAGTAAACCCACCAAAATAGTTCTTTATCTCCATTTCTTTCACAGCATGAGGTGCAATATCTGCTATTAACTTTGATAATCCCAAAATACCCATTTTTAAATAATTCTAATATAACTGATAAGATAAATTACAAAGATTAAAATGGTGGTTTTTTTATTTTGTTTTTATTTGCTGAGTGAATTAAGTCAAGAGATTGGCGGGAAACTTTGATATTTCATTCGCTAGTACACTAACACTGCCTCGATATAATCGAGATTTTGAGGTATAATCAAGAAAAAATAATTAACAGTTTAATAAAAAAATTGTTGAAATATATATTATGGATGACTAACACACTTTTATTTGCAAAATCTTTATCAAATATAAAATAATGATTATTAATATTTTATAAATTGTAAATAATTAAAATATTCTTCTTCTGAAGTTCAAAGAAACATTCGGATTTAAAAATATAATGACATTGACAATATTAAATGACAACTTTAGCACTTGTTGTCTAAAATGACAGTTAAGTAATCTAAGTTACATAGGGAGAGACGACTAGCTAGTTTATTGATACGTTTTTACTTGACATATAAGTATTTGGAAATTTGGATCAAGGGCGTTATTTATTTTTTATAATTCGGAAGTGTTAATTTTTTATTTTACAATATGGGAAATTTAATTAGTATTAATATGGAAGAAAACTTTAAAAAGAACCAAGAATTCATTCAATCAATGAGTAAAATAAGAGTAAGTAGTACAGTTTGGATTTATGGATATAAATATATTGACTGTACCTATGATTACATGTGCATTAAAAAATGTGTTGTAGGTATAAAATCTCTAAGTACCCTTCAGGTACAATATTGACGTAAATATTTGATATATTTCAGAGCATCAAATAGTCAACCTTTAATAATTTATGTTTACGGATTTAACAATTTTAAACTTAAAATAGTTTCAAAGAGAAAACATGGTTTTGTTTTATACCAAAAAATAAATTTATAAATGGAAAAAAATATTTAATAGTTAAAATATGTATAATAACATCAATATGTTATGCATGTAGTAAATATTTAAATTATATTTAGGTGCCAAATATTTAATTTATAACTTCGTTTTAGATGGAAAGACAAATTCAATTACAATATCAGGTACAGGAGCGTCAAATGGCAATGCAAATAGCAAAAAATAGAGACATTTGTTTGTGGTTAACTACATTCTATATTACATCTGCTGCTGGATTGTATACTGGGTAAATTGAGTTTTAATGTGTTTATCACACTGTAAATAAGCATTGTTTTTTTTTGTATTAAAGAAAAATATTCATTATTTATAGAAAAAAAAGCTAGCTGTTGTACTGTAGCAATATTTTTAATGATTTTATTGAAATAATAAAAATTATTATCTTTTTCATTTTCAGTTTTCGAAGAACAAAACGGTCGTATTTTTTATTTCCATTGCTGCCTTTGACTTTTGTAACATTATATTATTGGGATCTCGCATATGGAAATAAAGTACATAGGATCAGGAGTAAGTATAAAATAATTATTGGAAAACTTAATTATTCTAAATGAATGATGAAGTTAAGACCAAAAGTAAGCAACAAATTCTCTGAGTTTTTTAAATGAGTTAGAATATAATGGTAACCCTGCCTGCGCTATTAATATATGCTGGTGGGGCACCAGTAAAAGATAATAGATGAGGACGAAAGATCAATTACTCCATCATGACGAATTTCACAAGAATTAATCATAGTAATTTCCAGGTAAAACAGCCTATCTTTACTTGTTATGGTATGTTAATGGAACAAACAATGGAACTAGCTAGTTAGGGTTGCAAATCCTCATTATTAACAATCACTTTTCTGCTCGAAATTCTCCGAGTTATTCGATGGGCTCCAGGAAGAACTGCATGGAGGTCGACCTGATAAGGTATATTGGGGGAAAGGTATTGTTAGTAATGTGGTTTTAACTGCGGCATTGTTAACAATATACTCTTTAAAGTCGTTCTCCACGAGGTCCTTCCTTAAATATATTGTGCTTAACAGTTGTTGAATTGGTCATGATGCAATAACTGTTAACCATGATAGTTTCCTACATTGATGCCCTGCCAGTATAAACCGATAGCGTTGGTAGTGTCACTATTTCATTTTTACCACTTTAAAAGAGTGAAGTATGTTATTTATACAACTTGGAATAGGAAACAAGCTGATAGAAAGTGGTAATAGTATATTGGAGAGAGGAGAGAGGAATTGTCAATTTCCATAGCTAGCAATACACCCCGACAGGTCGAACTTCACTCGATTTCTCCTGAAAATCATCGTATTTAATTCTTTTTGAATATGCCACTTGTGCTAATTAATCTTACTACATATTTATCTGTCATTTCTTACTGGTGTCCTGTCAACCTATATCGATAGCGCAGGCGAGGTTACCATTTCACTCTCAATAAAAAAAATTGGGTATATTGTTAACAATTGGGTCTTTGAATTTGATTAATTACAAACAGTTCTTTCTACCCGCATATGAATTTTAAAATTAGGCAGATTAGGTGTATCGTCCTTATTGGCTTAATCAAATGCTATGAAATTTAGTATACACATACTATCTGGTATTTGGTATACATCTTTTTATCTTGACTAGTAAAAATATTCTGGTCACGTGGACGATGTCACGGACAAAAAATTCTATCTTATATAATACCTAGACTTTTTTTATTCTAATTTATGCAGTTAATGTTGCGGATTTCAATTAGTTGTTTATAATTTACATGACGTTGACTCTATTATTTGTAGTGGAAGCTGAACATATAATGACACATGAAGCAGACTCCTTAGAATGGCCTTGTGGTTTACCATCACCATCTTCTATAGACCAAGGTGTCATGGAAACAGAAGAAAAAAAGAAGATTCATCCTCCACTTCTATAAAATAATATTTTTCATAATAAAGCTGTTCAGACGTGTGCCTTCACCACTTTGTAGTGAAATGGCAGTTTTAGTAAAATAATAAAAAAAAAAATAGTGAATGCTAGTTTTTCAAAATATGCATTCAAAATAAGAAATTTAAATCATCACTTACTGTTTTATCGTACTAGGATTAGCAAAATTTTTGGAACAATAGATATTTAGGTGAAATAGTTAAATTTTGCTTCATATATTCTTATGTTTGTTTTATTATTTCCATAGTGAAACTAAATCTACAACGATCCATCTCAATTTTTAAGTCTTTTATCAATAATGGTTTCATAATCGTACTTAAAATTGTGACTCACATTTTGGCATCTCATTATATTATATACAGGTATTATTATAGTAGTTTATATTTACTTACACAATTACTTAGGGCTGCTTTAGCATTAAATTCATTCCGTCTTTATCTGTTTGTAGTTAATTTAATGTGATATAGAAATTTAGTCATTAATACTATACATGTTATTTTCATTCAAAAAACTTATAGGTATAAGTATATTAAAATACTTATTTCTGAATTTTTCATTTTTAGTATAAATACCTAATGCATTTAGATTATATTTAATTACTTAGTCTTTATCTGTAAGAAAAGAAACAATAAACCTAAGTACGCTTACTGTTAAAACAATGCAATGATTCTTTTGTTCATGTTAACTTTTTTTTTTTTAATATTATAAGTAGATTTTTTTTATATACTTTTGTTACGTAGTCTTTATTTTGTATTATATATTCTTTAGATATAAATTTACTTAGAACCTTCATTATGTAGATGATAAGTGTACCTTATTTTTTTAGCAGTTTTGTAATACATAAATTCAAACCCGTTGTGTGTCAATCGTAGAAAAGGCACATAAAAAACGTTATTTTCTGAATTACAACATTTGTAAAAAAATATATTTAGTTGTACAAAAGTTATAAATAAATGGATCTTGGTTTATTTCCCATTAGATGTAATTATTTGTATTTTTTTCTGTCTATTAATAGAAAGTTTGATTGACAGATAAATTTGAATAAGATTAATTGTGTTGAGAAATACTAAGTCTAAAAATAACTATAATAACTCAATTAGCTGATATTTTTTTATTTGCTACTTAAAATATTAAACTACTTCAAGTTGATACTTATTGAAACATTTATGACTAATATAATTAACTACTGAATGTGTTTAAACTGTAGTATTCATTGACAAATAAAATTTTACTACGATAATAAAATATAGGTAGCTCAACGAATTAATATTAAAGGGAATTTTTATTGCCTACTTATTGTAGGTAATTTGTATGATGGATGATGTAGCGTTTTGGAACTCGAGATATATTCGTTTTTGTAAAATTTCATTAATGTTAATAAACTCTTCGTTATACAAAATGTGGTATTTTTTATGTACAGATTTGGAATTTATTCATATAAGTATATAAATAGAATAAAGAGTATATATCTTTGTAATATAAATAATTATGCAGACTGTTAGGTATATCTAATATTAATTATTATAGAAATGTGTCGACAAAAGTACGTTGTCATTAATTTATTACATGAGCCCTAAGTTGGTATTCTAGTTGGGTCTAGATGTTTCAGATTATCACAGATGTTCGTTGTCTGGTGATTGAAAAATCAGAATATTATAGTTTGGAGAACACTTTTCAACCGACTTCGGTTCACTTAAACAGAAGGAACTTCTTGATTCAGTCGTTTTTTGTTTGTTACCTCATAACTCGACAGAGTACCGACAAGTTCTAATCCGATTTGGATATTTTTTTTTATCTGAATATACAAACTAATACAATATATAAATGATATACAATCAAATTATCAATTGTTTTTTTTTTTATTAAAATTGACGTATTTGGCATGCAAATTTAATGTATTAATTATTACTAATTAAATCAAAATAACTCGTATTGTTATGTTTGAAGTCGGATTTTTTATAGGATACAATCTTTAATTAAATAAAATTTTCATAGTTATTTAAATATAAATAGTAAGTAATTTTAAATTAATAAATATTTTTTTATTAATTTCATAGGCAAATACGTATGAAGTAAAATAAGAAAGTATACCTATGTTGTGAATACTAATAATTTTACTACGGTATGTCATAAATTATCAGAGGTTAATAACTATTGAATAAATTCTAGACGCCAGTTTATTAAAATTCAAATAGAGTCACGATATATCGATTAAACAAATTATTTATTGTTGTCACATTACTAAAGTTGACATTTGCGGTTTCCATGGTTACTGCCGTTTGTTTGAATTGGGCACCGCCGTAAACAAATGAAACTCGGTGGATTGCAAATCATTGAGTACATATTTTATCCAATATCAACTGAAATACGAATATTAAGTTGTGTATTCAATAAATATGTCATATGAAAAGTGTATCTATTGTTATTTCTGGTAAGTACATTTATAACATTCATTTATTATTCAGTTAAAGTAGTTTGGGTGTAATGACAATTTTTTCAAATAGGACATCGAGTGCTATTGATCTATTTACGGTTGCTTAGCATAAATAATCAATATTTTAAAATGATCGGTGTCACGCTCGGGCATTCTATTCAAATCAGTAGAGTTATTGACTGAAATTTACATTTTATCTGCAAATCGCAGTATGCCTTACCGACGTACGCTGCATGCTCGGTATGTAAATATTATAAGGTAATATTCAATTTTAGTTCCGATTTCGGCAGTCGAATAGCTTAAGATTCTGTTGCTCTATTAAATAATCTCAAATGAACCACAGTCAACAAACCGTTAAGAAGGAAGACCGTAAGAAAGATGGTTCACAGAAGCAAACTCAGAAAAAGAGTCCTGAAAAGAATATGTCGGAAATCGACGAACATATATTAAAGAGGTTTGATGTAAAAAAAAGATTGGGCAAAGGTGCATATGGCATAGTGTGGAAGGCTGTAGATAAGAAGACGAAGGATGTGGTGGCAATAAAAAAAATATTTGATGCATTCCGGAACCAGACTGATGCACAGAGGACATTCAGAGAGATCATATTCCTCCAATCGTTCCGCAATCATCCCAATATTGTGAAGCTACACAGTATACATAGGTATGAATTGAAATATTAAGAAATTCCTGTAGCAAATTTTATTTAAAAACTCAGAAATAATGTTTAGCATTGCTTACTATTCTCTAGGGACTTTTTGATTTATTGTGAAGAATGTTGCTAGTAAAAAAAATAAATTTATACTAGCAATGGTTAGTAGGTACCTGTAAACTCAAATTTTATAATTTCTATGTTAGTATAAAAATATTCATACTTATATAATATTTAGATGTATTTAATAAAAGTCTACTAAAGTTATGAAATTAAAATAAAAAAACATTGTTGTTTTATTATACATACTTAATTGCAACACACAAGTACACAAACACAGTACACACACATACACATGTACACACATATACATACACACAACACAGATGCAGAATGTAAGTATGCTAGTAATGCATATTATTATTATAATTAAAGTCATATATCTGTGAGGGAGTTGTATTTAATGATCTAATACACAGTGTTATAATGATGTCTGTAGGACAAGGCAGTCTAATATGATTTGAGTAAAATGACAATTTTAATCTCTACATGGCCATTTTTGGTATCCTAATATATAATTAATTTCAGAGCACTAAACAACCGAGACATCTACCTCGGCTTCGAATACATGGAGACGGATCTGCACAATGTGATCAAACGTGGGAACATATTGAAAGACATACACAAGCGGTACATTATGTATCAGATGCTGAAAGCGACCAAGTACATACACTCTGGCAATGTGATACATAGAGATCAGAAGCCAAGTAATGTGCTTATAGACAGTGCTTGCAGGTAAACAATTTCGTATTTACCTCACGTATTTGGGGGGGTGGAGGGGGCTGACCACTTCGAGTAAGCACATAATGTACTCTTAGATGTCTTGAAAGTTACACTATTGATTTTGGGATGCGCTTCACCAAAATATTTCATTGAGACAGTTAATTGCAGTCTGCATGGAAGCCCTACTTGCTCTATCGGTATATTTTGGATGATAATGGAATGGTAACTCCGCTTACGTTTACGGTGTACGCTGGCGGGGCGCCAGTGAGAGATGATAGGTGAGAATAAAAAGTCAGGTCAGGTAGCCCATCGATATTTTTTATTTATATTCCAATACACCTGGAATTTAACACGATAGTTTCTAGGGGGACTACGTGGAGGTCGACCTGAATAGGTATATTGTTAGCAATGGGACTGATAGTTCGCAGTACTAACAATCCCTTACCCCCCTGTGAAGGATGGTAGGTAATGATAAAGCAGATCAGTTGGCTCAACGTAACGAATTTATCAAAAATGAACCAGGATGGTTTCCAAAGCTGGATAGCGTGGAAATCGACCTGACACGATAGGTATATTACAATAAAGCCTAACGTCTTCATTACTAATATTTTTTAATTATTTTCATTATTCATTAAATTATTTATATATTATTAAATTAGTGACAAATTCAACAATAAACCAATCACGATGGTTTCCAGGAGGAACCGCAAAGAAGTCGACCTGCTTTGCGGGTGGGTTGTTAAACCCCGTTACTAACAATCTTCCCCCCCCCCCCCCCTCTTCCCCACAATTAGGGTTAGGTCGTAGTGCAGTGTATCCATACTATAGTTTAATATTAATGTATTATAATTCAATCAGAGTGAAGCTAGCCGACTTTGGATTGGCACGCTCCGTGTCCAGTATGTATTCCGGTGGAGAAGATGGAGCAGACCCGTGCCTCACGGACTACGTAGCAACGCGGTGGTACCGTGCACCTGAGATACTCATTGCCAGCAAGAAGTAAGTATTGTGAAATGTAAATGTAATCGCCGTGTGGTCCCGGCATAGAATGGTCCACCCCTTCCTTTCTCGTGGGTGTCGTAAGAGGCGACTAAGGGAAGCCTAACTGTGGTTGCCAACCCACTTATCAAGCTTAACAAATACTGGCAAAACTCCCCTTATGGGGGATACTTATGTCCAGCAATGAAATGGACATAAGGATGGTTGAAAGAAGAATTACGAAAGGTATCTATCGAGCACGAATGAATGGAGATGCACGAAAAGTTGGATCCATAGTCACTAATGATCAGTAATCACCAAGGATCACATATTTTTACATGATAATATTTTTCTAGACCAAGATTGGACTGATAATGAACCGTGATTGATATTATATTGTGTTGTTGTATCAGCCGTTAATTGTCCACTGCTGAGCGTAGTCCCCACTATATATATATATATATATATATATATATGTATGTGTGTATATATGTATATAATTTTCATATATTTTTAATTTGCAAAAGATGCTTTTTTAATTATACAGCACTATCATACCTACTTGTACAACAATTAGTCCATTACCTTAAGATTGTCTTGAAAAGATCGCTCTCAGCAATAAGACCGCCTTACTGTACTTATACAATTGTATCGTTGTGTTTGTAAATTGCCTTGCTTATTTCCTATATTGTAAAATGCAAATAAAGTATATTCATTCATTCATTCATTCAAAAAGGGTTTTGCCAGTAGTTGCCCCGCTTGGCTGGCGAATTGGCAACTGCAGTTTGACATTTGGTGATGTTTTGAGAGGGACGCTGCTGCTCATCCCTCCATCATAAGCTCTCATAGTCGCCTCTTACGATGCCCACGGGAAACGATGGCCTATTCTTTGCCGGGACATCACAGCGAATTATATTGTGTACCTAGTCAAAATGATGGTTACCATTTTTCTTCAAGTTGGTTGCCATTCCAAATATTATAGAAAACATTTTGGGTTGTTAAGAATCATTTATCCATAAGAATTTGTTCTTTATAGCTACACTAAAGGCATTGATATGTGGTCTCTGGGCTGCATACTGGGGGAGATGTTGACCGGGAAACCCCTATTCCCTGGCACTTCTACTGTAAATCAGGTGGAGAGGATCATGGCGGCGCTGCCTAAACCATCTTCTGAAGGTAACTTAGAACTCGTTTAGTTTTGTTAGATCTAAAGTTATATACCTCGTATAAGTGAGAAGGGAATGTTTTCTCTTTTCAATGGGTGGAATCAAAATGGTAATCCAGCCAAATCGGTATACGCTGGCGGGGCACTAGTGAAGGATGATAGACAAGGATGAAGTCAAGTCAGCTGGCTCATTGAGACGAATTCATCAGGAAAATACCGCGATAGTTCCAGGCGGGACCTCGTAGAGGCCGACTACTTTCGTTATCAATAGAAGTTCTACGACTTTCCATATTAGTTGTCAACATTCAACAGTTATCTAGTTCACGCACATGTTGCGACACGTGTCTCTACACGACTCTAAATCAAGCAATTTCAGACTTCCGCAAGATAACACGTAGTTCAGTAAAATATTGACAATGTTTTACACTCAATGGTTGGACACACATTTTGTTTGTTTGATACACAGGATTGACCGGGATGAAAATAGCCTATATCCTCCAGCACCTGAAATAATAAATTTCGTAATGAATTTTGGCTTACATGTGTTATTTGGTTGTGAGCCATTAAAGCGCTAAGAGGTAGCAAAAAACCAATCTCAGCTTTATATTTTATAATATTTGTAAGGATTTATATATTGTCCTGCAGACATATCAGCAGTATGCAGCGGTTACGGTTCCTCATTAATACGGGAGCAGGCGGCCTCTGCCAGTGGTGGAACTTCATTAACCGCACTGCTCTCCTGTGCCCCACGCGACGCGGCTGACCTCGTCCAAAGACTCCTTGTCTTCAATCCGGCGAAGAGGCTTAGCGCTGAGAGAGCGCTGGACCATGAATATGTTGGGAAGTAAGTAAATAAACAAGTCTGTTTAAGTATTTTTTTAAAACAAATGTTTATAATGTAATCCGCCATCTTGTGACAGCGGCCATTTTGAAATTACATTTATTGTACCGTTACCCAATTTTTAAGTATTTTCTATTTACACAGCATGTAATTAACCATCGGTCATATGATACGACCACCATATTATACAGCGTTCATGGCGTAAATGGTAATGCATGAGTTCACGTATTGCCATTCTTGAGGACTAAGATCTATTCGTACTGCAATTCATACTGGTTATTTGGGAGCTAGTAACGCAGAAAATAGCTAACACAAAGCAACGATGAAACGATTCCTGATCGAGCCAATTTAGGAAACGAACTTTTCTATACTAACTGAAGTCGGGGTGTTCTGGAATATAATATATTTATATATATTGTAAGCAAGGGTGGATTTGTCTCTGAAAGAGATCTCTTCTAGCCAACCCAATACAGTGGGAAAGCATGTCATTAGCGGTCAGTTAAAGTGCACTAGTGCTGTACGAACAATTATTAATACTAATCATTGCATAAGCTGCCTGATGGAAAGTGGTAACCGTCGCCTATAGACGTGAGCAGTACCATGAACATAACATGTTTCGCACATGATACCCCCCATGCGTTGCCATTCCTGAGGACTCAGGTGTTATTCCTCTGTACCCAGTAAATTCACACTATATCCCACCCTTTAAACCGAAACACAGCCATGCAAACACAACTGCTTTACGGTTGAAACACGAATGGGACAGAGGTACCCAAGCAATCGACTTTTGTACAAAGTCTCCCTCTGGTGAAATAAGCTATAAATAAACAGTTAAATGAAATATTAATATATATTATAATATTACATAAATACATAAATATAATACCTAATAATAATGCAGAACATCTTAGCTAGATGATCAGGAGTTTAGAATAATTGCGTGGTATTCACATCTTATGGATATCTTGGATATGTGGTTGTTTTTTACATACTTGGCTCCATTTGGTAGTATTAGATTAACTTTTGGTAGATTCCATCGTGAGCGCGACGAGCCTACGTTACCATCAGACGTGCTGCTACCACTCAGGGACGATAAGCAGGTATCCGTGGATGACTACAGGAACAAGCTGTACAGCATCATGGCCAAGGGATCCAACTCCAACGGTCAACTGAAGAAAATGCACAGGTAAGTAAAGTGGAAATGGTCCTTGTATTGCGTATATTTTGTATGTGATTTGTATTGGCAAAAAAGATGAAGGCGCAACTGATGGACAGTGGAGAACACCACCCATAGTCATGTATAACATCATGAATGTGAGAGAAAAGAAATGGTTCGTAATGGGGTCTAACAGTTTTACTGCTAGCAATATACTCTACAGGTCGATCTCCACGCGGTTACCTCTGGAAACCATCGTGGTTAATTCCTGTTGAATTTGTCACGATGGGCTAACTGATCTGCTTTCATCCTCACCTATCATCTCTCCCTGGTGTCCCGCCAATGTATGTCGATAGCGTAGGCTCTTTCATATTATATATACTATTTCATATTCACCCATTTAAAAAAAAACCATCATCATGAATGTCAAAACTTTGAACAAAGAAATGGGAATGTATGAAGTGTATCATGGACAGTTCTTATGCGTTGCCATTCCTAAGGATTATCGTAGTAGTTTTCCGGACCCAGTAAGTGCTATATCCTAATTTTCAAACCGAAGCGCAGCACTGGAGGCAGAGTTTAGCATCTGAAATATATGAAGACAGAGGTACCTGTATAAATGCTATTATACAAGGTAAAAGAACTTATGGATAGAGACTCTGTGAGGTCGATCACCACTTGAGAGGATCCCCGGAAAACATTCTGTCTGATTCCTGGTTAAGTCCTCACGATGTGCGAACTGATTTCTTTTTAAAAGGCCGATAGCACACCTGCAATGCCTTTGGTGCTCTGGGTGATTATGGGCGGCAGTAGTCACTTATCATCAGGTGACCTGCATGCTCATTTTCCTCTCATGTTATAAAAAAAAAAACTGGTCTGCCCTTCTCACCTCCCTTCGCTGGTATTCCGGTAAAATCAATAGTGTATGTGGGATCATAATTTTCATTTTAATTGTATAGATAATAATCAGCTATTAATTTTCTTCTTTCAATTTAGAATTTCACGCTGCAAAATTTTATTACAGCAGCAAATCGCATCCCCTGCCGTCAACCGCCAGCAAAAGCAGCAAATCCATCCACGAAGCCGAAAAATACAAGCCAAAAACCGTATCAGCCGACCAGAAGACCCGCGCGAAGAAACCAATCAAGGAGTATAGGTCAGAGCAGCTCATTAACAAGCCACTACGAGCCACCAAAGTGTATAGCCACGACTGGCTGGAGACCAGCTGCCAAGGCGACTACTTTCAGCCACTAAACAGCCACCAGAGTCCTTCCGACCATGGGTTCTTGAATGGGAACAAGCCGTCTTTACAGCAAAGAAGGAATTCTACTTCGTTCTCCACTGTGACTATAGGCGGGGATGCTGACTATGGACTCAGGAATCAGAGGCATGGGGTCATCACTGCCAGTGCCCTAATGGACCTCCGTACAAGCATACGTTGAGGTGAAGGTAAGGTGGCGTGGAATGAATCTCATTTCGTTAACATAGTCCAGGAGCTGGTAGCAATTTCGAGTATATATTATACTTTTGTAAAAGTTGAATTTTGTTTAATCTCAACATCACCCAAATATGGAAACGTATATCAGAGTAACATTTTTATCTGGAATTCACGAGTTGGTATTTTTTTTTTATTTTTTGATATAGTCTTTTTTTCAACCGACTTCAAAAACAAGGAGGTTCTCAATTTCCTTTTGTTACTTCTTATTTGCGTCAATTATAAACCAATTTGGGAAATTCTATGTTTATCTGAAAGGATATACTTGTACATGGGGTCCTTAAAAATTTTATTAAAATTTCTTTTTGTAGTTTTTAAATATAATAACGTATTTTTCCATAACTGCAATCGATTTTTTTTAACAATATAAAGTTTTGTCGTGTGATCCCGGAATAGAATAGGCCACCCCTTCCTTTCCCGTGGGTGTCGTAAGAGGCGACTATAGAAGGGCGAGGGATGGGCAGCAGCGTTCCTTTTAAAATATCTCCAAAGCCTTACTGCGGCTGCCAATCTTTCTGTCACGCGTGATAACTACTGGCAAGACACCCCCCCCCCCCCTACATTGGACTGGACAGTGGACATTTAACGGCTGGATATGATGATGATGAAATTATTTCATATATCGTATTTTTAAATTCTTAAATATCTGTTAATCCTTTTATACATATCTTTCTTGTATAATCTTCTTCTTCTATCTATCTTCTATACTTATAATAAATCTGTACAGAGGTCAATTCTGTACATGAAATATATTTCCAAAATAACTATCAAGGGGTGATTGGTGATAGATACTGATGCCAAAAATGCAATCAGTAAAATTTTTGTCTGTCTGTCTGTATGTTCGTTATAGAAACAAAAAGTACTCGACGGATTTTAACGAAACTTGGTACAATTATTCTTCATACTCCTGGGCAGGTTATAGTATACTTTACATCACGCTACGATCAATAGGAGCGGAGCAGTGAAGGGAAATGTGTCTGTTACATCAAAACCACTGAACCGTGAGGAAGGACATAGGCTACTTATTTTACGAAAAACGACGGAAACGCGGACGGAGTCGCGGGCAAAAGCTAGTAATAAATATGATGTAAAACATTATTGTAAATTATTTTTAATTTTTTTTTTTTTAATAATTAAGTAGTGCAGTCCTACTAAAAAGCCACTTTAAATGTAACAAAATCAGTTATTTTAGTCTAAAAAGTAAATTACTGAACCGATATTGATAAAATTTCTATGGGACCCATCTTTAAGTATATCCTTTCAGATAAAAAAAGAATTTTTCAAATCGGTCTACAATTGACGGAGTTATGAGGTAACAAACAACACAAGTAACACGAGCTCCCTGCCAAGGTTTTCCCAAGAGACTACAGCATGGGGTTCTTCAAAAGGGGGGTAGAGAGGTTTCTTCAGGGTCGGCAACGCGCGCCTGATACCCCTGGTATTGCAGGTGTTCATAGGCTATGGTAACCACTTACCATCAGGTGGGCCGTATGCTTGTTCGCCACCTCAGTGGTATAAAAAAAAATACAACCGAATTTGAAAACTCCCTCCTTTTGAAGTCAATTGAAAATGCCCAGTTTTACAGTAAATTTAAAAGATACACTTTTAAAAGGACAGTAACGATTTATATTCTGGCTTGTGTAGGCGACGGTTACCACTTACCATCACATGATGGCAAGTAAGGGAAAGATTATTTGACCAATTTAAAATATAATAAATTGAAAAATTATGCCAAGAAATAATATATTTTTATTGCAATAATATTTTATTTACTCTTATTTTTTGTTGATTTTCTTTGTAAATCGCATTGTCTAGTCATTGTTTGTTTTGTTATAGAATGAATAAATTAATTGTAATACATACCAGAGGGAGACTTTGTACAAAAGTCGATTGCTTGGGTACCTCTGTCCCATTCGTGTTTCAACCGTGGAGCAATTGTGTTTGCATGGCTGTGTTTCGCTTTGAAGGGTGGGATATGGCGTGAATTTACTGGGTACGGAGGAATAACATCTGAGTCCTCAGGAATGGCGACGCATGGGGGGTATCATGGGCGAAACAGTACACTCTGTTATGTCCATGGTACTGCTCATGTCTATAGGCGACGGTTACCACTCTCCATCAGGTGGGCCGTCAGCTTGTTTGCCATTCTAAGTTGTATAAAAAAAAAATAAAAAAAAACCGTCCATCGTTCGACAATATTTTTAAGCGTTTTAGATATAATATTATTGAAATTTATTACCACATAGTTGAATGAATGTTCTAGATACACAGTCGTGTCGTGTTAAAATGGATTTTAGGTAATTTTTCATTCGGGAAAAAACGATTTTGTTTATGAAGAGTGATGATTGAAATAATTATAATAATAATAATATTTAATTAATCAGACTACATAAGGCCCATTTTGTTAGTTATAAATTGACTTAACCTATGTTAGTAAATGAGCGGTCATAACGCTCTTACATTGATAACCTGTCCCACCCAATATTTTAGGATATGACAGTGCATTTTATCAGCAATTGTCTTCAGGACACCGTTTGAGCTAACACGCACCCTAGCCAACAGCGAAACAAATCGTTTGCGTCGTATTGCGTAAAAATCATCCGTACGCTCCCGTGCAAACATGTGTGACGCACTACAGTGACTAGGTAGCCCCAACAGTGCCCTGAAGGCATTATTATATTGGACTCGAAGAGCATTGTAAGTTTTTTGACTTATAGTTGACCCACGAGCTACTCGTGTAGAACACCTGACAATTTTTATGGGAAAAATATGGAAATAACAAAATGCATGCACTATGGGTGTTAAAATAACAATACATTGTAATATTCGGTGATTTAAAACTCATAAACTAGCAAAATTATTTATCATTTACTAGCTTTTATTCGCGACTTTGTCCGCGTGATTCGAGTATGTTTACTTGCCGGGATAAAAAATAGCTTACATTCTGTATTCTTCTCCGTCCAATATAGTATGTGTATATCAAATTTCATAGTGACTGGTTAAGCCGTTAAGACGTTACAAGCTAACAAACAAACAAACTTATGATATTAGTTAGGATTGAACACATAAAATACTTAATATAAAAGATATAATAAAAGCTTGAAATAATTAGCATCAGAATGTTCTGTCAGTGAATTTAATAAGTTTTCCAAAGATAATTTTTCGGATTCAAAAAAAAAAAAAGCTTCTGCACTATATTCAGAGTTATTATGTTTTTTTTTTTAATGTCTGATAATGGAATGGGTTAGCCCTGTTGTTAGTGCAGACGCTAACGGTATACGCTGGCGGGGCACCAGTGAGGGATGATAGGAAAAGACTGGTCAGTTAGCCTGTGATGGATACACCTGGAATTCAGCACGATGGTTTCCAGGGCGGACCACGTGGAGGTCGACCTGACAGGGTATATTGCAATACAGTGGACCCCCGATAATCCGGCCCCTGTCTAATCCGGCGCCCCCTGTAATCCGACATGACAGAATTATGTTTGACAATCTTTGCTAATATAGATCACGCAAGTTTGAACAGGTCACAACTCGTACGCGCCACCGCTATTGTGCTCGACGCATATGCATTGTTTTACTTAGTTTGAATTTGACTACTAGTGATAGCGATACGGCCTAGCGTACGTTCATTGTTTACTATTTATTCATTGTGTATTAAGTATATGTAGTACCTAGTAATGTCGTCACAAACCCAGAAGCGAAAGCACAAAACGTTGACAATTAAAGAAAAATGTGATATTTTAGATCGCTTAAATCGCAATGAAACTTTCAGTAGTTTAGCAAGTGAATACGGCGTAGGCCGATCTACAATTTATGACATTAAAAAAAACCACGAGAAGATTAAGAAGTTCGTGTCAACTACTGACTGCGGGCCAGGCAAGAGACAGACACTCAAGAAAGCTGAACATCCAGAAGTGGAAGAAGCTTTGTACATGTGGTTTCTTCAGGAAAGAAACAGGCATGCACCAATTTCGGGACCCATGTTGGCGATGAAAGCTAAGTTTTTTTATAAGGAAATAACAAAAAAAGATGATTTTATGGCCAGCAAAGGATGGCTAGAACGTTTTAAAAGTCGTCATGGCATACGTTTAATGACTATTACAGGAGAGAAACTTTCTAACGATGCCACCTGCATAGAGCCCTTTAAATTAAGATTTTTGCAAAAGGTGAACGATTTTAATCTTGACCCGTCACAGGTGTATAATGCAGACGAATCAGGGCTTTTTTGGCGTGTGATGCCTAACAAAACTTTCGTTTCTTGTAACGAAAAAGACGTACCTGGACGAAAAGTGAGTAAAGAGCGTGTAACCATACTACCATGTGCTAATGCTGCAGGTACACGCGCTTAAGATGGTGGTCATTGGGAAATCTAATAAACCAAGGGCATTCAAAAACATTGATTTACCTGTACACTATTACGGACAAAAAAGTGCATGGATGACAAAAGACCTTTTCAAAAAGTGGTTTGATGAATGCTTCGTACCTGAAGTTAGAAAATGGTTAAAAGATCATAATTTTCCTCAAAAAGCGTTGTTGCTTCTTGATAACGCTCCCGGTCATCCGTCTGAAGAAGAACTGACAACTGAGGATAAATGCATCACTGCGATGTTTCTTCCGCCAAATTGCACTGCACTGATTCAACCAATGGACCAGAACATCATTCAGTTTGTTAAGCAAGACTATAAAAAAAACCTACTTTTGAGAGCCGTATCAAAAGACCAACCAATAGAAAAAACTTTAAAAGAATTTAATATGAAAGACTTGGTTTTTGCTCTTAGTCAGTCGTGGAGTGCGTTACCGTCATCAACTATTAAATCGTCTTGGAAAAAGTTATGGCCAGATATAATCACCACTCCTAGCAACGATCCACAAATCAGTGTAACTTCGGAAGTTATAGAACAAGTCTCTACTGAAACACAGATAAGTCCGGAAGATTTGGAAGTCTGGTACCGTGGAATGGATAAAGAAGAAAATGTTTTTCTTGAAATGTCTGACAAAGATATTATAAAAGAGGTTTCTAATAATACAACAAACGATCAGGAAGATAACGACGACGTGATTGCAACTGCTCCACAAGTCACAGATCAAGACGCAGTTAACGCTTTTGAGCTAGGTTTACAATGGGCTGAAGAGAATGGTACATCCTACAACGAACTTTTACTTTTGAGAAGACTGAGGGACAAAGCTCTGATCTCGCGTTATAACAACCTTAAACAAAAAAAAATTGATGAATATGTATTTCAAAGCTTCATAATTTGATATAGTATTCACTACATGATTTTGATTAATAATTCTTGATTATTTTGGTAGATATGTATGTGCATTTATGCTTAATTTTATAATAAAACGTAAGCTCTCAATTGTTATTTAATTTACTAAATTCGACTTACATAAATTAAGTCTGATTTGTACTTCAAAGTACATACATATGTACGTATAATATAGTATAGACTCTCGTCATTAGATATGTAATTTGTCGGATTACAAGGTACTCTTTCGTAAAAAAATCCGGACTATAGGGGTCTTAGGCAGTGGTCTATAATCCGACAAATTCGATAGTCCGACACTGCCCTGCATAATGTTTGCCGGATTACCGGGGGTCCACTGTATAGCAAAAAGACTGATAGACCGCACTACTTCCCTCCACGGGCTGAATTGGTAGGCCAAAATTTTCTTTAACGTTTTTTTTTTGGGAATTATAACTCGTATTTTTTTGGGAATTTTTTTCATTGATAGAACATTTAAAAATGAAATGCTAATGATTTTTTATTTTTATTTTAATCTGTTTAGTATTCTCTCCTTTATTTTTTTTTTAGAACATACCGTTTGGATATATCATAAGTGCCTAATATTCATAGGTTTTATTCTTTGTTGGAGAATATTAATGTATTTATTTATTTAAAATAAATAAATACTTTTTCAGTTTCATTACACTAGCGGCCAGGCTTTACACTTTTTTTTTTAAATAAAATACAACGCATGGTACTCTCTGATAATGTAGCTTTCTATATTTGAATTTTTAAGTATATATTTTTTTAGATTATTCATTACAAACAAAAAAGTAAAGCTATTCCTCATTATATTTAGTTTAGATTTAATTTAATTAATCAAATTTTTCAATCCAATTACAATTTGACTGATTGTTTATGACCTCTTCTCATGTGAAAATAGCTGTGTTTGTGAAATGACGTCTTCAGCGTCGAATAGTCCAAAATATATTAAATATAGCAGGTACGGTCAGCATCAAAATTTGATGAGAAATGAAAGATTATCCAAATCTCTGTACTCATACATATGCCATTGTAAACGTTCAAATAGTTTTGATTTTATACTATGTTAATTAAATGCTAGTCTTGTTGATTTAATTATGTACGCAAAACTGTTTATGATTTGCAAATTGTAAGTATTCATCGACTTTTGATGCTGACTGTACGTGTAAAATGGATTTGACTGTACAAAAGTTACACAGTACACTGCCATAAAATAATGAATAATAGAAAATAGGAATATATGTATTTTTAAATATTTGCTCACTCGTGTAATGTAATTATATTAATATAATTTATCAATTTTCCATTTATGTTGCGAAAAAGTTTTTTTTTCAATGCATCACAGTTTTTTTTATAATCTACCTCGTGATGGCAACTATGTTTATGATTTTTAGATATAGGTAAAGTATTTCAAGATATACTTGAGCATAAATAGAGAAATTGCATCCAATTTGGTACAGTAGTTTTTGTGGGATATCAAAATAAACATACAGACGGATAAAAATTTTGAAAATTATTGTTTTTACTGTTATCGTCCGTAAGACCTCATATTGAAAAAAAATTGTGTGAAAAAGCACTCGGTGAACCGCCAGTACAGCCAACCGTTGAGAGTGGAACATTCTTATTACGGTTGGTCGAATTCTAGGACCATATAGTTTCTGTGTTACCTCAGAATGGTTACATATGGTATAAAAAACATATATTTTTCTCAAATATGCTTGAGAATGTGAGCATTATTTTGACAATCTTCTTCGAGATAAATCGAAATTGCCGTACTGGCCAGATACATGCGGGCAGCGGCCGGCAAAAGTTGTATGAAAATCCATATCTGTCGTGTTTAGCGGCCAGATAAATTACTATGTAAATTCATATCTGTCCTGTAATTTAAAAATGGAATGACCTTTTACTTCGATACATGGCTACCAAGGAGGTAACTAATAAAAGGTTTTATTTAAATTTCGAACTGGCTTGCAAATATAAAGCTGTTTATTGAAAAAAAAAAAAAAACAGGAACATTATGGCGCGTGAAAAATTATTATTGTTCGTTATTCGTCATTGAACTTAAAAAGTAAAATTATGTTTATGATTTCCGCGCATTGTTTGAGAAAAGTACTATACAAGTCTTGGCCACAACTAGGCATTGATGGACTCACGTGTGTATGCCTCGGCTGCGCTTCGGCCCACATTTGCACGTCCCTCCATCAATGCCATTTTAATCTCTAAAACAAGGACTATTATATAAAATTGTTTTTAGAAGCCTTTAAGCTACCACACACATGGGACAGAACGGGGCAGCATCCTAAGGTTGTCTGGAAGAGATCGCTGTTTAGCGATAAGGCCGTCCATTGTTACAACTTTGTTTTGCTTTTATGTAATGAAGTATTATATAATTTGGTATATTTATTTTGTTTGTATTTCATTGAAGGGAACAATAAATATTCATTCATTCAACGTCTGTGTCTTGATCTTTCTCATGTGTGCAGTAGCGTAAACGTTACTACAAATATATTAATATACCTCTTTTCTAGAGAGTTAAATAACAAATTTATATATTAAAAAAACGTTTGTACTGTTAAACTGAAAGCAAAAATGCAAATTATATTATATTTGGAAGATGTCAATATATTACTAGCTATACATTAAATAATTATAAATTAACAAAATAAATTTTTTGTACACCTACCTTTGTCAAACTATTAAAAAGTAACCCCTAATTGGATAGAAAGAAGTCTCTAATATCAGCGTAATTACGTTTAATTTTTTTTAATTACGTACAATTTGTATTCTTTTGTGTGATTAGAAAATATAATGTATAAGGTCACGTTCACACTAACGTATAGTCAGCCGCTGATTGAACAGGTCTTACTGTGTGGTTATAAGACTACATTATAATCATCGCAGTACAATAAATCAGACGTCAATAAGGGAGATTGACAACGAGTAAAACACTCGTTGATGGTAGTAAACTGGAGTACTTCAGATTTACATGATGAGTACTCTAGTCTTAACCAGTTACAATATCTCTTTTATATTAACTGCTGCGTATTGTTATCTACGTTACCATATCACAAGAGCCTCTGACTACGTTTAGCGTAATAATATATTGTCGGTTTTATAATGTGAACGATAAGTTGAGTATGTTGTATGTGGGAAAATGGTAAACTGTAACGCTTGTTTATAGTCAGTGGCTGTCTATACTTTGGTATGAACTTGCCCTAAGTGTTAATTATAATAATTGTATAGGTAATCAGATGACATAAAGACGGTATTAGATTTATTAGTGCTGACCGTAAAATGTCTGATAAATGACGTCTTCATAAAATCGTCGAGGTCAACGTGTTGTCCCTAAAATGACTAGGAAATGACGTCTTAATGTCATTGACGTGACAGTGCTGCCTAGATAGTCGCAGTTCATCTAGTTGTGGTCCAGTACCTAAACAAGTGTTCAAGCGGTACAATTGTCTTTCGACGTTTACAATGTTTTCGGCTTGTTTTGACAATTTTGTAATGTATTTTACATGGGAAATAAATACTTTGAATTCCTTTTTGGTTTTATTTTTTATTATCACTTGAATAATATGATGTGATGGTGCTGCGTCGTCAGTTCTTGACTAGAATTGGCTCATGATCGCATTTATGGCAATTTAGATTATAAAGAATAGTGTGTTATACTAAGTCTATGTATGGCATACTAGGAAACAAATAGGGGCTAGTATTGCTTGTCCCTGCCATGTCCCTGGTGAATAAATGGAATTTTATTCCACCTTTTCCCACTTTCATTCAAAGACGTCTTTTTTGGGCTGGAGCCTTAGAATAGATGAATTATGGTAACCCCACTTGCTTTATCACATTATGAGTGCCCTATACTTATTGTTATTATGAGCCTTATACTAAGTCTACTGCTATCTTTTAATGGGTGTAAATGGCATGGTAACCCCGCCTTCGCTGTCGGTATACGCTGGCGGGGTGCCAGTGAAAGGTGATAGATGAGGATGAAAAGGCAGGTCAGTTAGTCCACCGTGACGAATTCAACTATAAATTTGTCACAGTAGTTTCTAGGTCGATCTGATATAGTATATTGAGCATATAGCAATGGGGACTAACCTCCCCATTACTAACAATCCCTTCTCCCTAGTCTACTGCTATCAGTATACACTAATGGGGTACTAGTGAGGTGTTATCAGGTTAGGTTAGGATGAAGCCGGGTTAGTTTTTCCTTGACTTGGTATAACGTACTACTATAAATTGTATGACTCGATGGTAGAGTATTGACTCTACTATCGCATAGACAAAGTAAAAATTTATGGAAACTAAAGAGTTTTACTACCAGATAATAAGCAGAATATGTCACAAAGAAATCAAAAAATTTGTAGATCAACAACCAGAAAAAATAGTAAAATATGCAATTCTCAATTATACTCTTGTCTGAGATATTTATTCTTCTGCATGTTTTTGTTCATGTGGCATCCAAGAGTGTTGTACCAATTTTATCTTTGAATCCAAAAACTAAACAGCTTTCCAATAAAACAGTAAATGGAGAACTCAAGGTATATTTAACTAGGTACATATAATGTAGCTCTAAGGGTCTCTAAAAATGGCAACGATTGGGGGGAATTTCTGTTTTCAATGGATGATAATGGGATGGTAACCCTGCCTTGGCAAATGGTATATGCTGGCGGGGCACCAGTTAGGGATGATAGGTGTGAATGGAAGCAGGTCAGTTAGCCAATTAAGATTCACTTGGAATTCAGCACGCTAGTTCCAAGGGGGATCACGAGGAGGTCGACCTGATAGGGTATATTGTTAGCAAAGGGACTGGTAGTCCGCATTCCTTACAATCCCCCCCCCCCCCTTTATTGGGGGGGAGGGCAATATGATAAGGCATGTTTGCCATTCTAAGTTAGATATATAAGCATTTGAAATATTTCCCTTAGCATTATAATAAAAGCGCATATAAGTTCGTCAGGATAAGGTATGTATGAATAAAAATAGCTGGATAAATTTTAGAGAAAAAGGAAACATTTGGGTTTATTAATGTTCATATAAAAATGAGAAAGAGAGAGGAAAAATTCGTGTTAGTTTCTTCATTAGTACACCGGGGTCGTTAGAAATCGGCGCGTAGTAAGTTTATAATATTAGTAAGACTTCTTTGAAAGTTACCAACACACCAATAAACCTCTCATGAATCTAGAGTTGTCTAGAAGGCAACAATGGTATCTTCTTTTTGGCTGCGGTAGGCACTTACTGCGTGTATATATCTTTGCTAGTCAAACATTACAACAAGCATTACTTTTTACTACTCAATCTCAGTTACTTCTAGTCGTTTTTTGACTTACGCCTATACCAGCTACAGGAGTATGATTGCAAGTGTAAACGACATTCAAGAGGCATATGAAGGGCACCTTGGTTGGTTTCAAATAACTCTAAAAAGGAGTCCTTTCATTTCCAATCTTCTCACTGACACTTTACAGTTCCTCCCATTCATAATGCTGATAGACAAGGATAAAGATACAAGCGAATATTGGCGTGAGACGGAGATACTGTCGCTAATAAGGAATGACGAGTCTGATATCGATTATGACAAATGTGATCAGACACCGACCAGTTACTTGGTGCAATTAGCCAGCAGAAGAACTGTGAGGCCAATTTGTAGGAGCAGATTAGGTATGGTTACTATAGATAAAATAATACCTAGTTATTTATTAATTATTATTTTTTATTTAGACTTTAATTGACTGAATTTAATTTAATTTAATTTCATTGCTTTGTATGTGTAAACTACATATTTTTTGTTTGTTTTGCTCTGTTTTTTTTTGTTCTTGTTTTGTACACTACTGTGTGGGTCCCATGCTTCTTTGATCAAATTATTTCTTTCTTTCTTTCTTTTTTTCTAGTATTTAGAGTATTTAGTTTTTTTTTAAATCTATATATTTTTATTCAACAGTATCAGTCGTTAAGTGTCCATTGCTGAACATAATGCTTTCCATAAGGAGTGTTTTACCACTAGTTGCCACACTAGGCAGGCGGGTTGGCAACCGGCGTTAGGCTTTTAAAGATGTTTTATGAGGGACGCTGCTGTCCATAACTTTACCATTAAATTCCCTTAGTCGCCTCTTACGATACCCATAGGAAAGGAAGAAGTGACTTATTCTATATTGGGACCAAACGGCCATTTTTATTTAATGTTTATTGGCTAAGAAGCTGAAAACAAGAAACATGGTGACGTTCGTGGTACTTCTTATGATTTGCCATTCCTGAGAATTAAGGTATTATACCACCATACTTAGTCATTTTATTGCGATATCCCTGACAACTTCCGATCCGTGTGGTCCCGGCGTAGAATGGGTGTCATAAGAGGCGACTAAAGGAGGGCGAGGAGTGAACAGCAGCGTCCCTCTTAAAACATCTCCAAAGCTTAACTGCTGTTGCCAATCCGCTTGTCAAGCGTGGCAACTACTGGAAAGACCCCCCTAGGAGAAGGCCTATATTCAGCAGTGGACAGTTAAAGGCTGATATGATGATTCCTGACAACTTGAAATATAAGCATACAAGTATTGCTGCTTTACAAATGCAGAAATACGTGAGGGTCAGAGGTACTTAAGTAGATGAACTTCTAGTAAATATCTATTTTGTATATTTTCAGATTATCAACTATGTCCACAATGCCCTCATTTCAGTAATCATACGGAATGTGAGCTATTTAGAGATTCTTGCAGGTAAAATAGTTGACAAGTCGTTGTCTTTATTTTTACTCGACACCAGTGTTTCCCAACCTTTACTGTGCCATGCCCCACTTGAACATTCCTAAAAATGCCCCCATGCATAATTTTTCCCAACAAAGTTTACTTGACGACTTTAATCGCCTAGTTGATATTTTGGTAACGTCAAACAAAATTATACCTAATAAATATTTACAGCATTTTCTTTTTATTTACTTTTTTGTTAAATTTGGTAGCGATATCTACTCGTAGCATTTAAATGGCTCGGAGCGTGGGCTCCGAGTTGGGAAACACCGCTCTATAGGGGGGAAAGGAATTGTTAGTAATGGAGACTGAGAATCCCATTGCTAGCAATATACCCAACCAGGTCGACCTCCTCGCGGTTCTCCCTGGAAACTATCATGGTTAATTCCTGATGAATTCATCATGATGGGCTACCTGGCCTGTTTTCATTCTCATCTATCACCCTTCACTGGTTCTCCGCCAGCGTATCCCGTTAGCACAGGCGGGGTTACCATACCATTTTCACCTATAAAAAAAAAAGACGCCGCTCTGCATTAACGTAAAATATTTCTAGAAGAACTGTTATATTTTGTAACACGATTGGATTCATTTATATGAAACATAGTTATCAATTGACCTTTTGAGTTAATATGATAAGAAGGTCCGAATGTGTATCGCTAAAACCTAAACTAGCTATAAATAGAATGGTAGGGAAGAGATCGGTTAGTAACGGGCAAAGGGCTTTATTGTTAGCAATATAATTTGCAACCCAATTAGCATAAAGTAATAGCGAGAAATAAGACTTAATCCAATTTTTTTTTATATTTCAAGGGAGAGGAAGGTCCATCCATCGGAGTATCGTACGTACTGCGACAGAAAGTATGGAAAATGGCGCGCGATGTTCTTGCCAGCCGATTACTCGCAATGTCGATGTTGTGATGAATGCATATTTTATAGAGGTACAGAATTTAGTTATAAAATGAATACCAGAGGGAGACTGTACAAAAGTCGTTTGCTTGGGTACCACTGTCCCATTCAAGTTTCAACCGTGAAGCAGTTGTGTTTGCATGGCTGTGTTTCGGTTTGATGGGTGGGATATGGCAGTGAATTTACAGAGTACAGAGGAATAACAACTGAGTCCTCAGGAATGCAACGCATGGGAGGTATCATGGGCGAAATAGTATACTCTGTTATGTCCATTGTACTGCTCACGTCTATAAGCGACGGTTACCACTTTCCATTAGGTGGGCCGTGCGACGCTGGGACGGGCCGCTAGTCTATCCTTATAATAAATCTGTAGATAGGTCAATTCTGTACATGAAATATATTTCCAAAATAACTATCAGGGGGTGATTAGTGATCGATACTGATGCCAAAAATGCAATCAGTAAAATTTTTGTCTGTCTATATGTTTGTTATAGAAACAAAAACTACTCGACGGATTTTAATATAAAATATTTTCATTCCATTTCAGAATTAGATCAGTCTTGTATGCAAGACGAATACAATTTTGATACTGAAGAGTTTCTGCCCGTAACTACTATAGGTAAAATATATTTTAATAAGATATTTATAAAAAAATGTTTTCAAGTAAATGCCTCGTGTAGGCTAGCGTAGTGAAGGCTAGTGCTCCACAAATTAAAGTGATAAACTCTAGTGACACAGTATCGTGCTTTATGGCGAAATATGAGAAAGACCAATGTTCAGCAGTAGACGATGGAAGGGGTTTTTTTACTGGATGATAATGGAACTCTTTTTAATGGGTGATAATGGCATGGTAACCCCACCTGCGCTATTGGTATACGCTGGCGGGACACCAGTGAGGAATGATAGACGATAATGAAAAAGGCAGGTCAGTTAGCCCATAGTGATGGAATTCAGCACGATGGTTTCCAAGGAGGGGAGGGGCACGGGGATGTCGACCTTGTTAGGGTATATCCTTAGCAATAGGACTGGTAGTTTGCATTACTAACACTCCCTTTCTTCCAACGATGCAAGGGTTGTAATCATAATGGCGATAACCGATGATTGGAAATTAATTTATGAATTTGTTTTTGGTTCAGAAATATTTTTTTATGCGTAGTGATGGAATAATGACACAATTCCTTTTATTGTAAAATGCATGTATAAAAGTAAAGCACGATATAATAATAAAAGTCTAAACTAAAGTTTATAGAGTAATAGGTTAGAATCCTTTAGACCCTAATGGGAGGTGTTCTGTTCCAAGTAGTGATACTTTCCTAACGCTCCTCAAATATTGCGTCTAAACTGCGCCCACCATGTACCCTCTTGTATAGGCATTCCGTCACCCGTAACCAATAGCGAGGACGGGATGCCATAAATACTGTAACGCAAACCATAAAAAAAAAATACCAAGTAGTGAGATGTTTAATGGATTGTTAAAGATGCCTTGTTTCTTGTACTACCTATATCAATTTCACCTTTTATTTTTTTTTTCTGAGCGTGTTTGCTGTTGGCCGTGAGTGGCCTTTCCAGCTTCACGCGAATGCAGGGGCGAGTGCTGATGGCACTCCAAGCCTGCGAGAGGGGAGCGACAGAGGTGTCGACTCTTTCTAATGGACTGCGGTGTGTGCGCCTAAGGGCGCCAGAGTGGCTCGGCCTCGGCTTAGGCCACCGCACTTCGACCCCCGTCAAGGGACGGCGAAGGGTCGGTACATCTGGGTTTCACCTTTTAATGATTAGATTTCAGAGCCGGCTGCAACCCTTACTGGGGTCACCCAGACCAGGAATTAAAAGCTCTCCGCTGTGACGACAATTTGCGTAGATGTATGTTACCATTTCCTTATTAAAATTTCATAGATGTACAATTAGATTTTTCTACTACCACCTGATAGAATCTACGATGAATATACTTTTATATGTATTTTTGGTAAAAGCTTATTAGTGTCTTTATTTTCATGATTATTTTTAAATATTTTGTGTTGTTAAACTCTTTATTAAAATGCCTATATGGTTTTTTTTTATACAACTTAGAATGGCAAACAAGCTGACGGTCCACCTGATGGAAAGTGGTAACCGTCGCCTATAGACATGAGGAGTACCATGGACATAACAGAGTATACTGTTTCGTCCATGATACCCCCTATGCGTTGCTATTCCTGAGGACTCAGGTGTTATTCCTCTGTACCCAGTAAATTCACGCCATATTCCACCCTTCAAACCGAAACACAGCCATGCAAACACAACTGCTTCACGGTAGAAACACGAATGAGACAGAGGTACCCAAGCAATCGACTTTTGTACATAGTCTCCCTCTGATATTTAAACTCTTTATTAAAATGACTATTTGAGTTTAAAGAAGTCAGGATGAATTTTCAATCGAAGGCTAGCAGTGTGATTGTAGAACTAATTCTTTGAAATAATTTTTATAGTTTAAATTTTATAAATTATTTCAAACTATTTCAGGTTTTTATACTTATTATAATTCACTATAATATATTTGTCGATATTTCCAGGCGTGCCTGTAACCATGCCGTCATTGGCCAGTAACTCATTAAATCTGTAAGTACGACATTCATTCAAATTTGGGAGAATGTATTTATTGGATAATCTATCATTTAGTTATTTTCAGGTAAAAAAGTAAAATTATTTGGTTGCTTCCTAACTTATACAAAATTAAAAATATGTATGTACCAAGTCATATTATTTAATAAGCAAGCTAAAGGGGCAATTTTTTTTTTTATGGTTGAAAATGGTATGGTAACCCGCCTGCGCTAACGGGATACGCTGGCGGAGCACCAGTGAAGGGTGATCGATAAGAATGAAAACAGGCCAGTTAGCCCATCATGATGAATTCCTAATTAACCATGATAGTTTCTAGGGAGAACCGCGAGGAGGTCGACCTGGCTGGGTATATTGCTAGCAATGGGATTCTTAGTCTCCATGGCAATGGGTTGGTCACATAGCTCTAAGAACTGATAACTGATGGGGAAGAAAGGTTCTTGAATGACGACTCTCTATGGGCAAACGCAGTGCAGGATGATCCCCACAATATGGAGTGACGACCTGACATGCATTGCAGGGAGTTAGTGGATGCAGGTAGCTCAGGACCGTTCCTTATGGCAGTTTATGAGGAAGGGCTGTGTTCACCAGTAGACAGATAACAGCTGAGAAAGAGACTGACTACCAGAGGGAGACTTTGTACAAAAGTCGATTGCTTGGGTACCTCTGTCCCATTCGTGTTTCAACCGTGAAGCAGTTGTATTTGCATAGCTGTGTTTCGGTTTGAAGGGTGGGATATGGCGTGAAATTACTGGGTACAGAGGAATAACACCTGAGTCCTTAGGAATGGCAACGCATGGGGGGTATCATGGACGAAACAGTATACTCTGTTATGTCCATGGTACTGCACATGTCTATAGGCGACGGTTACCACTTTCCATTAGGTGGACCGTCAGCTTGTTTGCCATTCTAAGTTGTATAAAAAAAAAGCTGAAATGATGATGAGTCATAATATTTATATAGTATAGAAAAATTTATATCTATGATAAGTCTATGGGAGTCTAGGGTTATGGCCAATAGTGATTATTTGCTCTGTGGTCAATACTATAACAGAATAAGTATAGTGTATTTGTCGATAGACATGTCTTTATGCCCGCATGAAGACGTTAGCACAAGATTCTCAATATTTCCGTCCTACAATTTGTTTGTATCTAGAGTGACTACAGTTTTTTTTTTAATGGATGATAATGGAATGGTAACCCCACTCGCGCTATCGGTATACACCGGCGGGGCACCAATGAAGAATGATAGGTGAGGATGAAGTAGGTCAGTTAGCCCATCGTGACGAATTCAACAAGAATTGTTCACGATGGTTTCCAGGGGGAACCACGTGGAGGTCGACCTAATAAGGTATATTGCTAGCAATGGGGCTGTCAAACTCCATTGCTCACAATCCTTTTCCCCCCGAGTGACTTCAGTTGCAAAAACTTGTTTTTATTCAGGCGTCGTAATTTTCGATACGAGCCCGCGAGCGACGGTAGCGATTGTCCAGTGTCCTGCCGAGGGTATGAATGCAGGAGTGGATTCGTTCAAGAGACCGAGTGCGTAAAGGGGGCATTTCTCCCTGATAAGGAACAATGCAACTGCTGTGGAAGCTGCAGCGCATATCAACGTTAGTTTCTATCAGGAAACCTAACAGGAAACATACCAGAAGGAGACTTTGTACAAAAGTCGATTGCTTGGGTACCTCTGTCCCATTCGTGTTTCAACCGTGAAGCAGTTGTGTTTGCATAGCTGTGTTTCGGTTTGAAGGGTGGGATATGGCGTGAATTTACTGGGTACAGAGGAATAACATTTGAGTCCTCGGGAATGGCAACGCATGAGGGGGTATTATGGGCGAAACAGTATGTGTGTATACTGTTATGTCCATGGTACTGCTCATGTCTATAGGGAACGGTTACCACTTTCCATCAGGTGGGCCGTCAGCTTGTTTGCCATTCTAAGTTGTATAAAAAAAAACCAACAGAGCAAATGTTCATAATGGGAAGTATTCATTTTTGCTGAGTATGAAAAAACAGATTGGACCCTGGTTCGGTTGCCACTATTTTTTATGTAATGGCAAATCCTGACGGCTCTCTTATGTTTTTTTTTTATTATACCACCAAGGTGTGCTCTGCCAACTATGTGGCACTTTTGCCTACTACATAGTTTTTATTTTAATGAGTGATAATGGAATGGTAACTCCACCCATGCTATCGGTATACGCTGGCGGGGCAGCAATGAGGGATGGTAGGTGAGGATGAAAGCTATTCAATCAGCACATCGTGATGAATTCCACTGGAATTAACCACGATGGTTTCCAGGGGGAACCGCGTGGAGGCTGACCTGATATATGGGTGGGTGTATTGTTAGCAATGGGTCAGTTAGACCCCATTACTGACAACCCCTCCCCCCACTACACAGTTCAGTGTCATCAATTTATCACTGCATACAAGCTAGTACTTTCACACAAGTAAGACGTCTTGGAAGAGGGCTTTATTCCGAGTTTTACTTTTCTTTTGCTAGATATATATTTATTTTAATAAATTACAATGAAATGGTCACGTCGCCTTCACTATCGATATATTCTGGCGGGGCATCGACGTGTCATAGTAGGTAAGGATAAAATCAGACCAGTTAGTCCATTATTGACGCATTATAGACGCATTAACTACTATAGTTACCAGGGGAAACGCGTGGAAGACTTGATATTGCCCACAATGGGACTGTTACCCGGTTACAAACAATTCCTTTTCTTTCTACACTAGACATCAGAGGGCCTACTATGAAATGTTTTCCGAAATTTCGGAGCCGAACGAAACACAAATTTGATGTTAAAATTACATAAAACTTACCGTTTAAAAACATTAAAATATTATTCTATTAGATTTTTATGGTAGGATTTATGACGAACGAAATGTTAAGCTACATTTACTGGGCCATATTAGATATAAACGAAAACACAAAATTGAGTCCGAAACTTCGGAATTTCATTTCATGGTAGGCCCTCAGGTATACTTTTTTTTCTTATTGGCTTCTTTCAACAACCTTACAAACATGTTAATTAATTACAGAGTTGAATCAAAAATGCGCCGAATTTAAGAAGACAGTTCACCTAGTAAATGGTTCCAAAGAAATTGAGGTACATTTATAGTTACATTAATATAATGATTGATATATGGGTAAAATAGTGGCTAAAAAGGAGTTTTTTTTTTTTATTATTATTTAGGTAGAAGAAGAGTTCTTGGAACCAGGTTGTGACGATGGACTGGTGTGTCGACAAGGTCGCTGTCAGGATATTCATACGGTGCAAACCACAGCGGGAGGTCGTTGGAAGAGGGACGAGGATTCTATGAGTTTTAATGGTAGTTTTTATTGGAATATCCCGAATAAGGTATTCTTAGTAATGAGGGACTAGAGCTCTTTTTACATAATGTGATATCCCTGGGTACGATCGCTGTAAATTGCTGATGAGTTTGTCACGATAGGCTAACGGACCTGGTTTCTTCTTACTTATCATCCGTCTCTGATAAACCGCTAGCATAAATCGTAGGCGATGTAACAAAAGGCCTTTGGTCGAAGTTTATAGAATCTGACCTAAATTAAATTAACATTATTAGGATGTTGATTAGCTGGATGCGGATCTCTCTTAATAAAATATAATTAATAAAATTTTATGTTATGAATGTGTTCTACTAATAATATGTATATATATATATATATATATATATATATATATATATATATATATATATATATATATATATATATATATATATATATATATAATTATAAGTATATATTATTTGTCACTATTACTACATGTACATATTATAAAACAAAGTCGCTTACCGTCTCTCTGTACCCATGTATGCTTAAATCTTTAAAACTACGCAATGGATTTTGATGCAGTTTTTTTAATAGATGGAGTGATTCAAGAGGAAGGTTTATGTGTATAATACATGCATAATATATCAGAGAAATACTAATAATTTTATCGTACCTATACGTTTTTGTATCGTACGTTACAATAAATAAAAATAAAATTATATACTTATTCGAAATTGTTTTCTGTCGTATATTTAGTATCAGCATTACATCCGTGCGGAGCCGGGGCGGGTCGCTAGTTATACTTGTAAGTGCGACGTTGTCGGATTAGACTTACGTTACTGTTTCGCAGAGCCTTGCAAACTCGAACTGAAGTATTTCAAGAAGAAATATGGCGTAGACGGTCACTTGCACTACGATGCACCGCAATGTACTCCGTTATGGCTGTATGCTCCTGTGCAGGTAAACCTTAAATACGAGTAAGTCCTAAAATAATCAAACTTCCTTTGTATTACGGGTGCTTGTACAATTTATATATATATATATATATATATATATATATATATATATATATATATATATATATATATATATATATATATATATATATATATATATTAAGTACTCCATCCAAAGGTTGCTTGGAAGAGATCGCTCTTAGCGATAAGGTCGCCCATTGTTTTCTCATTGTGATTATTTCTTGTAATTGTTTATATTTATAATAAGTTTACTATTGTAATCTTTTGGAGGAAACAATAAAGAGTATCTATCTATCTATTTATCTACTTTATCTTATCATTATTATAATTTCAGCCATTATCTGTCCACTGCTGGACATAAGCCTCCCCCATAGACTGCCATAAAGAACGGTCCTGAGTTACCTGCATCCACTGACTCCATGCAATGCATTTCAAGTCGTCACTCCATCTAGTGGGGGGTCGTCCTACACTACGTTTGTTCGTACGCGGTCGCCACTCAAGAATCTTTCTTCTCCATCGGTTATTGATTCTTCGAGATATGTGATCAGCCCATTGCCACTTCAGCTTGTTTATCCTTCAGGCTATGTCGGTTATTTTGGTTCTTTTGTGGATATCTCCGTTTCGGATTCTATCACGCAAAGAGACTCCGAGTATAGCCCTCTCCATAGCCCGCTGAGCAGCAGTAGACTTTATCTTATAAATACATAGAAATAATTCAAATCTTTTTTTTATACAACTTAGAATGGCAAACAAGCTGCACTACCATGGTTACTACCATGGTTTATCAGAGGGAGACTTTGTACAAAAGTCGATTGCTTGGGTACCTCTGTCCCATTCGTGTTTCTACCGTGAAGCAGTTGTGTTTGCATAGTTGTGTTTCGATTTGTGTGCTGTGTGGATTATGGCGTGAATTTACAGGATACAGAGGAATAATATCTGATTCCTCAGGAATGACAACGCATGGGGGGTATCATGGGTGAAACAGTATACTCTGTTATGTCCATGGTACTGCTCATGTCTATAGGCGACGGTTACCACTTTCCATCAGGTAGGCCGTTAGCTTGTTTGCCATTCTAAGTTGTATAAAAAAAAGTCACTATTCATTTATTTTAAATTTATTAATTAATTTTAATTATTGTAAATTAAATAAATAAACTATGAATAGAGATTTTTAAATATTAAGAAGGAGATATGTCTTATTTACCAGTGTCGCCGTTTTGTCTGCTACTGCGCTTTGGAAGATGGTACCTTCATTCAGGGAATAAAAGTGCCACGAGTCGAAGTATCCAACATGAACTGTGGTTAGTAGCTACACTTTACATCCTTCTTATTTTATTTATTTATTTATTTATTAATTTTATTTGGAAAACACATCAGTTTCAAATCATAACCTTCTGAAATTTTATAATGATGTTTGTATGTAGATTTGAATGTAAGTGGATAGGTGGATAATAAACTTTATTAGCTTTTTGTATTAGTGCAGTAACGACTATCGTGAGTATTATATTTCTATATCTATATTCCAGAGGGAGACTTTGTACAAAAGTCGTTTGCTTGGATACCTCTGTCCCATTCGTGTTTCAATCGTGAAGCAGTTGTGTTTGCATGGTTGTGTTTCGGTTTGAAGGGTGGGATATAACGTGAATTTACAGGGTACAGAGGAATAACACCTGAGTACTCAGGAATGGCAACGCATGGGGGGTATCATGGGCGAAACAGTATACTCTGTTATGTCCATGGTACTGCTCATGTCTATAGGCGACGGTTACCACTTTTCATCAGGTGGGCCCTCAGCTTGTTTGCCATTCTAAGTTGTATAAAAAAAAAAGGGTAATTATTTATGCCATAAATATTAATAAATGAATTAATGAATGTAAACTCAACAATAAAGAGTTTCCTTCTAAAAATTAAACCCCATTACTAACAATTCCTCCTCCTTTTTCAAATTAGACATATTTAAAATGATACTGAAGAATATCGTACCTATATTATTAGTGCCTGTCATATTGGGGGGAGGGGAGGAAAGGGATTGTTAGTAATGGGGTCAAATAGCCTCATCACTAGCAATATACTCTGTCAAGTCGACCTCCACGTGGTTCCCCCTGGAAACCATCGCTAATTCTAGTTGAATTCGTCAATATGGGCGTTAGGCTTGATTATCTGCTTTCATCCTCATCAGTCATCTAGCACTGGTGCCCCGCCAGTGTATACCGATACCACAGGCGGGGTTATCATTCCATTATCATTCATTAAAAAATGTGTAATAAACATAGAAATCATGATAGAACGATGATTCGTATCATATTTATATCATATAAATAGTGATAGAATGATAGTTTCATAATTGAAATAGGCGTTTTATTTTTTCGGTAGTCCCACTGTTATGTTGACGTCCGTGACGTTATGTTGACGTCATACTGACGTTACACTGACGTCAATTAGGGGTTATAGATAATTAAGATGGTAACTGTGACGTGATCTATGATTAAGGTCCGGCTTTTGATGATTTGTAATTGATGATTTTAATCTTTGCCCATCGTTTTGTGTCATCCTGCGTTTTTCATTCGTCATACTTCTTACCAGAGTGAAAATTTGTACAAGAGTTATCTGCATTTAATGAAATATCGATCAAAAATGACAAAATCTTGACCTTTTTTATTGGATGACAATGTAATGGTAATCCTGCCTGCGCTAAAGGTATACACTGGCGGGGCACCAATGAGGGACGATAGGTGATAATGAAAAGGCAGGTCAGTTAGCCCAGCGTAATGAATACATCTGGAATTCAGCATAATGGTCTCGTAGGGGGAGCACGAGAAGGTTTTTTTTTTATACAATTTAGAATGGCAAACAAGCTGACGGCCCACCTGATGGAAAGTGGTAACCGTCGCCTATAGACATGAGCAGTACCATGGACATAACAGAGTATAATGTTTCGCCCATGATACCCCCCATGCGTTGCCTATCCTAAGACTCAGGTGTTATTCCTCTGTACCTAGTAAATTCACGCCATATCCCACCCTTCAAACCGAAGCATAGCCATGCAAACAAAACTGCTTCACAGTTGAAACACGAATAGGACAGAGGTACCCAAGCAATCGACTTTTGTACAAAGTCTCCCTCTGGTAACAAGGTATATTTCTACCATTCCATTATCATCCATTAAAAAAAGACAGTTATTTTAACATTTTTATAGCACCAGTTTGGAAGTATAAAAGGTAAAAAAGGAATTTTCAAAATCGGTTTTATAAATGACGAAGTTATAAAGTAACAAATATTAAAAAATAAAGCCGTCCTTTTTCGGAATAATTTGAGAATTATTGCGATATTCCCGATCACGCGGACGAAGTAGTGTGCAAAGACTAGTATTGCAAATTAAATCGACGTGTGTATAGATTGTGTCCGCGAGAAATGCCGCACGAAGTCCAACGTGGAATGTGACGGCTACGGGAATTACAAGGAGGCTCTATTCGTACCCCACATTGATGAGTGGGGCGAGTTGCGAGACTATGACGAAGGTAAGCTTGGATATTTTATTTATTCATCAACATTATCATCATCATATCAGCTGTTAACTGAACAGAGGCATCCCCCAATTGGGGGGGGGGGGGGGGGGATTGACAGTAGTTACTACGCTTGGCAGGCGGGTTAGCGATTCCAGTTAGGCTTTGGTAATGTTTAAAAAGTGACGCTGCTGCCCATCCCTCGATCGTTAAATAAATTTTATTTATTGGCGTTAAATAAATAGAAAGCAATTATTATAATAATATATGGCTGGTTGAAAACCAGCGCTGTGCAGCTGTTAACATTGCGCTGGGACACACACAGCATCAGCTGAGCCTTCCTTTTGCCTAGTGTGGAACACTTCTTGTATATGTATTTTCTATTGTTATTTTGTGTTTACTGCCATTAAATGTTTTCTATTCTATTCTAATATTTACTGGATTTATCCCGCGACATTGTCCGCGTGACCGGCATATGTTTGCTAATCAGGATAAAAAACCTACGTTCGTCTTAGTCCGTTAAGGCGCTATGAGGTAACAAACAAACTTACTTTCATATTTATAGCATGAGAAAGGATTACATTGCTAAGGAATGGAATGTCTTTCTGCTTCTGTGTTCCCGGAGAAACACAACCCGGGACTCTTTAAGTCGATGGTGAATTAATATTTTCTGGGTAAGTAGTATTATCACTTACCGTCTGGTGAGGTAAGATCAAGCGCAAACCCAGCTTCTAATATAAAAAAGCACCTTTATTAAATTAAGTAGAGCTTACACTATGAGAACTAAACAAATTATAAACATAATTAATGTCAATTAACGTAAGTCATTCCTTAAAACTAATGTCAGTATTCATCGACAAGAAATAAATTAATTTTCCCGATAAAAGTCGAAGTAGAAGAAAGATTTTTTCTTTTTAAAAGTTTTTTTTTAAACCTTAATGTTTTCTTTTTTTGTATTTTGTGCAGGTTCTACTTTTTCGGAGAACCGTTCTGCTAGAGATGTAGATCAAACGACAATAGATGTGACACAAGCTGTTTAAGTTCATATGCAACCAAGGAACTTTTTATCCGTGGGCAAAATTTCCTTTTGTATGTCAGAGTTAAAAGTTTGCTCAGACTTTTAACTCTGACGAGAGAGTGACGTACCTTTTGGTACGATCATAAACGCTATAATGCAATCCGACATTTTTAAGATTTGCACAAAGGGTCGCCGCGGACTTATGACTGCGAATAAAATGTACGTTGGCTTCACATACCTTAACTTTATTGATTCTTTTCTAATTAACAGTTATAGAATAAATAGATCTGTACTTTCAAAATAATATTTTTGTTTATTATAGAAAATGGGTACATTGTAGCATCCGGCTTTTATGCCAAATATATTTTTTTCATAATTCTTTTTGTTTGCCTTTCTGTCCAGTTTTCTATTACGCTGTTCAAGTTTCTAGGTCTAAACAAGCTATAAACATATAGCATTTTTTAGACCTACATTTTTAAACAAATATTTTTTTTACCTATCGAAAGTTATTATGAGCAAGTAACATAGGCTATATTATTTAAAAAAAAATAGAGTTCCTATGAATATAACAATAATCAAAGTATCGACAATTTGCCTAATAGATAATAAAAAAATATTTTTACCCGAGCGAGACCAGGTCAGATTGCTAGTGGGTTAAAAAAAATCTAGAGCCCACGAACAATAATTTGAATCTGAGACTTATAATAATAGTATCTCCCTCACTTATCCTAATTATTTGAGGTCGGCGTAATGTTTTTTTTTTATCTCTATTAACAGTAATTTCCGCGTTCATTTCCATTCAGACCAGATGTTTTTGTTTACAAAGTCCATTTTTGTCTTTTTAGTTTTGTTGCTATGGCTTATTTTATAGTACACATACTAAAAACGTGAAGGATACAGGTAAAGAACAGGAACTGTCACAGTTTTGGTTTTTTTTTTCTTATATTATTTTATTTCACACATAAAAAAGACTGAAATATTAGAAAATAATTATACTAAATATAATAATAATAGAAATAATTAGACTAAAATATGTTTAATAATAAATAATATAAGTTCTTAATAAAAGTATACTTTAATCTCAATAAAAATGATAAAATTTGTAAATTTTAATTTAAGTTTTTCTTAGGACATATCTATTCTTTGTTTGTTGCTAAGTCTGTACTCTTCGTGTGGCGTAAACTAAAGAAAATGGCGGCAAAAAATTGGCACACAAATTACGAAATGAAATACAATTTTAAATTCGGAACAGCCAACATGTAATTTAGAAATAATTAGCCAGTACGCCGCTTTCAGCGTTTCAATGTCATTCTAATTTGGCCGAACTATCTTCCGTGTCGCGCACGCGCCCTATCGTCCTCAACAGCTGATTGATATGTCAATAAAGATGTAGTTATTGGTTACGTTCATGTTGTGTAATACCTACTAGTTTCGTATTATTTATTTTATAGTTATAAAAGTACAATAAAGAACGTCAGGTATTTAGTATTTAAGTAAATCGAACAGTAGATACATTTTATAACCTTCACCTAGCCGCTGAATGCGGGTATTTCTGTGCGCCCTTGTGACGTTACGTGTCACGCCTGCACACAGTGTTGCCACTTTTGGAAAACTCCACAATTATGTGTAAGTAAATAATTTATGTGTCGGGAAATATTATTCAATTTCTAGATTTAATAGGAAAGATTAACAGATGACTCTCTATCTATCTATGTCTTCAAGTTTGGAACGTTTAAATGTTCTCTAATAAAACTATTCTTAAACTATAGCTAATTGATATAATTTATCTAACTGGAATGTTATGTTTCGTAAAGTTCGTTTAAACATTTTAACAGAGTGCTGTGTTAACTTACATATTAAAATTCTGTAGAGTTTGTGTTTCACAGTAACTATGAGAGATAAACAGACTAATATACACATATAGATTGAAATTAGAACACTTCCTGTATAATTACAAACAGGGTCGAACTGGGCCAGAAGGGCCCGGGTGACTGACTACAAGTCCAGTGTCTGAGACTAGATGATGGTAGTTGCACCAGTTGGTAGCGGCACCGTAAGCCCCGTAAGTCAGGTCCATGGGGGGGCCATGCAGGCTGGAGCCCGCCTCCTCGACTATATGGCTAGTCCGACGCTGATTACGAAACACTAAAAAAAAAAGTAAAAAAATAAATTATAGGCACATAGGATGTCTAGTTGTTGGCAACCCCAACTTGCAGCGGCAGTCGATACCGCGCGCGGGAGGAGGCGCGCTGGCTGTGAAAATATTATTTTTTAAATCGCGAGACTAGACTAAGTGTTTAGTGACAAAATGCCTAATATTATTAACGAAGTGAAATTGGACTTCAAGGATGTGCTGCTAAGGCCTAAAAGAAGTACGCTGAAGAGCAGAAATGACGTAAGTAACGAATTTCGATTGTGATGATTCTGAAATATTAGCTGAAAGATCAAGGTTCAATGGAAAAGGCCATCTGATTCGGCGAACTCTTCCGGGATATGGGATTGTAATTATATTTTTTTTTTACGAAATTCATAGAGTAAAAGTTTATAATAAATAAGTTGTTTACTGTAAAATTTCATTACGTACGTAACCATCTCATAACATTCTTTTTATACATAAATATTTAATTAATTTATTCGATTGGTAATTAATATGTAAAGTATTTTTGTATCAGGTTTATATGAATTTTGTATGGAGTAATATATAGTTTTATATATAGTATTTTTATAAGTACAAAGGAAAAATGTTTTAGTGAATAAATATACTATATAATATTTCTTACTGTTATTAATAAAAAAATATAGTTTTCTGCCTTATTCTGTAAGGAGTTGGCATGAAGATAGATAAATAGATAAAATTATATATTAATTAAATAATTAGATTTAACAATTTTAAGTTATTCCATAGGTTAATATGGATAAAGTTCTTCGTCTTCATCATTCCTCATTGGTACCTTTTTTTTAAACGAGTAATGACGATATCTGACTCTGCTTACCACTATCGATATACGCCAAAGTTTTTTTTGATGAATGAAAATGGTATGGTAACCCCGCCTGCGCTAACGGAATACGCTGGCGGGGCACCAGTGAAGGATGATAGATGAGAATGAAAACAGGCCAGTTAGCCCATCATGATGAATTCATCAGGAATTAACCATGATAGTTTCCAGGGAGAACAGCGTGGAGGTTGACCTGGTTGGGTATATTGCTAGCAATGGGATTCTCAGTCTCCATTACTAACAATCCCTTTCCCCCCTACGCTAAAGATTTGTTGTTTTTCAGTATACGTTGACAGGTCAGCGAAGGTCAGGTTAGTTGAACTGGAAATTATCCACAATGTTTTCCAAGGGAAAGCGTGAAAGTCGATTTGACAGGGCAATATACCCTGTCACGGTCGACTATCATGCTAGTAAAGGGGACTAGCGTCCCCATTACTAACAATCCCCTTCCCTCAATTTAAAATGTACAATGCCATGGATACACGAACGGTAGAGTCATAAGAATAAAAAAAGTATAATTTATTCTTCAATAATCAAAAGTACGCGTTATCTAGTCGGCTAATCATACAGTATCTGTCAGAAGTAATTTATATAAAATTGTATTTCCATTTATAAGCGAACCACTGTAATAAATACCGCATCTTCCGTGACCATAGACATTACATTGCCAAGAAAAAATAAACTCCCGCCAACTCCCGCCTTTTTGTCAGAAAGACCATAAATTGTCATGTCGATCAATATCTAGTTTATTACACGTTATTATGGAAACGAAAGTCGTATTACTTTAGGGTAAAACAATATTAAAAACACCGTTTATCTAAACAGTGTTTAACTAAACTCTTGTGTGAGTGATTAAACATTATTAAAGTCTTTGTAATAATGTTTGTTTGTCATTTTACGGGTCAGTTTATAAACAATTTTAATAAAATCTTTCCTTTGCTTTTAATTAGTTTTCAGTTAAGTTATTACAGTCACGTGACTTCATCTGCGTGATAAGTAAATTTTTATTGATTTCAAATTAATAAGAGAGAAATAGAAAATAGGAATTTACGCGTAGATAGTCCAATTCAATTTGCCTGTTACTTTTTTTGTATTTTGAATGTGAAAAATGTTTGTTGTTACAATGACGTCAATGGTATTTACGGCAGTGTAGGTTGTAAGCTGTTTTATTGTATTAGACTTACTTAGTGTAACAAAACATGTCGTGTAGTTCGCAAATTCTGAAAAGAAGATCCCACTAATTGTTAATTAATAAAATCTCTTAGACTTGGTGTAACAAAACATGTCGTGTAGTTCGCAAATTCTAACAAAAAGATCCCCTTAATTGTTAATTAATAAAAACTCTTAGACTTACTTGGTGTAATAGAACATGTCGTATATTTCGCAAATTTTGATAAGATCCTCCTAATTGTTAATTTATAAAATCTCTTAGACTTGGCGTAACAAAACATGTCGTATAGTTCGCAAATTCTGATAAGAATATCTCCCTAATTGTTAATTAATAAAATATCTTAGACTTGGTGTAACAAAACATGTCGTATAATTCGCAAATTCTGATAAGAAGATCCCCCTAATTGTTAAATAATAAAATCTCTTAGACTTGGTGCAACAAAACATGTCGTATAGTTCGCAAATTCTGACAAGAAGATCGCCCAAATTGTTAATTAATTAAAACTCTTAGATTTACTTGGTGTAACAAACCCGTAAGTTTAAAAACTGAAATAAACGTTCTGAGAATGAAGAATAAAAAACATAAAAATAAGAATTTTATTTATTTCTTTATACAAAGATAGTTACATTACAGGATTAGGTATCCCCTGTTAAGCAAAGATTGCTTTTATTATATGAAACCGCTTTTTCATAACAATTAATTATATTTCATAATCTTTGCAATTTACTTTCTTTTTTTACTAATCAACATGATTTATTTATTTATTTTTCTTTTTTACCCAATAATACTAAAATAATAGTGCCTTAACTGGATATATGCCAATAAGGCAAATATTATACAAGATGGGCTTATCTTCGGTTACACTGTATGGTACTGCTCATGTCTATAGGCGACTGTTATCACTTTACATCAGCTTGTTTGCCATTTTAAGTTGCATAAAAAAACACTGCAGATTGTGTAGTGAGAAATCGAAATTCGTGGAAAATTTGATGTGCTATGGAGGCTATTGGGAACGACTTATCCAAAGCCAGGAGACTATAGATATCTTAAACCGCTGGATATCGTAAAGGTATCAACATAGAATCTATAAAGTGATAACATAATACGACTCATACGCACAATGGCCCAAATGAGAGGCTAAGCGCGGAAAATAGAGTCCTATTCACATTTCACATTTCAGTGATAACATAATGCAGAGAGAAGCCCAAAATATCCCTATGGATCGACGTACAACGAATTTGCTGACCCCATACGCAAATAAAATATAAAATATTGACTTATAATTGAGTAAGAAAGTGTGTAATCACACTTTCTATGGATTGAAAGACGATGTAGTGACAAAAATCGAAAAAGGAATGTTGCGTTGGTTTGGTCATTTGGAGACGATGGATGAAAGAAGAATTACGAAAGAGATTTATCGAGCAAGAATGAATGGAGAATGTCAATCAAATAGGCGATGTGCTGAAAAAGGGCCAAATTAAAAGTACTCGTAACCGGCGAGCGTGTATGAAAAGATCGATGAATGTGGAAGAAGCGAAAGAAATTTGTTTGAATCGAAGCATAATTATGGCGTTCAATTGTTTCTGCCTATCCTAATGGGAGACAGGCATTACAGATATGTATGTGTGTAATATTGACTGTAAGAGATACCTTTATAAGTCCGCCATTGTGTATTAAATCTTTTTAACGTGTCCCATGTAAAGTATGTACAATAAATATTTCAATTTGCACCATAAGTCTCTCAGCTATCTATAATTATAAATATGGCATGTCCCTTAAGTTGTACGTATGGAGAATCAAATGTTAATGACCTTTACATACTGGTGTGGTGTACCCACGCTCCCCCTTCCCTCTTAAATTGTTCGCTATCGCCGATTGCTCTCAATGCAGTTTACTGTCTGGCTGTCTAGGTTGTCAGTAGGTCTAAAGTTCCGTACTGCATGTGATGTACTGCAAGTGGACATTGCATCATTCTATTTTATCTTTTCTAATTATAAATGTGAAAGTGAATTTGTTTGTTTGTTATCTTATAGCGCCTTAACGGCTTATCCAATTTCTATGAAACTTGTTATACACGTACTATATGAGATTTTTTAATGGATGATAATGAAAAGGCAACAGTGAGGGATGATAGGTGACGATGAAAAGGCAGGTCAGATAGCCCATCATGATGAATAAATACACTTGGAATTCAGCACGATGGTTTCCAGGGGGACCACGTGGAGGTCGATCTAATAGGGTATATAATGGGTCTGATAGTCCGCATTACTAACAATCCCTCCCACCCGTACCTACTATATAGCATAGAAAAGTATAGTAAACAGTAAGCGTATCTAACTACGGCTAAAACTCCCCTTTATGGGGACTCTCTATGTCCAGCAGTGGACAGTTAACGGCTGAAATGACTGGGTATTATTGAGTTTTCATTTTAACTGTACGGTTTTTACCCTTGAACATTCTATAGTTTTCTTTCAGCTTCTCAAAGGTTGACTGTATGAGATCCCTCTGTGGGATAAGTTCGCCATTGTATATTGAATTTGTTAATGTGTCATATATAAATTATATAAAGTAACTTTTTTACAATAGGATAAAAGCTTAACTAATATTATATAGTTGGACCGTCAGTTCGTTCGTTAACTCAGAAATTGTTCACACAAGTCTGCGCGTTTACCGCAAAAAAGACATCGTTTGACAACTAGCTGACCAGGCGAACTTCGTTCCGCGTAACAGTTGATTATTTATTTTTTTTTTGTTTTTTTTTTTATTATTATGATACCTACTTAATTTCATTTTATTTTTACTTATTCCAAATTAAGTTATATTTTTATTGACAATAGCTGTGGCATGCGCGTAAGCTGCGCGCAGTACTGGACAGTACTTGGACATTGCAACATTACTTTATTTTTCTAAAATAAAAGAATTTTTCTAAAATAAACGTAACCTAAGTTACTCCTTATTACATCAGTTACCTGCCAATAAAAGTGTCGTCAAAATCGGTCCAGCCATTTCAGAGATTAGCCGAAACAAACAGAGAGACAGACAAAAATTGTGAAAAATGTTATTTTGGTGTATGTATCGTATATATAGATGTAGTAAAAAACTGTTATTTCAATATTACAAACAGACACTACTTTTATTTATATGTATAGATAAAGATTTTACAATACAAATCGTAGATAAAAGCTTAACTAATAGCTGGACCGTCAGTTCGTTCGTTTACTCAGAAAT